GGGAGATAAGCAAACAAACAAACGCTACTCAAATCAGCCTGAAATATTAAACCACATGGTTGAGACACGTCCGGCATCATTAATCATCAGTATAGTGGACGCTTTATTCGACTTGATGAACAAGGATGCTCATCTAACCAATCATAAATTATATGCAACATGAACAATATTTCATGGCTGTTAAATCTAGTAAGGTCGATTCACACCCATAATGGAACACTAACTAGAAGATAAGTTCATTTTAATAAACCCCAAATTGCCGATTACCATTACTGCGCTAGCAATTACTGTCAAGGATTGTCACACTTATTGAGCGCCAAGAAAACTGTGAAGGTTAATTCGTATTGGCTGAGACATGACGAAGGAACTCATACGTCATTTTGATAATGATATGATTTGACACATTTTACATAGAGTCCAAGATCTCAATGACTCATTGCATCCGTGATGTCTTTTTGTACGAATTATTGATATTACTCTCCAGATGATAGTTAATTTGTTGAATAATTAAGGACAGACGAGTCGATATCCTGTCACATGATTGAATATCGGATATAGCTACAACACCAATGACGGAAGATCCGCTAGACCGAACGCCTACGAGACCGAAGGTGCACCGAACCGAATTTCGATTTCTCTATCTTTTGATCTAGAGGTCCCGGTTTCTGTTTCGTCAACATTCCAAATATTTGTCAGAAAGGCCATGAAACGAAAAATGTCAGTGTCCAGTTCTTTCAGTCTGTTGGGTCATTCGACTGCAGACAGAGGACCCACGATACTAAACGTTTCCGTCTCTTCTGCCATCGCTCTTTTGCATCTCAGGTAGAAGGTCCATTAGAAAGAAAAATGATTTGGCCTCTTTCGCTCTACAGTTCTTGGACCTGCATGTTGACTAGTCGGCAGAAACACAAGAGACCGAATGTTTTGGTTAGTCATGTTAGTGTGCAGCCGATTCGATGTGACCTTAGTCTTGTGGACCTTCGTTAGTTATGTTCTTGTGAACCTCCGCTCTGTTACGTGTTCTCATAATACTGTGGTATGGATTTAGGCTATTACAAGTTGTCTCCAGGGGTGGTATTCTGAACATTGTTGTAAGTTTTGTGTTATCTTTTGTTGTATCTTCCAGAGATAACACAGCGCTAATATTGTTGTAAGTTGGTATTCTGAACATTGTTTTATCCCTGTGTTATCTCTTGAAGGACCGCCTCTATCTTATCTTTGACCATTGATGACACGCCCATTTTTATGGACCCTACCAATCAAAATCTATTTTATATAAGCATGATAAGTAGATCAACCAATAGGAATACTTTATGCCATATCTGAAGATGCGCCTAGCGCATACTAATCTTGGGCGTAATTAGTTATTTGAGCACTTATTACGCGCGTCATCATTATGCGCTGTTGAATGTGGATCATGAAGACAAATCACGCTTTCACTATATTGGTTAAGATGAGAGCATTAAAATAGTCCTATCCTAGCATTTAATTTCTTAGAAAGTTCTCATCTTTGATGTTTCCGGTCAACACATTATCTTCTTCTAACTCGTCTATTGGCACAAAGTTGGTTCTGGGCAAGAAATATTGCCGCCATTAGATCACCACGAAAGATACAACAACCCCCTACCTGTTGTAAATATTGTTGTAAATACCATATGCAAGATAAGATAAGATAAAAGATACAACAACTTTCAGAATACCAATTATCTCGACATATTATCTCCCGTGCGCATATGCAAATGAGGATTAAGCGCCATGTTATTACTAATAAGCACAATTACAAGCGCACCAAGCTATGAGCGCAGGCGCGGCCAATGAGATGAGAGAAAAGATACAACAAAAGATAACACAAAAGTTACAACAGTGTTCAGAATACCAACTTTATCTTATCTCCAAAGATACAACAATATTAGAGATAACACAGGGTTCAGAATACCGCCCCAGGTTCCAAAATGGTAAACCAAAGACTAATCGAGTCCAAATACGAAAATCTCTAAGAATGTCATTAATTTTATGTACTCAATGATAATGGTTTAAGATAATGAAAATATAGGCCTAAGCGTGGCTTCTTCTATAATTATTAATTGCAATCATCTTCTGTTACGCTGAAGAAAATAGCACACACACTAAGAATAAGGGTGCAATAATTGGGGTGCAGATTTGTAGCCACCTATGCGTATTTGGCAGAGGGTGCTGTTATCGTAGCAAAATTGTATATCTTTATTTCTAAGTGTGCAGAATCACTAAAAAGGGATGCTGCAATCAGTATCATGGACGATTCCTCATTAGGATTTCAGTCAAGTATTTGTTCTCCGAGTCTGTTTACAGAGGCAATTTATTCTCAATTTGAGAGTAATTTCCATTTAATTTCAAGATCGAATTTAAAGGTGGGAGCCGAGTCATCATATTCCGACACTGCTTCATTATAGACTATACTAGAAACATAAAATGTCATAAGTGTTTATAAGCAGCATTCAAACTCACCTATAACCAAATGCTAGGTATATCAATACAAATATGTCATGCAAAACTAATTTATATCATCATGATGAAATATGGCCTATTTCAGGATTTGGAAAGGAACAAAGGCACTACAGCTTTTGAACAGCAGGCAGTGACCGTTTTAGTACAGAGACAAAACAATTGTACCTAGTTGGTATAGATTGCATCTGAATTAGAGAACCGGACGATGTCAGTTGAGTTTAATTAAAATTGATAGCATTGGTAGTTCAAGACTAATTTATATATTAAAACATGAATAACCTTTCGTCAAATACTGTTTTATTTTAAAAGATTTACATCTCTGTTAAACGTCAAGAAGTAACTGATTCATTGAGTTTTTTTCGTTTGCTATGCAAACACAAGATTTCTTTAAAAATAAAAAAATAATTTGAGGTACAGACAATACAGTGTCATTAAACTTCTCCTCATTTCAAATAGATGAATGTTACTTTAAGTTCGTCTTCTCGTCAATTATCGCTCTTCCATGCTCCTCCTCAGGAGTGGACGATGAGGGCGAGATAGATTATAAAAGGCGGAATCCTCGCTCTTCTGAAGAGGGCTCGTTACGCTTTAACTGATCTCAAGGAGATGAGCGAGGGATAATAGTGCATTTATCACCTCAGGAAGTCAAGTGCTTGTCATTCTGGCCCTATAGACTAATCGTAATTTTGGTGGACGGTCCACTGGAAATTATCATAATTATTTATATCAGTTGCGACTTTTATGATCATGAAGGATGTGGTGAAAAATTTCCAGGTAATTACCCTTCGTCAGATTATATATCATAGAAATGTAGAAGCTAAATCCTAAGTGAAATTTGAAGATTTTTTTTTCTTGTTTCGAGAAAACCTAATGATAGAATTTTTCCAGTCATAATAGACTGATAAAGAGTACAGTATTAAAGCATGAGGTACGCCAGGTCTCTTAAAATTACATATTTAGTGGGGCAATTTATATGTTTAGAGTTTTAAAAAACTGTATGACAGATTTTATTACGAAGAGAAAGTGTGATGAACACAAAGTGAAGAGACGAAGAAAGCTGGATAGACATAATGGAGATTTTACCCCCCAAAAATAGAAGGGACAGCATCTTGAGAATCAGGTAGAAAAGGGAGACACAAGTAAGAGATATTGATTACTAACATCTCGTGATATCGGTTTTTATAATGAGTTTAAGCACAATTTGAAAATACCTCGATTAATGTATAAGGCCACTGTGTCATATTTGAACAACAAAAAAGTGGCGTGAAGCCATTTTAAAATAATGTCGTATCATGATGGTGAAAGATCATCGTAGATATGCGGCAGTGGCGTAGCTACAGAAGGCACGGAGACACGTACCCCTACCATCGAGTGGTGACAAAAAAAGCGGGAAAAAAGAGATAAAGAAAGAGAGATAGGAAAAGGGCGAGACCAATTCCCGAACCCCATCAGTAAAGCTTTGTAAATTAGCATTTCATTTTCCAAACAAGACACCCCCCCCCCCTCCCTCTCCTAAATGGGGAATACATTTTTGGAAATAACATTATAGTGATAAATGGCAGACATTGCTGTCTCTAAAAGTCTTACTTGTCCTACCTAAATGTTTTGGTTCACGAGATCAATTTTTGTTAAAATATAATACATGAAATTCGAATTTATTTGTGTTTTGTGTTCGATAAATTAAGCTATTCAGCTATTGTCACATGCACTAGGGATGGAACATCCATGATTCCAATTTCAGAGAAGTGTGATTTTATGTACTTCTTCTTTTTGGGGTTAGAATCCTTTTTTTTTTCGTCGCTTATATTAGTGACTTTTGTTAAAACTCAAACAATCGACGACACAACAGTGGTTGAAATGGTCTAGCGCCATTTCTCGCTTCAAACATTACAATAAGATGTGCAGGCGTTCACCTTATAGGAAATCAGAAAGTATTTGTATGCCTCTAACTTTCGAGTTCATAGAATACCCATATTTTTGCCTTATTCAATCTTCTATTCCTTTCCCATCGGTATTCCAACCCCATCTTTTTTCTTCTTCCAACCTCTCTCTCCCACCCCCCCCCCCCCACTTGCTCCTTTGTTATTGTTCCTGTCTGAGGATTATTTCAAAACTATTATTTCACTCTTTCCACCATACATTAATTTATACTGTACATGTACTTAACTTCACTTTTTCCATGTCTTTAATTTTCTTCTCTCTTTCCAACTTCTATTTCTTTTTGTTTTCCCTCTCACTAACATGTTTCTTTATATCCATCCCCTCTTTCCAATTTCTATATCTTAAATTCTCTTTTCTCTTTCCATCATTCATTTATTTTGTAACTTCTCACTTCCCTCTTTTTCTTTCTATCTCCGTATGTCTGTCTCTCACCTCTCTCTCTCTCTTTATCTCTCTTCCCATTTTCTCTCTACCTTTCTTTGCTCTTTTGCAAAAATAAAGAAAATATGCATTCCTACTTATTCGAACTGATTCACAAAACAAAATAAATGTACCAAAATAAAAGAGATTCAAAATATGTTTTCTTAATCTTTATGTAATAAAAAATACTTATTTTACACAAATACTTACATATAATTATGAAACATCCTTTATTTGGGTAGAGTCACAATGAATGAGAATCGTGGAATATCTTGATATTCTAAACAGGCAATTTGGTAAAAGGAGCTGCTAATTTGTCTGTTATAGAATGTTATCTTCATGGTAATACAATATTCATAAATCATGTCTCTTTTTTTCTCACTTCCTCCCCACTTTCCTAAATGTATATCTACGATTGTTTGAAATCTAATCAAAGCAAACTGTGCTGGAACTGGACTTACTTTAAAATACATAATACTGTATTTTGACTGCTACAAGCACAAACACAGTGTCTGCATGGTGATTCTTTTAAAGCAGCCTTATAGCTTTATTGCATGCAGATTGCATCCAACATGCACCAGATATTGTTAGAGACAGGCTAGGCATAAACATACATGTATTTTTAATGTATACTGTTTACAACTTTCAGATGAATCCACCTCCCCTTCATATCAGGCCTGCTTCATATCCAAACGATAAGTCCTTCCAGTTTTTACCCATCACAGTTTCTCAAACCAGACAGTCCATCTTGTATCTCTGTGCCTCAGCAACACACTCCTCAATGTTTGTCCACTCTGCAGTAATACCAGAGCGCCCATCAAGGGCAGATCATAGGGTTTGCAGTGTGTCATGTAAAGACAGATCTGTGTTCTTTGGGGAGGTCTTTGTTCAAGTGCTGAATTTCTCTTAAACCCTGCAAAAAACAAGAGAGAAAGAGACAGAGAGGAGAGAGAAAGCCAGAATAAAGAAGGTACAACAACCAAGGGAGAAGATAGAGACAGGCAGACAGAGATAGAAAATGACAGAGAGAGAGAGAGAGAGAGAAAGACGGACAGACAGACGGAGGAGGGGAAGAAAGGAAGGGAAAAAATAAGAGGTGGCATCATTCTGATTGATTTTGCATAAATGTATTCACATCAGCAATATACACATAGGTCTACATTGCTGCTTGCCTGATTTTGTTAACTTGACATGAATAAAGTAAGATTATCATGACAAGTGCATAACATTTTTTTTCCATCTAATTTTGCCACATATATCACAAACCATAATCTCTGTAAAATAAAAACTGTAGTTCCATAAATTAAGAAAGAAACACATAATGCACTAGTATAGGACTAGGAAGAGCTTTAGCAAAGAATTCCATGAACAAGGAATCACCCCTTTATGAGTGAAAAAGTTACAATAAATGTAATTTTATGTCATTACAACAACCTCTTACCTCATACACAAGCTTGATGTGAGCCTTTATCTTAGCAGAATCTTGAGTTAGTTTCTCACTTTGCCTAAATCAAAACACATATAAAGCAATTAGGATTCATCAATTCACCATTAGCATAACAAACATATAGATATGAATTGTTGTCCCCTAATCACAACCAAAATCTGGTGAAATGTTAGTTCTTCAGGAGATAGATGTGTGGAGGTATTCATCACCCAGTGACAGCTCCATAAACTACATGTACATCCTACAACCCTGCTGGGGTTATATTCTAATCAGACCAATGTGCCGTATGACTCATGATCTATAAGACCAATAGGGCTACCTCCTACATGTTATAGGAGTGTCCTTATGATTTCCATAAGATATATGGGCCTTATGACAAATGAAGTAAAGGACCATTCACGCTTTGACCCATTAGGGACACAGTTATGGTTTTCATTACAGGACCAACAGGATATTAATTGGATCACTCGTACTACTATCCTATCAGAGTGATGCTTATGATTCTCATCAGACCAACAGGCCACAGAACCAATGGATTGTAGAACCATTGAGCTACATCCAATAAGAGTTAGATTAAGGTCTTCTGAGATTGGTGGGTCATAAGGTTGTTCTTGCACAAGAAGATCCTGAACCAATCAGCAGGGCTCCACAATATCTGTTTTGGAAGGAAGTCTGCATTGAACTTTTTAGAAGCTGTAAATGCTAAAAATTTAGAATCCCCCCCCCCCCCATCTTTTTTATCTTCGGGAAGGAGTCCATACTTAGATTTGGGTACCAATATGAATGTGTCCCTAGCGCCTGTTAGTGTTAGGGTCCTGCTATCAGGTTGGTTTCCCAGCTGATGACAGCTGTTATGTTAATAGTAAGACATGTATGCCATACTTACTGGGTGAGAAGCTTTGTTTTCTTGTCAATGAACTTGAGAGCTTCCTTCAATGTGAACTCAACAAAGAAACCAAAGCCGATCTGAACAAATATCATGGATGCATCCTGGCTGCAATTGAAGGAAGAAAAAAAATCAAGCAACATGAAAATCTATGTGATTTATATTGTGCCAGACTGTAAAAGTGGGTGTATAGACCTCTTTCACTATTATTAATGGAATGCAGTCATTCTGGACAGTAGAACTACATATTTTATAAAGGCATCCATGGCATAAACATCTCTTCCTTTCTTTTTATTACATTAATGACAAATTTCCCTACCCCTTTCAAAATGCCATTTAGACTGGATCAGATGGAATATAAATCTAGCTTAACTGCCAAAAGACTGAAGAGAGCAAAATTTCCATAGAAAATAAAGATAGAGACCCAGCCATAAATGTATGGCCATTATGGATACAGCCCATCAGACTTGACAGCCTTTGAGATCGCTTATGTCAGTCTCATGCACCTTCTGGAAAGTTATCTGATTGAGGGCCCACAGGACCAACAGTTCATGGGCCTTCTAACAACTTTTCTGGGGGTTCATGAGACCAACACTGCCAGTTTCATGGACTGTTGGTCTATACTAGGATATCCAAAACCTGGGGGTGTTTCACAAAGACTCAGATTGACTTTAAATTGGACTTAACTATGGTACGCCGTTAATGCCACTGTTTGCTCTAACCAGTTAATATGATCTTTAGATAATATATTTTCCTTCAATAATGAATCGTCCAAAAATGTAAGATCTGTAGATTTGTGACCATGATTTGTATGTCCTTTGAGATACCAATGCCACTAAATGGTGAGAGCAAACAGTGGAATGAACGGCCTGCCATAGTTAAGTCCAACTTAAAATTGATAGTTGACAGAAAAGCGAAAGAGAGAAAGGGGACTGTGAAACCAAATACTTACACTTTTGCTTGGGCATAGAAGTTACAGCCAAGGTCTATTTGGGTCTTGAGCTCTTCATTCTCACATCCTGTCTCCTAGAAGGAAATAAGAAGAAAGAAATAAAAGCAAAGCCATTTTATACAAGGCTTGACAATGGAGTATAAAATGTGTACATTACTCGACATACATTGTGAAGCAGAAATTAGCATAACTCATAATAATAAATAATGATAAATAATCATTGTATCATGATCTTACAACAGTTACACTATTTGTTTAAGAAGTTCACTTTTACTAGTTGGGGCATGATCAGAGGGAAAAAAAATGAACAAGACAAACGAGGCACTAGTTATGGATGCATATACTTAAATTTTACAAGGAAAATACCTGAATCTTCTCAATGGTTGTTCTAAGCTGGAGGTATTCCGCAATCTGAGCAAAGATCTCATCTCTAGACGACAGCACTTTCCTGCCAAAGAAATTTTGAGAAAAATAGATCTATTGAAATCAAGGAGGTAGGATTGATTAAAATCATTTAACTTCTATTATTAAGATGGCTGCCATTCACATCCAATTTCAAGAGTAGAAAATGTTCAGTTAGATCTGGAAGCTCGGCAGCAGGAGACGGCTTTCTTCCAGAAGCTTTGGTATTCAAGGTATTGTTGTGGTCATCGTCATCACCACCACCAGTATCATTATCATCATCAAGATCACCACAATCACCACTAGACAGAAATAACTGTCTGGTATGTGCAATTATTTTATAAAATATTTGAAACGTTTGTCAACCTTCCCCATATAGATCTAGGCCATAGTTACATTAAGAGGTAGCCAGCAGAGCCAGACGTAGACTGAAATATCTGTCTCTTTCGTTCGTAAGCCCCCGATTTGGGTAGGGTCGGCTCCTCTTCGAACGAACAAACAGAAAAGAGACCAAAAAAATGGTCTAGATCTATATCTAAGCCAGACGTACATGTAGTCTTACTTAGCGGAAATACAATAAATATCAGAGCTTTCAGTCTAAACAGCTACAGGGTGGTAAGACCCTGGTCTAAATCACCACTACCTTGACAATCACCATTATCATCCTCATCATTCAGTATGGTATTTACAACACAAAGTCTACAGTAATTTTTCAGCAGTTTCAAATTCAATCACAAAATTTCTGCTTTTTTGTAACAAGTTTATCAATTGCAATTAAGGTCTAGATTCTAACGTAACTTAGTACGATAAGATCACAACAACAAGAAATATCTTACTCTAAATCCTTTCTCAGCACTTCATTAACGAATCTTTCATATTCAATCACTTTTTCTGGTATATCTTGATTATCTTCAGACATGTTGAAAAGGTTTAGCAGCCCAACAAATGTGACTGTCCACTGTCGATGGACTGACATGATATGATCCGACTGCTGAGTCTGAAAATAAAGACTAAGAATAAAAATGCTCTAAAAGATCATTTTTTAAATACCAATTGTGTTATCAAAAATCATTTCAAATTAATTAATATTTTGAATTAAATTCTATATTATGATTAATATTTATTTCTTGTAGAAAAATATCCTAATAAGATGTTATAGGATACAATAACATTTTAAGAATACACTTCCCTTCAGGGGATTGGTAGACATGGCCGAATTACTTCTGGACCCGAATATTAGAATTTGGGTGGTCTTACCTATAGTTTTTATTACCTTTTTCGTCGGTATTATTAGACATTATGTTAGTCTATTACTTGCCAGTCAGAAAAAAGTAGATTTGCAGAAAGTTGGTGATAGGTGAGTGCCTCAATTTCGTAATACATTTTTTCTTTTTTTCCTTAAGTCCGGTCCCACATGTTGTATATTGTGTAGTGTAGTGTATCATGCGCTAGTGCATGTCCACACGCATTAGAAATTGTGAGCGAGACATGAGTTGACACAATTTATGTGGGAATGCACTGTAAATCTGTGATCATATTTCTTTTCTTTTATCTATGTATTATACCCGAAAACCCAGCAGATTCAGCTTTATTAATCCTGTTGATCTATGACAACAAATGGAAGAAGTTGTTTTTAAGAAGAAAAGTGAGACTTAATTAATGCCTGTCATTTTGTCATTTGACTGTGCATGCATGATGGAGTCTAGGGACTAGGCTAGATCTAGGTCTAGGCTCTAGACAGTCAAATTCATACAAAAAATATATTCACAAAATTGACTTGAATACACATCAGACAATTACTTTAAACCACGTCATGAGCAAATGTGAAGAAATTTTCTTTTTAGGTGCTGTACAACCAAAGAAATATAGAGTAAACAGTAGGGGCGCTGGTCCGAGAATGAGGATCGTCCTCATAAACAAGGATATCCTCATAAACGAAGACAAAATGTGTCCTCAAAAATAAGGGTCGTCTGCATTTTCGAGGACGTTTTTTTTGATCGGCGCTCTGGGGGTTTCATGTTACAGAACGGCCCGCTGGCGATGCCAAAAATGGATTCCCCGGGGGAAAATAACCCTGGTTATCCGTCTACTTTTATGGGTTGTCCGTCTTCCCAAGGATTTATTGCTCATAATGTGAAGGTCTCTGTACAAAGTCAATGTAAATTGCATCAAGAAAATCATTGCAGAATCTGTTTTTTGCATCGCCAATGCGCCGATCAAAAATATGAAACGTCTGCAAAAATGCAGACGGTCCTTATTTTTGAGGACGCATCCGTCAGTGTTAAAGAAGACGATCCTCGTTTATGAAGACGATCCTTATTCTCGGACCAGCGCCCCTACTGGTAAAGGAGCCCGTAATCGGCCAGCTCCAGTTTTCGGCCGATTGGTTGGATGCAAGGTAAAATCACTCTAAAATACATCGCATAATAGCATAACACATATCCCACACATACCATACCATGCCAGTGTCACTGAAGAACCACATTTGCAATGGAAAATATATCCTAAAATATCACATTTTAGCGATGTAATCGCCGGTCCCGCTACCCAAATCTGAAAAATCGAGTATCTTACGCGTGTCTGTAAGAAATATGGGTACCATAAAATGAGCTTTATTTCAAGTATTTTTCAGATTTAAAGCCCGATTTTGTGCTGGTCGCAAGCTCAAAAGTATCTCATCGCATGTATTAAATCAATGCAGCCGCACACCGCGACGCACACACGATATCTCTGTCTAATTCAGATTCCAACTTCCGATCACCGCTGTGCCCGTCTTCGGCCAGGCGAGCACCAGGGAGCTCCGGCGTGGGATACCTGCTCCGCCCGCTTGTGCTGTACATCAGCGCGGAAACGCACGGCGCGCGCGAGCGCTTCCTATTGACTTTGTACATGCGGCCGTAAACTGAAACGCTCGGTCGATAACGGGCTCCAAAACAGTGAAAATTGAAATGAATATTGTCATGGCAATTCGTGATTTTTTTCTGGGATTCTTTTTTTGTTTAAATAATAATAATATTTGCTTCATGATTTAAACAAGAAATGATAATAAATAGGAAGTAAAGAGTCCTAAAAATAGGATTTTGTCTTAAGTGGCCGAAAACGGGCTCCTTTACTCTAGAGTAAAGGAGCCCGTAATCGGCCAGCTCCAGTTTTCGGCCGATTGGTTGGATGAAGGTAAAATCACTCTAAAATACATCGCATAATAGCATAACACATATCCCACACATACCATACCATGCCAGTGTCACTGAAGAACCACATTTGCAATGGAAAATATATCCTAAAATATCACATTTTAGCGATGTAATCGCCGGTCCCGCTACCCAAATCTGAAAAATCGAGTATCTTACGCGTGTCTGTAAGAAATATGGGTACCATAAAATGAGCTTTATTTCAAGTATTTTTCAGATTTAAAGACCGATTTTGTGCTAGTCGCAAGCTCAAAAGTATGTCATCGCATGTATTAAATCAATGCAGCCGCACACCGCGACGCACACACGATATCTCTGTCTAATTCAGATTCCAACTTCCGATCACCGCTGTGCCTGTCTTCGGCCAGGCGAGCACCAGGGAGCTCCGGCGTGGGATACCTGCTCCGCCCGCTTGTGCTGTACATCAGCGCGGAAACGCAAGGCGCGCGCGAGCGCTTCCTATTGACTTTGTACATGCGGCCGTAAACTGAAATGCCCGGCCGATAACGGGCTCCAAAACAGTGAAAATTGAAATGAATATTGTCATGGCAATTCGTGATTTTTTTCTGGGATTCTTTTTTTGTTTAAATAATAATAATATTTGCTTCATGATTTGAACAAGAAATGATAATAAATAGGAAGTAAAGAGTCCTAAAAATAGGATTTTGTCTTAAGTGGCCGAAAACGGGCTCCTTTACTCTAAAGGAAAACCGACCAGATATTTGTGCTAAAAATTGTCACCAATAGGAGGCTGGTCCGAAAATAAGGAACGTCTGCATAAACGAGGATCGTCTTCGTAAACGCGGACGGATGCGTCATCTAAATATAAGGAATGTCCGCATTTTGGCAGACGTTTCATAAATATATTTGATCGGCGCGTTGGCGATGCGAAAAACGGATTCCGCGATGATTTTCTTGATGCATTTTACATTGACTTTGTACAGAGGCTTTAACATTATGAGCGATAAATCCTCGGGAGGACGGACAACCCATAAAATTAGACGGTGAACTAGAGTTATTTTCTTACGTGGAATCCATTTTTCGCATCACCAGCGGCGGTTTGGTAACCCGAAACCCGCAGAGCGCTGATTAAAAAAAGTTCTGCGAAAAATGCAGACAATCCTTATTTTTGAGGACGCATTTTGTCCGCGTTTATGAGGACGTCCCTCATTCTTGGACCCGTGCACCTACTGATCACTAGTAGTAGTACATGTATTATCCCTACTCTCAATTTTCATTCAACAGCTGATGGGTGACGTGCACTACTTTTATTTGACTGTTCAGTAACATTTAATTTTCTTTCTGTATTTTTCAGTCAAGCTCTGATGAGAAGTAGATTGCTGAGAGAAAATGGACGATTTTTACCCAGAAAGGTGAGGATTTTTTTAATATACTAGACTAGTACTGCTTTCATCGGGCATGAAAATAAAGGAAAATCACAATTGCTTACATATTTTCAATTGTCCCTAGTACTGTGTTTACATGTATTTGAAGTGTATTAATAGTACTTTTATGTAAGTAGTCACATAATCAGTAAGCTTATTTTGATACAATAATTACCATACTTACATGTGCTACAAGCTTTCCACAATTGCTTAAAATTAGTTGTGCATATGATCTTTTAATTTGTTGTTCTTTTCTTCTTAGTCCTTCATTATGAGGAAACACTTCTTCAATGATGAAGAGACAGGATTTTTCAAGACACAGAAGAGAGAGGGACCTGCTCAAAATCCAATGACTGGTAAGTCTTCAAAGGGCTTACAGAGATGCCAACTGTTTCGTTTTTGCCGTATTTGTTCCGTTTTTTCGCTATGAATACGGCAGTACGTTTTTTGTATGTTTTGTTACGTTTTTTAAATTTTTTTTTTTTTTTTTTTTTTTTTTAGTGATGTTTTTCTTAATTTCTGATCATGGGCTTTGTTTCGTAAGTGTATTATGCACCTACATCTTAAAACGATGCACGCAGGATGGTGATACGGGCCCCAAACTGCGCACATTGCGAACAACCCACGTGTAATGTATGCACGTCGCGCTCCGATCCGGGTACGTATACGTGGTACTGCCTGGTTTTTTAAGCTGCTCGATTGGGCGATATGTTAAGTTGAGAGATTTTTTCAAAAATACTGTTTTTTGTCCAAAAATACTGTTTTTTGCTCTTAAGAATACTTTTTTTTGTTGAAGAAGGTTGGCATCTCTGGGCTTAGACTTTAGAGCAAAGGATTGGAATTTGACAAATATATACCGGTATAGAGAGAGAGAGAGAGACATACAGACAGACAAAAAGGAAATATATGAACATAAACCATAGAATGTGTGTCTCTTTATATATTTTAAGCCTTTTGCGAGGGCTTGACACTAACAGTAACAGGCACCCAGGACACATGGGCGCCCAAAAATTTAAAGTGTAGCCCTGCTTTTGCATTTTTTTGCTTTAATGGAACACCATTAGAATATGTGTGGTTAGTTGAAAATTGATGATTTTCCAAATGCCATCTGTGTGTGTATGAGAACATGGATGAACATATTGTAATGCTTTTGTTAGGTAGAACAGGTAACATAATTTCTTAGAACTTTTAGCAACAGCCTGAAAGAACATACATGTGTACAATGATTTCTATGATGTACATATACTATGATCTCTAGAAAAACATGTTCTTCTTTCTTAGGCCTAACATTCTTTTTTTGTTATAACTTCTTTTTTGTTAGACCCATCTATGATGACAGACATGCTGAAAGGCAACCTAACAAACATCCTGCCCATGATTGTCATTGGTGGATGGATCAACTGGACTTTCTCTGGATTTGTCATCAGTAAGTCAAGTTGATTGTCTAGACATGATAATGAATATCAGTCATCCTGTAGAGTTTTGGTGCAAAGTGGAGAAAGAGAGCGAGCACCTAAACACCAAACTCGAACCTTTCCCCTTAACCCTTTGACACTGGGGCGATTGAACCCTGGGACACTGATGCAGTGCACTCTCCATTTGTGCAAGAATGTAGAGAAGATGTGAAGTTCTGTCACATATTATCGATATTTACCAAATAGACTTGTGTAAGTTGAAGTACAACATGAAATGATCAGATAGTTTAACTAGGTAACATTAAAGATTGACAGAGCACCCTGTAGGGTGCGGTGAAAAGGCAGTTTCTCCAATTGACTCTTGTTTATTAAGGTATTTGAATCCTATATCTTTGACATTTTCAGGCTAGTTGTATGAAGATACATTGGCAAAATGCTTGTGAAAGTATATCTAAATGACTCGCCATATGAGCATAATTGAAAAGTGTAATTACACAAAGAAGAAAAAGAATCGTCAGAAAGATCTGTGCAGAGGTATATGATCAAATATCAGTTCTCATGTGCATTTGTTTAATACACTTAATATGAAGAATACTGTAGATTTGAAAGTTTTTCATCTGCACCTTTTGGCTATTGCATCATTTCAATTGTTCCATTTCATATTACTCTTACCACCATACAGCCAAGGTCCCTTTCCCGCTAACCCTGCGCTTCAAACCAATGTTGCAGCGTGGGGTGGAGCTGGCATCCCTTGATGCTTCATGGGTATCATCTGCCAGCTGGTACTTCTTGAACGTCTTTGGCCTCAGGAGTGTCTATTCGCTCATCTTGGGAGAGAACAATGGTAGGTCAAATCTCTTTGTTTGTTTGGGTTTCTTTCTTATGTCTGTTTGAAAAAAGTGATGTTTTGTCAATGCAATATGGTCTGCTAATACAATATATATTTGTGGAAGCAGCGGGACATGAATTTGTTTGAGGTACTGGAATATTACTTGATGGCCTAAGCAATAGTGATTACTCGGTGTGTAGTAATGTATGTTCAGTCGTGGTCTCTTGCATCAAAGGTCCCTGATTTGAATATCGGACAGGTTTCCATCTATCCGACAGTGACTTAAAAAAGCTGTTCACAGATGACGAACGATAAATAAACATATGAACTGATCTGAAAGAAACTTTGATATAATACTGCAGTTACAAGAAAATCAACTATTCTTGTCAAAGGCTTCCTCTCCAACCACCACCTCTTGCAACCAAAGCAAGTTGTTTTCTTAGTAATCTCCTCCCAGTTTGCATTTGAACAGTGCATTAGGAGAGTTTGCATCCTTAAGTATTCCTTGTTTCTTCTGTTAGGTAGATATATGTATTTTTGGGAATATTGTTAAATCTATGTACATGTACTCAGGGATGCCAGTTTTCAGGCAAAAACCTTAATTTTCTAACTGGCATCTCTGTGTACTGTACTCATTTGTTGTTGTTGCCTTTATTCCATGATTGTCATTAGCATTGAGCCTCTGTGTGCTGCAAAGCTTAGAGTAAACTTGTAACAACCCTGTCATATTTGTCCATGAATCTTTCAGCTGCCGACCAAGCCCGTCTCATGCAGCAGCAGATGAACCAGGGCATGGCTATGGCTCCAGACCCTACCAAAGCCTTCAAGGTAACCTCATAATCCATTTTATATATCAGACTTGTTGTTTTGGGCAATTTTAATTTTGGATTTTGGGAACATTTGTATTTCAAGAATAATTTTGGGATTAGTGCTTGTTTGTGTATACTAGTATGTGAGCATTGTATATTCCTCTAACTGCTCCATCAATATTTTGTGCATAATGAGTTACAAAGAGGACTGTGGATGGAAGTGCATTACTGTGTTAGCTTAAAGTAATGTTAACTTTATATCAGCTTTACTCAACCACTTTATCTCTTGAATTAGGGTATAATTATTTGCAAGAAGAAAGTAGAGTTATGAGCAATGAAGAATAATTGATGAGAAAGTACCAAGCCATTGGTCTCATACATTACCAATCACCTATGAGATTAAGGTACGTGAACATGTCTATCTAATTATTTTACGAAGTTAATAGCCCTTTTATGGCATAGATCAGACAAAATATATTGTAAAATGAGATATTATGTCATTCTATGTTCATAACTTTGCAATACTTGGCAATTTGGGACACCAAATGACTACCGGTAAATACTTTGTATTTGCCCCGATTGTAACAGGAAGTAGTTATAAATCAAAGTTTGAAAATGTGTGGACTATTCCATTAAAATAAATATAAAAATGAATTTAGAAGAGAAATTATGGAACAAATATAAGATCATGTTCGTTATAAGTATAATCTTATAAGTACATCTTTCTTTTATTTTCCTACTTTCTTATTACTACAGGGGGAATGGGAAGCTCTGGAAATTGCTGAACATCGCTGGGCTATGCAGAATGTGGAAGAAGAATTAATAGGCAGGACACCTATGCCAGAGGATATCTATGTAAAAGATAAATATATATAGTCTGGTAAACTGTAAATATGTTCATATTGTTGAGGTCTTTTTCACTTACCGGTATTTAATGTACACCATACAATCATTAAACATTCAGTGGATTTTACACTTCTATTCCACTCTTTCTCCCATAAATACACTTTTATGGAAGAAATTGATTATGGTTTATGTTCTGAGAAATCATTATTTTTGAAATTTAATGGCCTACCAACATTGGACTTTTACCCCAAACAGTTAGCAATGTTAGCAATTTCTACAACTTTGTAATAGAACAGTCTGAGTAAATATCACAACATAGACAATTAGACATGTACATGTATACTGGTAGTTATGGTTCAACATTGTATGAAGTGGGTTTGACACAGATCTCTCCCTTAATTGAGAATGATTTCTTTTCTGAGTACCGTATGTAAAGTTTTTTTTTGGTGACATTTTCTTTTTTCCAACAGTAATTTTTGAATACATGTTACTTGTTAGAATAGCACATACCAGTACCACATTGGATATTACGTTAGGTACTGTAAATAACTACATGTAATAACAGTAGATTAATCTCTAAAAGTTTGATTTCAGTCAAAGCATAAATGTGGTTTACAAGTGCAATGTACAGACACTTTGACTGGAATGTAAAAACATCTCGGTAATGTTTATTACTTTTATACTTTGTGAAGTGAAAAGAATATTGGCAAACTTTTGCAGAAAATCTCACACAAGTTCACTACACTAACCTTGGTCTACACATGTGTACCTGGTATGTGTAATGATGAAAATCTGATCAGCTTAATGTGATTTTTTTTTCCCCTTTTAGTTTAGTTTATGTGGTTTATTTTACTCTTTTTTTTTTGTAGCACTGTTAATTGGTTATTAGAAAGTATTGGTTAATTGTGCTATTATTAAAGTCATTCAAATAAAATAAAAAAATTGAAAAAGTATTTGATCAGAAGACATGTACTCATCATTTATTGCAATTTCTTATTCATTTGTGAAGGTCTCTACGATCAAATAAATTGCAATTTGATACAATTAAATTTAATCTGTCGAGTTTTTCTCTTCTGTAATTCTCATTATTTTGCACTTAGCCAAACAAGCCACTGTCTTTCTAACACATTTGTTTGAATGTAATATTTACTCAACAAGACACTATAATATTTTACTACTCGTATCAATCAGTTGTCATTATCTTGAGAGCTAGGAGTCATATCTAGAATATCTGATACCCAATCCTGCAGTTTACTTTGAAAATTCAAAGGAAAAGTGGCATTATTGCATCTTGATTTTAACAAGTCATATATTAGGCTTAACAAAGAATAAGAAATAATGAATTCTTTCTTGGAAATTAGTTTTTATTGCCAATACAATCAATAACAACAATTCTAATCGTGAATTAATACACATGTAATCTGCATTAACAAAAAGCATTTCTGTATAAAAATAAAAAATACCCAGTAGGAAAGAAAATGGCAAAGTACAACTTTCAGCATACATATAAGTACTCCTTTACAAAGAATAAGTACTGTTCAAGAATGTACTGTGTCTAGGGTGGATGGTGGAAATTAGCACACTAAAGTCACAGTAAATGACTATTTAATAGTCTCAATATACACTAATTTGGTCCTATATATATATATATATATATATATATATATATATATATATATATATATATATATATATATATAGTGCATATAGGAGTATACAAACACTTGTGGTAAGAAAATGTGAGGTTTACTGTAGATACATACATGTAGCAATCTCATACAAGCATACAATAAAATAAATAATATTTTGAAACTTAATATGTTCAGGCAAGATATATAATTTGCAAATGACAAAAAAAAGCAGTTTAACCACTCTCCCAGCAATAAAATACCGGTATTACTGCACCATTCTAAAGATTGAATTGCACTGTGAAAATAAAAATGTATTTATTTACCTTTTCATGAACTAAAATGGCAAGCAAACATATGGTACTTGTATTCTGCATTTAGGAAAAGCATTTACACATATAATTGGAAATAATTAGCATTTTCAACATACAATCATATACACTCTACATGTATAGGTTCCTCGGTATATCATAAATCTACAGTGCAAACAAATTACAAATTATTCAAGATTTTTTTTTTCCAATCCCCAAATAATGCAACCTGTTCTTAAATAAGGCACTTTGTGATGAGCAAGTATTCATAAAACTTCAGTAGAAAATGTTCAAAAACAATAGAATAATGAACAACAAGAATTCCTCAAAGCAATTTGTTCTAAATTAAAGCACATTATGATGAACAAATAATGTGTTTGGCAATTACATTTTATATGTATCATAAAACTTCATAAGAATTTTTCACAAATTACTCATTTATGAACAGAAAAAAAATCCTCCCAAATGAAGCATTCTGTTCTTAAGTCACTTTGTGATAAACAGCTAATGTGTATAGCAATTAGGTGTACTCATAAAACTTCGCTAGAAAATATTCACAACAAGTAGTTCATGAACAATAGTACAAAATTGACTGAAAAAGCAACATGATCTTTGAGGAGGGCACTTTCATTATACACAAAAAGTAAGCTAGGCAAGAATACAGTTAACAATGTCCTGTCGGTTAGAACAGGATCTCAAACCAATAGGCAAATGGTTCTAAATTAAGTTGGTGCCGTTAACTGCCATAGTTATAGAAAAGACTTTGGTCTTTGATAACAGAAGACTTAATGACTTAATCAATGTTCTAACATAATCTACATCCATCTCTCATAAAATTAGAGTCCATCTCTCCATTCTGATTAGCTATTGCAAAAATTGTAATCCATGAAAAAAAACTGCAATTATTAATTTCTTATTGTAACAAAGCCTTGGGCTTAAAGGAAACTATTTGGCTTTCATATCAAGGTAATCCTTTTGTGATTCAATATACATAAATTTCATTTCTGCATTTTGTTATATTTCTCACTGCAATTGTAATATATAAATCCATCATTTTTAGATGTTGCATTCTCTGAGTGACTCTCTCTCTCTAATATACATGTGCATAGCCAGTCTTCATTTCCATCCTAAAATAATCATCCTCTTGAAATTTCAGTCACGTAAGAATGGGCTTTATTCATATTTGTAACCTTTACTAAAACCACACAAAATTTAAAAGTCTGTAAGAAATTCTTTTCAGCAACTAGTCTCCCGATGAGGCTCCCTTTTCTCCCCAGTCTCTTCAGACATCAGCTGGTCAAACTATCACATTGGAACAAGAGGAATAAAGGAAAATTGTTAAAATAACAAGACTTATTGATCACTCTATGTATGATAAGGGGAAGATGTAAAATGATCATATAATATCATATGGTGGTGATTATTATTATATACCACTTCAGTCAATCAATAAGCTTTCTCTCTGCATCAACTGGCTTTGGAGTTTCTCATCTAAAAAGTAATACAATTTATTTCATTTTCCCAAATCACATCTATAATTGTAAAGGAAATAAGACCTAATCATACTTTGTTACCCCCCCCCCCCCTTCCAAACAAAATAACAAAAATTAGCATGAGTAATATTACTTGGTCTAAACACTAATATCATTACTGATATATTGCTCTTTTTTTTGGGGGGGGGGGGGGTTCTCATGGCCAAGACATAGAGGGCCCAGTCAGTATGTTGTCCCCTTTCAGAATTACTCACTCCATTTTACATTACATGATGATGTACATTCCATACCCAACCCCTCTGCTTTTATACATCTGGATACACCTGAAAACCCCTAATGGATTAGCAATCTTACCCAACACATACAACATCATAGGTAGGATTATTACATAACACTGGAAGTCAACTTACCTCGCTGTATTGTATATCTCCCTGATCTACACTGGGCACAGGAGAGATTGGAGGGGACGGAGTAGTAGCAGGAGGTAAGTCTGTTCCCTGCTGATAAGAGAAAGGGACAGAAGAAAGGAGATGAAGAGCGTTGGAATATGATATGATAAAGTGTACATTCCCATGATCTGAAATGGTTAGACTCGTTGGACTATTAAACTATATGTTAGAAGAATGTTAGAGGTACAGAGGGCACACCCTTTGTAATCAAATGTACAGGGAAAGAGTAAGTAAATGGGAAAGGCAGAGAAAAATAAAGAGAGAAAAACAAAGAGGGATATTTAAGGGGTGTATTAAAGGGCAACATCGTTTCAAGGAATAAGAGAAAAGAAGAAAGACTGGAGTGAGACACACAAGAAGATCACTGGTAACAGACGGCAGAGAAAAAAAGGTGTGTAAACAAAGGGGGTTAAAATATATATCAAAATTCATTGTGAGTGGAAAGAAATAAGGAGAGATGGGAGGGAGGGATTAGCTTTTTTTTTACATATGAAAGTATGATCCCAACAACTATCCTATAACATTTTTCTTGATATATTTCTGTCTGTGCATCTGTCTCACTCTAAATTGCACTCTTTCCATTCGATCTTTCTCTGCTTTCTTTTTTAACGATTCTCTCTTTTCTTTCTCTCTCCCGTCCTTCCTTCATTCCTTGATACCTTCTATTTTCTCTACATCCCCCAGCGTCCTCCTCACAGATGATATAACCCAGTTCTATGCATGACACATGCTTTGACAATAACTGCTCCATGATATACATCCAACTCCAAGTCTATTCCGAACTTCAATCCTGGACCAGGGAGGTGAGACTTTAAATGGAGATTCCGTCTCGAAAGAATTTCCCGAGGGAAAGATATTCAAGATTAACTTGGCTTAACAACAAGTAATGTAACCCTCTTCAGCCATCAAATCCATCAACAGCCGCCCTTATCAGACCCCAGATGCCCTCTGGCGATCCAAATGTTACGAAGTGTTACGCAACGCGGCCTGCTTCCCTAAGCTCTCCAAACACTTGGTTGTAAAAAAAAGGCTTTGAAGCCATGCGAGTCACCGAGAAAATGACGTCATACTCATTGAAGATGTATATGGCTATAACAAACAAAAATACAAAATCGACAACTTATGGCACAAGGCAACCTTCTATTGGTTATCAAATGCTTTCGCTGTGCTCGGATAACTCTTCTGAAGACTTAGCCATCTGAACCAGCGAAATCGACCAAGGAAATCGTGAGTTAGAATGAATGCAAGTTTCTCATCATCATCACGTTCTCTTCTAATTATTGACATTTTCCGAAAGTTTCCGAAATTTTTACATAGCTAGGAAGGTAGTCCATAAGTTTATCTCTTAAAATAACTAAATGAAACTGTGTTGTATATTTGCGCATTTGGTTTAATGAGGGTTAGAAGTTGTCAATTCATCACCACTTTTCACCCCGAGTACGGGCCGGCGACGCGAAAGCCGCCGTGCTCGCTGGGCTGTACATGCTGGATGTTGTTGGTGGAAACACACATAGCTGCATTACTACCCTGGCCGTGTATTCAAAGTTGTGCTATTGATTCTCAACATTTCAAACACCACTGTACAAAACTCAACTGATTTCATTCAAAGGCAGTACTATAGTGACGATTGATGACACCTAAAGAGCATTAAAATACAATTTGTTCAACTTTGTGATGTTAGAAAGAATAATTTAAAAATTAAAATTGTGAGTCTACTGTCAAACTTGCCGATCAACCGCATCGGGATGATTATGTGCATTTGTACTGTATGTTGTGAGTGTATTGACTATTCATGTATTCAAATGCTGCCTATTTACATGGAGCGGCCTACGCATTCACGATGAAACCATTTAACCGTACATTCTGGTTCGCTGCAATGAATAAGATTTTCCGTTGATGGAATTTTACACGTGCATAACTTGTATTGGTCTCCAACTTCCCATATACACCAGGCTCAAGAATCAAATCTTCCTCAAAATCAGTCAGAAAGTCTAAATCGTCGCCTACCAAATACTCTTCCCTACTGTACGCCGCCATTTTTGTCGATAGCAGCCGATGTGTATTTCCAACAATGCATTTCGCGAGCCCTATGTCACTCAGTTTCGGGAGTGAGATTTACGAGCTGTGCGCTCCGGGTGGGGGATTAAGGGGATTATGATAGGGGAAAAAAAGACTCTCGGTGCAACGGACTGCTTCAAAGGGCCCTCTTAGATGCGGAATCCATTTAACTCACATGCCCTGCCTGGACCAAACACAATTCTATATCCGAACCCTGCCCGTAACACTAAACTACCATAGTCCCAATTGAAATCCTAACTGTGTCTTTGATAAAATAAAACTCAGACCAATTGTCATGGGAGCCAACACGTTGGGTCATCAAACACTTACCTGCACAATGCCACTAGTGGTTGAGACTACAGCCTGGCCTTGATCATGTCTGCTTAATTCTCTTATCTTCCTGCCTCTGAACCAGTACAGCACAACCACTATGATGAAGGCAAGTAGCCCGAGGGGGACAGCCACAGCAGCAAAGATCCGACTGGAGGAACTCCATCCTGGTCTCATTCGAGGCCGGTTCTGTACATTAAAGAAAATATGAAAATAGAAGGATCAGATATGCATGTATATAATATGTAGGGAGTCTATATTGGAAAGTCTTCATTGATTTTGAATTCTTTTAATTTACATCTCGGAAGGAAAGATCTGTCTCGCAAATACTAAATATTACATTAATATCAAATTTAAGGTTATTCTTATCGTGCAGAAATGTCTAAAAACTAATTTCACAGTGCATACAAATGGCTTCTAGAGCTACATTATCATACTTATTACTGAATGAAAATGATAAACAGGCAAAAGGTTGCTAGAAATTACAGTTGTACATTGAATCAAAAGCATAACTTTTATTTACTTAAACATGGAGAGACTATATTTCACAAACATGTGGACTACCTCAATTTCCTTATCTTTATTCGCTCATTACTCAGCTACTACCGGGAAACATCTTTCTAACAAATGGCTTGGTGGATGATCATTCATTTGTAGTCTTAAACATTCAGAGAAAAAACAATTTTCAATTTAATGAGAGTTTGTTTTCTGTCATTAATTGAATTTAACATTAACTTGGATTTAACAGTTCCCATTAAACATGAGCCGGAGGATCAATATCACATATATTTTTAAATGTTGCTATTTCAGAAGGAAAAGCCAATTCAAACAGTCCTCTTGAAGAATTATTTTCCTACACAAATTAAACATACCTTTTCATCATCATTATCATCATCATTATCATCCTCCTTATCATAATCCAGCACCATCCATATTGGTAGAGGAGCATCTATCATGTGAATCACACCGTTTGTCGCTTCCATGCCAAACTTCACGATTGGAACATCCTCAATGGTGACAATAGCCTGGATACATCAAGAAACATACATGTAATGAGTGGGATCCGTTTGATCGTTATATATTTTGTCTTTATCAACCTTGTTTTGGAATAGAATGAATGTTACAAGAAGAAATATTGCAATCAATATTGAAAACTTTAACTTTTATAAGGAATGATTTATTTGTTATTTGTATGTTCTTTACTTATCTGTAGATATCAATGTTATAATTATGTTTATATACCTCACTTAAGAAATCCAGCCATCTGATTGGTCGAAATTGCATTCATAAACTTTAACTATTTCTGTAAAATTCCCAGTAACCATGGTTAAAACAGTTCTAAAATCCCAGTAACCATGGTTACCAGGAAAATAGTTCAGTCTCCATGGTTACCCCATAGGTTTACATGTTAAAAAATGGTTTGAGCGATCGAGGATACCGTACGTGTGCCAAGAATTGGTCGGTATTTTCATACAAGACAAGACAATTCCAGACAAGACAAAAATGGCTAAAGAAACTGTCCCAAGATTTCAACTTATCAAATGCAAGACTCGCTGACAGCAAGAACAACAAAAAGGGTACATGAAATTATCCATAAACATGTTAGTTTAGTTGCTGAAAATGGAGTACCAGCATAGACGTAGACGAAAATAGATCTAGTTGTCAGGCTGTCTGATCGCGCACCTGATGTTGTGTGCTATATTCTTCCCATAGAGATTACGCACAATGCAGTCTCTATGCAGTCTACGTGCATTGCGCGACCATGCAAAAAAAGTCAAGTTTTTTTTTTCAATTCGAGATTCAAACCTTTATCTGTTGTGATCCTGAAGGTGATACTCAATAAGTGAGGTGTCATATGAAAGCGCAGGTTCTTCTCTCTATTCCCCACAGGGCCGGTCCACCCCAAAAATTGTAAAAATATTAGACTAGAATCTAGATCTAGTCTACTCTCAAAGATACACTCATAAAAAACAACCATGCAGATAAACTAGAGAAAGGCCAAGGTGGTGTCATTAGTTGCCTCTTTTGTTTTCGGCATATAAAAGTATTAATGACTGCTTTAATATTCTCTCAAAGCAGTCATTAATACTATAATGTTTTTATATGACAAATGAAATAAATTGAAATTGAAATTGAATTTTTTTAAAATTTGAATAGGTGAATGCATAAAATCTTGAATGTAATCTTGTATTACCTTCACTCTTCTTATCAACTATTTATATCACCATCTTTCCTAACACTTTTTTTGTCTATTGTCTTTGTTTGTTGATATACTGTATTTCTCTATATTCTGGTGTCAATTCATTTTCATCACATCTCTTGACGTCTATTTTCTCAATAATTTACAGAAATCTCATTCTTCTAATCTCACACTACAAACCTGATGGTGTTTATCATAGGTGACATCGACATTGAGTTCATGTCCAGACCATGTCTCGAGCTCCTCATCGTCTCCCTCTAGGAGATCCTCTTTGCTCCATCGGTCATGGACCACATGGAGTAGGACTTGAGATGGATAGAATGTCTGATGAAAGATAAATATTAGTTTATAGTTTATTATTTTCCTCTGTTGAAAAATGGAACATTCAACCAAAAGCTTTGTTAATCTTGTTAAAAACAAGAGTTGACAATTGCAGTAATCATTGAATCTATATAGCTCCTACTACAGTGTGTTATCAAAGGCATACAACATACTTATCATAACCATGCCTAAGTACATCATCTGTTAACAGCCACACAAGTATTGACTCTGTGTAAAATGAATTGGTACACCCCTTTTGTCTCGATGGGAGCATTCAAATGTCACAGAATTAGCTTCCTACCACAGTAACCAGGTATCCATTTACTAAACCTGGATGGAGAGAGACAATTTGCCTAAAGACATGAGCAACTGAGTAAGATTCAACTCTTAACCTTGATATGATCTACCAGGGACTGGGAGTAAATGCACAAACATGCACAGAATTGTTATGAGAAGTAAACAATTACAGTGATTTTTTTATGTGGTAGAATACTTACCAATTCTGATAATTTTGGGTTGAGAGGAATGAAGATTGTAAGTTGGTCATTAAGTTTCAGCAAATCTCTCACTAAACGTTCTCCCTCATGGGACTCATTGGCTAACTGCATCATCATCTGAAACACATACACAATAACAAAGTAATTTACATGTAACAACAGTGGAGAAGTAAAATATAAAATCAATTAAAATTTTGTGGTGATGATGAAATTGTAGGCTTCATTTGTGAACATGTTTTTGTTTTTCGAATTCATCTTATTCTGTGAGAGGAAAACAAGCCACCAAATAAATCTTGATTTACATTCACAGGTACTTAATTACTCAAAACATCTCTTGCAAGCAAAAATAGAAGTTATCAGTATACCCGTCTATAAGTCTATAAGTTTAAGGGGCATATTTTTTCTCTAGTGTACATAAGGTAAAACACAATGGAATATATATAGGGGGTATGCACCTGTTGTGCCCCCCCCCCTTCCTTCATCCCAGCCATCATCAGCACTTCAATTAACCACAAACTCTCCACAGTGAGAAAAGAAAGCACTGACCTCAAAGAAGTATCGGAATTCAGGTTGGCTTGCTAAGGTGTCATAAAGGTTGCCATTACACACAATACCATCACCAACATACCTAGAGAAGCAAGTACATTCAACAGGACCTAGAGAAAAATAACAAGATGTTACGTGTTAGCAATGCCTGAATGCTTACTGCGTACGCATTCCCCCACCCCTCCCCCCAAGAAAAACAAAAAGAAATTATATATAAAAGTATAAACAAAATAATAATAATCCTCAAATTATCACCATGGATGATATGAGACAACTAATTCAGAAATACTCAAAAAAGAAAACTATCCTCTTATTATATTTTTTCAAAACATGCAAAGTTGTTTGAGGGTTGAAGGGGCAATTATTGTCTGTGGGGTAATTATTCTTGAAGGGGGAGGGTAGTTTTACATGTTGACTTGCCAAAGTATCATAAAGGTTGCAACTACACAAAATATCATTGGAGGTATCAACATGGAATTTTCTTTTAAAAATCATTTCTTTATGAGAAAAGTAAAACACAATAGAATTACATGTACATGTACAGAGGACCACAAACATGCTTACATCTATGCACTGCTTAAGCAAAACTCTCTGTTTTCTATGTGCACATTATAGCATATGGCAGGACTGTAAATGACATTAAATTATAAAGTCTTATTAAATGTAGCATATGCCATCTTACATGTTTATCTGATTAAAATAATATTCTGAGTAACTTTAATAAAACACATAACTTGAATGATCAATGAGTAGTCTACATACCTCCATCTTCTCCTTCTTGACAATGAGCATTGTATGAGCATCCTCCATTGTTTGTGAGACATGATGTCAAAGGAGGATGACATTCCAATCCATCACCCCAGTAAGGTGGTCTGCAAACACAGCTTCTTATATTCTGAGAAGTATAAAGTGAAAATTAAAACTAATAAGATTTGTCCTTCCTTTTTTTGTGTACAAGTTCAACTCCAACCGTTCATGTACTTCAAAATAAATGTATTAATGTCTATTGTGTACAGCCATTTGAAATTCAGTGAGTATATATGTCTTCTAGCATGTTTTCACTGTGTGAAAAAAATCTGATGAAAAAGATAGATGCATATAAAAAAATCTTTAAAATCCAAACATACTTAATAATCGAACGAGTGTGATATATTCACTGTGTATATATATATATATATATATATAGTACCCACAGAAGACCATGCCACAAGTTTGTGCTCAAATCTCTTGGAAATGCAAATTATACAAAGAAAAAAAAATCTAAATCTAAATTTAAAAATGTAAATCTGCTAAGACTGTTTGCTTGTCAGTAAACTTACTGGTCCTCTAAATCTGCATGATGCATTAGGATGGCAACCTCCATTATTCTCCTCGCAAATGTTGACTGGAAGACAGACTATACCATCACCGTGGTAACCATCGTGGCATGTGCAGTTGACGTTAATGGCTGATGTATTGTGAGTGCAGCTGGCATGGACGCTACAGCCACCATTTTCTGAGAAACATTTGTTGATAGCTGCACAAGAAATTTAAAAAAAAAGAAAACATGTTACACCATCTATTTTATATCTACACAAATATTGATGTTATAACAATAATAATATTTTTTTTAAATAACTAGAATAAGTTTAACCTTGAGTATTGGGTGCATTACATCTTTCTAGCAAGTTCAGTTCAAGTTCATTTATTCAAAACCACACAAAACATGATATAATCTTTTACATAAAAACGAGACTGGTAATAGTACATTAATCAACATATATTAACTTCATTACATCATTAAATTAATGGTTTTAAGACCCCTGTAGAAGCTAAGCTTGTGAGCGGGGCCCTATAGTCAACAAAATACATACATTAACGATATGAAGGAAGGTGTATGGAACAGAGGGATTATGACTGATATACCAAGGTTTAACTGAAGCAGAATCTGGAAGAACAAATTCATATATAGATACAGGTAGTATGGAGATAAGAAGAATCACACACACACACACACACACAATGAAAATCATTACCTTCATCATGAATAGTTGGTCACATGTAATGTTGTTTCTGAGCTCATAATACAAAACAAGGTCTTCAAAAATAAACATAGTACTTTAAAGAATTTATTTTCTTTAATTTATAGTATTAATCAGTATCTCTGAGCGATTTAAGGGCCTTAGGGGAGACTCTCAAAGTGGAGGATTAAAAAACAAACGCCTTACCACAAAACATTGTAATAACATAATTTTTACTGATCCATGAACTTACTGTTGCATGTGTAGCCATCTCCGTGATATTGCGGTGAACACTGGCACCTGTTGCCATAGCGACATACAGCATTCTGATGACATGGAGGGTCACACGTTGGTATGAAGGTCAGAACACGCTCACACAATGGACCATCTCGATCAACAGAACAGAAACACTCACCAGACTGGCCATTACAGATAGATGAGTTGGAGCATCTGCACTCTGCACAAGATAAGAACACAATGTATCAAATTTAAACAGACTAGTTCTCTTCGGAGCTATACCAATCACCACCAAACTACTGGACCATATCATCTCTACATTAACCCTAAAGAGACTCCAACTCTATGCCCCCCAATGTGCAGGGTAAATTGCATTAGAAATGGCCTTATTCAGGGCTCCAATGCAAACATTTCTAAGAAAAACTCTGTCGCTTTCCCTCGCATGTGTTGGTTCAAAATCTTGTTGTTTCCCCTGGCTTCTTAAGAATTGCTCATGTCTGAATCTCCAATTTGCCAGGGGTTTCAGGCCAGAGAATCTCCCATTTAGGTGATGCTTAGGGTTGGAGTCTCTGACCCTGTGTAAAAGTATTTGGGTTAAGTCTTTCCTAACTCTCAACAGACAATATATCCATACTTGAATAATTCAGAGAAAGAGAGAGAAAGACAAGATAAATACAAATCTGGAGCTTGCTTACTTCTACATGATGGCCCATAGAACCCTGGTAAGCACCTCTCACATGCTGTGCCTGCAAAGCCCTCACGACATGAGCAAACTCCATCATTATCATACCCTTCATTACACCGACCATGGTTGTTACATGGGTAGGTCGGTCCTCCGGGACATTCTGTAGATGATGACAAAGATATGGAGAAAATAGACTGACAAATTTAATGAGAAAAGGTCAGCGTAGACTGTATTGATGTTGTATTTTGTGGTCTGATATTATCCTGTTAAACATTTCAATATTGAGTCTAGTTAAATGTAAACACGTACTATGGCTATACGCCTTGTCCACATACACAAATAATGCAAGATTAATTGGTTTACGGAACAATCATTCCCAATACAAGCAAATACCGCAATGAGAAATCTGTTAATTTATCTAATGGATATTAAAGATATACAATTTTGGAAGTTTTTGAGCCTTGAAATACATGTAACTTTTTAGTTACAAGTGAGCAAACAATTAAACAGCAATCAATGAAATTGCACAATTTTCTAAAGAAAATAATATGGATTGTTTATTACCTTGACAACTGGGTCCATAGTAACCTTGACAACATTCCCTGGTGACCTCAGTAAATTGGCAATCCGTCTGACAACCTCTCTCATACCAGCCACCATGAAAGCGACAACCAGACTGTTCAGCTCCCTGAATATACAAAAATATAAAAAACATTATACATCAGTCAGAGCGTTAGTAAGAAATCTTCCCCACAGGGTACTTTGGGATTAGTCTTGGTCACATATAATGCTAAAGCCCAAATATACATGTACGAGTGTAATTGTTTTATAAAATGAGGATGAGGATTTGTGTTGTTTGACAAATCCCTTAATATCAAATTTCATAGCATCAAATGATAAAAGTTACATCCAGACCATTCAAGGGCTGCTCGATATAAAGCCCAAATGATCAGATATTGGCACTTTCTAATGACCATATAGGAAGCACATATTCCTGCTTTCAACAAATCCATTTGATTGGGATCTACATAATCATTAATGAAGTATGATCTTGTGAAGGCATATCTTGCAACAAAATGTTGCTGTATTATCATGATTGTTTTGAAAAGAAAAAAAATAGAAAATCAGCACTTCATATTTGGAGAATGATTTATTATACTCACCACTTGTTCTGCCTTAAGTGGACACATATGAGAACCACATCGCTTGCATCGACTCTGACAAGGGGCAAGACATTAAAAAACAAAAAAATTATACATGAATAATGCTCTAAACTCAACACAGATAGTATCTCAACTCATAATTATATTTTAATTAAAAGTTTTCCTCTTGCATTTTTTTTAACAGATCAAAATTAGGGGTAAACCCATGGTGTAGTGGTCCACCCACAGATCTCATCAATTACATTGCACGAGACCCAACGGTTATTGTGATTAAGTTTGTTTTTCCCTCCAATACTTCCAACCTCTAATACTATTTAATAAAAGAGTTGATTTGCACTATAAAATCCAATAATAGCATTATACTTAAATGATGACAAAATTAAATAATTATCACCTTTCTGATGTGCGTTTCTACGATATCGCATCTGCCATCCATCCTCGGCAAGGAGACGACCTCTGATACTGGGAAGAGAACACCGCCCTCAAACTCCAGTCCAACACCAATCACCCTGCTTCTCTCATTCACAAACAGCTTCCCCTGGAGATTCATGATTAAATATAGAGGAGTGATTATAAGACATCAAATATATGATGGCTCTGGGGTTGGAGAGAGAGGTGGTATTGATCTGAGAGGTCTTGGGTTTTTATACCCATCAAGTACACAAGCACTCAATCTTTACTCCATAACATCCTTTAAACTTTCCTGTTAACTGCTATACTTACTATGTACAAGCATATATACCCTTGCTTTCTTGTTTACTCACACTCGAATAAAATGTATATATACCAGTCAAGGAGTATTGTAAAAAATGTACAGAAAATAATTAAGTGAAATCGATCAATGTATACATATAATCGTTCAGCATCATCATTATCATTAAACACTGGTTCAAAATTAATAAAAATGTATGATTTCTATTATTTTTAGAATTTCGAATTGCATATTTTGTAAGGTGATGTTTCAATTATTTATGGCATGACATTTTTGAGAATCTGAACCATGTTTCATACATGTGAAGGTTCCTGATTTTACAGTTGCCCATCTATACAGCAGGTGCTTATTGTCTTACCTGATCAATGATGCTTAGCCTTAGATCAGAGCCTTGCAGACTTGGTACAGTATAAGGGCCAGTCTTGGGCCAAAGATCATCAAACAATCGCTGTGCGGAGAAATAAACGTTGTTAAATAACATTTGTCATACTAATTTTTTTGTACAAGTTTTTACGAGATATTTTATTATGTTAACCTCCACTTGTATATTTAAAAATTATTTACTTATTAAACCAAACAACTAAAAAGTTTTTTTAAATAAACTACAATATGAATATTTATCTACTACAGGAATCTACATGCAGTAAAATTGGACAACAGGTAGTGAGACATACAAACATATATGTTGCAATTATCATAATTCAACCTAAATGGGTTAATTCATGGAATACAAGAAAAAGGTACCTCATCTGGAAGTACATGATGGGCGATGAATTCTTGCAGCAGAAGCCTGTTGCTAGGGTCCATCAACTCATCTAGCTTATCTGGAGGCAGCCTCATGAATGCTTCATCCGTGGGAGCAAAGATGGTACTGTAGCTTTCAAATCGCCCTCCTTGCCTCATACCATGGGGTGGGTGCCTACCAGGGGGTCTGCCTCCCAGAGGCCGGTCAAGAGGCTGGTCAAAAGGCCGGTCAAGAGGCCGGTCAAGAGATCGCTTTTGGTAATGACCATGATTGTAGGAGACTCTGTTGCGTCTATATCTGTCACCTATGAAATTGGGGTTTGCAGCCTCTGCATGTTTAATATGGAAATCTCTGGACAAGGCGCTCCTTCTCTGGGTTGATTTGAGGTCATCCAGTCTCAGAGTGCTACCTCGCTGCATTCTTCCCTCCCTTCTGTGCCTACTCCTACCATAACTTTTACCCTGATGCATTCCTCCTGACCTTTCCCAACCACGGATGGATTCTTCAACCCCACTTGATCCTTCTCCAGACATACCACCGGGTCGACCGGGGCCTTCTCTGTAACCAGATTGACCATGCCCACCCTCTCTTCCACTACCAAGCCCATCCTCCCAACCATTACCAGGCCCACCTTCCCTATCACTATCAGGCCCATCCCACCCCCTCCCACCACCAAGCTCACCCTCACTACCACTACCAGGCCCATCCCACCCCCTCCCACCACCACGCCCATCCTCCCTACTACTAACACGCGATCCATTTATCCTCGGGGGAGGACGACGGGGTGGAGGACGACGGGGTGGAGTACGGGGTGGAGGACCACCATGTCCAGGATGTGGGTGGGGATCAATAAAGAATTCTTCGAACATTGGTGTCCGTTGCAGGAGCTGCAGGAAGATGGAGATGTTGTGACTGGTGCCGAGGATTCCCATGTCTCTACCAAAGTTTGGATGCCGACGGCGATTGTCTTCATCTGAAGAAGTTCCCATATCCTTTTAGAAACGAAAGGGGGAAGTAATTTTTGGGGGAAAAAAGCACCAAAGAAGAACAGAGTTAATTATTTGGAGGTTTTCAAAATATTGCCATAATCCAAAGAGATACTGAAATACTACTACATGATTAACTACCAACCAACTTGATTACCATATGCTGTAAATGAGTAAAACAAAATAAACACTTTCCATGGACCTAGTACAATTGCTCTCTCCCATACAGATAAATGATATTTGTATGTTTTGCAACGTCTAAACAATGGTTGCGCAGCTATGCAAAGCTTAGCCGCCAATTTTGATGTCACGTTCCTTGGCCATACACAGTGGGTTGTTCAAGGACGTAATAATTAATTAATTTATTCGTAAACAACTTCTGAAAGGAAAGTGTTGATAATTTGAGTTAGTTTAGCCTCCCCCTTGCAATGATACAAAATCATTGAGTTTAGATACAGTTTTAATCCCTCGCACAGCTACTTTTAGAATTCTGTTAGTGCACGAAATTGATTGGTGTCACCTCATTTCATACCTGTTCTCTAGGCCACTCATAAATTCTTGGTGGAGTTAACATGGTGTCGATGATATATATGATGCCATTAGATGCGTTATGATCAGCAGAGATGAATCTCCCACTGGCTCCTAGTATAAGTTTGTCGTTCTGTGAATTAGGCAATAATTCAAATTCAAATTTACTTCTTTTACATATTGCATTTATTTTGTTGAAACAAAATATGTTCAATAACACTAAGCATAATTTCCTAGGGGAAAACTAATTAATAAGCTTGATTAGCAAAATATCAGCTACATATAATATTCTTGTTTTAACAAGTTCATCACAAGTTATGGTGAACACTTATATATATATATATATATATATCTAGATATTGGTACATCAATCATATTAATGTTCAAAATATCTCTCACACATGAAAATCCAATCTGCTTTAGCGACTACCTGTATAGAAAGACCACCTGTCTATAAAAATACTGTCTGTTGTTGTTGTTGCTCACACCAGAATATGTCATTGGATCATGTACTTTGGGGAACCTGTACATAAATACAACCTGCCCATAAAGATCAGTTTTCTTGCTTTTCTCAAGCAGCCTTTAAATACAGGTTTCACTTTATCTATATACTTTATATATACTTCCATCTTTTGTTTTTTTAAGATATAAGTTAAAATTTAAGAAGAAATTTCCCTAATAATTTCATTTTCCCCCCCATTATGATTCTGAACCCTGGACTCACCTGACTGATACCTATACCAAGGTCTTGACCATTCATCATTCCTAAGGTTGTACGATTACGAAGATCTGTCATGGTCATGTGACTGCCTGCAATCACATGATACAGGATGTACTGCGTCATGGGGTACAGCTCCTCATGCCGACTCTGCAATACCAAAATATTATATGTATATTACATCAAACACTAGATAGGGTAACATTAGTAGACAAGATGCAGCATTTTCTTGATACTAATGGCAATTTGAACTATTTAATATAGGAAATAACAATGATTACAGCACAATCTAGTATAGCCTTTCCCCATACCTCTATCCATCGCATGTGAGAGAAGTCAAGATGTAGAAATAGAATGGACTAAATAAAAGAACCAGGAATAAATCCACAAGATCACAGTTTTTCAGGTTAAAATAATAATAATAGCTTGTTCTTATATAGCGCTTTTCAGGACCGGAGGCCGTCACAAAGCGCTTTACAGATAAGTATATTATTACCCCGGTCATTGGATGAAGTTAGATACCTGATTTTGTAAAAATACAGTAATAGCTGCGTTGGATGGCACAAACAAGGTGAAACTTCCTTCGCTTCTCCTGAGAAATGAACGAGAATCCAGCTGAAATACAAGCAGTCATAATCTGTTTAGTCACAGACCTCATATGAACATTCCACAATAGACTCTGATTGAACTGTGAGCATAACAGAAATAATGACATTTGTATAAACATTAAAAACATATGTGTAAAGAAAAAGAAATATTTAAACCAGGAGGGGTTTTACATTTGATACGTAGCAACAGCAGCTCCGACCGGTCAGTATACCATCAGGCCATATCTGGTCCACAGCAGGGTCACAAGTAATCACAAACATTATTCAGCTTACCATTTATTAGCACTTTCACAAAGATCATTTCAGAAGTAAACAATACTCACACTTTCCAAGAAATAAACAAAGAGGCTGGCCTCAGGCAAGCTCCTAAGCTCCTAAAATAAAGAAATAAGAATTAAAATGTGTAATTCATTGTTAATTATAATCTGATTTATAGGTTTATATTGACAGGTGAACATCATAATTCACTGGTATTCTCCACATTCCATCATATCTAATTGAGAACTGGCTTCTCAAATGAACTATTATTCTGAAGAAAATTTCTATGAGTAGTGATCGTACACAAAAAGTGATGCATCAAATTAATCATCCATTTTACTTCCAATTTTTGTGTTTTGTTTTTAATTCATCACTTTTCTTTCAGCGTGTCATGTTGCAACCTTAGTTTGTAATCCTATATAATTAGTCAAACCTTTATCAAATTCCATTTATGAAGCCCATTCAACATAAATCAAAAGACTAAAAAGATGTGTTTCTGGACAGGTGGGTTATCAAGATGGTTTTAAACAGAAAATCAAATGTCTGTGCATGCATGTACAAGGATTTTTTAAACTTTCAAAAATATTATGTTGACAATTGAATTGTCAATAAGTATTCACTTTATATCACTTTGTACCACTTTGCTTGATTCATTTTTCCTGAAAATACAATGACAAAGGCAGCAGCTTAACTGTTGTTCAGTCTCCACACAGATCCTCCCCATCCTACCTCAAATATGCTTCCAAGACAGAAGAATCCATCTCCATCGTAGCCATAGTTACAGCTGCACCTCCTTTCATCCAAACCTAATGGGATGCAAGCAGCCCTGAAATGGCATCCACCGTTGTCATGGGAACAGGGGTCACTAGCCACACACTCAATGCCATCACCATGGTAACCATCCAAGCACTGGCATTGCAGCTAAGGGGGACAAGGTGTATGATTACACAAAAGACATTTGAAATAACAAGAATCAATCAATCCAAATCAAATCCTTGGGAGTGGAAAAGCAAACTATATAATCACCATGTTCATTGCGTCTCTCCTCCTGATATCACTGATCGGGGGTGTGCAGGTGGACCTCTACATCAGGGGTTTCCCCTTACTCTCTTATAGAAATAGTGCAGTGGGTTCTTAACGTGCAGAGGCTTCAGTCATCCACTTAGGTTTACATATGAATCCAAGACTGTTGGTTTGACAGGCATAACCTTAACCAACTTTAACGCTATAGAGAAGTATTTCGTTTCTTGTTTAAATATATAAAAAATTAAAATATCTTTGGTCCTTCCTACAAAAACAACTTTAAATTTTGTTTTATTGTAAACATTAAGAGGAATGCTCAGTTGAGAGGAGATGGATAGCACTTAAAGTAAATATTCTAGAGCTATCAAAGTCCCATAGGATGTTTTAGGCAAGAAAACACCAACATCCCAATAAGCAACAGCATTATCTACAAAACAATAACGGAATCCATAAGCAATAGCCTAAGTAGTGGCAACATTATTAACAATTACACTCACAATACATCATTACAAGTGATGGCAAGAAAAGGCAAATATAGATAAGCCAAATGGTTACCAAAGTTGAAGTCTTCTGCATGCATCTAGCTCCTTGATGGCATCCTCCATTCATTCCATCCTCACACGTTCCCTCTCTCAGAGAGGAGGACAGGATTCCAGGAATACCATGAGCAATGCCATTGGGAAGGATGAGTATGTCTGGAGCTGCAATAGGAATCATATCTACAGATGCCTGTCAAATGAGAAGGGGTGAATATAGAGTTAAATATACCAGTACTGGCAAATCTTGAATTCTCAGTAATGACACTGAGTCGCTCAACCTACAAAAGCTTGTTGAAGTTCAAATTATGGAATAAAACCATTAATTAAATCATAAAGGCATATTGAACTGTTGACTAATTATAGGAACATTAATGGAAAAAAGTATTAAAGCACATAAATCGCCCCCCCCCCCCTCTCTCTCTCTCTCCTTTTTTTCTCTTTGTCTTCATCTCCCTTTTCCTTGATTCTCACCCTCCATCTCTGAACTTATCTTTCAGATTTATCTTGTCTCTTTCTCCTTCATTCTCCCCCTTCTATTCTTCCTTTCCACTCCACACGCACTCACGTCTACTTTATCTCTTCATTATCTTACTCTTCTTTTCCCCACTCCTCTTCTATCCTGTGTGTGTTCAGATTTCTATAAAATAAAGACACACTCACTGCTTCACTGGAGGCCAAGAAATGAAGATGTTGACCAGAAGCTGAGGTAATATTAAGCTCTTCTGATATGTTGTGGTAATACAGTGTCTTCCCTATCACTAAGTGATGCTGCAGAAAGTCATTTGGAATCTGAGGAAATGAAATAAAAATAAGCTAGATTGAGATATAATTGTTAATAAAATAAAAACAGATTAATGTGAAAAGCTGATGGAGTGTAATATTCGTTACAGCTTAGTAAACATTCAGATGAAATCTTAAGTGTGATTTTTATGAAAGAATAATATAGAATTGATAAAAATATAACATATAAATTGTCATTGACAATACAACAAAGACCATACACATGTATACAAATGAAGAACCCTTCCTAAATGAAATATAAAGTATGCATTTTTTTTTGACAGTCTGTGTGCAAAACACTATGTAAAACCTTCAAAATTTGGGGGGTTCGGACTTAGATTTTGGGCACCCATGTGTCCCGGGCGCTTGTTAGTGTTTAGGCCTGGCAAAGGTCATAGAATAATTGGGTAACATTGAACTAAAATTAGGTTAATTATTGACACCTGAATGTTGGAAAATTAAGACCATGGAAGAACATAACCAGACACCTTTAACTAAGTACATCATCCGCTGACAGCCAGACTGGCATTGATGACCTACTGGCTGTCAGCAGATGATGTCAACTGTGTCTTATTGATAGCTTACCTCAGTAGACCAATTCAAAGATGACATGGCTACATTGTCTGGTAGAAAGATTGTGTATGGAGTTGTATCATCAAATGGCAACAACCCTGATACCTGGATGAAATTAGAAATAAAAGATATCTATTTTACCATATTTCCAATCAACTCTTTTAAATCAATCAGGGGCCATCTTTAAAAGACTGGTAGACAATTCATTTCCACATTCCACGATATGATTCAGACAATGAATACGACTACAATCTGAACACCTCGCCATGCTCCATATCCCCATCATCCTGCTAATAAACAATCACCAAATATATTCAACTCTGTGGAATGCATTCCTTCTCAAAATTTGCTAAAAATTATACTTTTCTTCATTGTACAATTGGTATATTATTCTTCATGTATTCTCATACATTAAACAATATCGTCAACTGAGATCCTCAAGTGCATTAATTTATGTAAGTTTATCTATCTTTAACGCCCTTCTGGCTCTAGACTGTTTAAAGCTTAGTTCACTTCCAAATGAATCCTAAACCGCCGCATTGTTTGGAGTATAGGTTACATGTACATTGTTAGTTTATAAGTCAACTGCAGAGCTGAAACGTTATTCGTTGCATTAGATGACCAAAGTGTCGGGCTGTCAAACAGCGGAAAGTAGTACATGAAAAAGCAACCAACCTGTATCAATTGCCAAGCCTGGGAGTAATCTTGAACATCACCAGAGATTGGCGTAAGAAAATCAATCTTGCCTTGAACCTCCAGCAATCTATTGATCCAATAATCCTTGGCATAGCTCTATATAAATTGGGCAAAAAATAGTCAATTATTAGATAAAATTAATTGGATTTACAACCAACTGAGGATACAAAGTATTGAATACCGGTACTATACAATCTCAAATGTAGTTAACCTGATAAGGCACTCAAGCATTTAACAAGCTTTCTTCCCATGTAGTACATGTACCTGCTCAATTCAGCTGGGTGCAGAGTGGCAAATACAGATACATATCTTGCCAAAGGATATCAGTGAAGCAACAGGGATTTCAACCCCATACGATATATGTTGCATAATCCCATAGCTTATCCAAATGATCATCCCATTATTAAACTCTGATTCTGGTTGCTCTAGAAACTTAAATGCATTAAGCTAGGGTTTATTTATAAGTTTGAGAATGTGTTTAATAAACTAGCATAGCCGTTAACTGCCTAACTAACCTGGAAATCAAGTACCGGTAATAAATTCTTGATACTTACAATGGGAACGAAGATCAATCCATTTGTAGCATTCTCAACTTGTGCAATACCACCATTGATGTTGGACAGGTTACTATATGGTCCCTTGGGAATAAGAAAGGTAAAACAATATGCTGGATTCCATTGCAACAACAACACAATACCAACTATAATGGTTATAAATTTATGTTAACCTAGGAACTTTTGCGACATGAAACTTTTATGGATTGGAAACAACAGCCATTTTTGTGGAAAGTAACTTTTATGTATTTTGCACAAATTCTATATTGTGTCAGTTGCGATTACATTAATTTGCAGCCTGATAATTTCTCAATCTAAACCACTTGCAAAATTGTTGAAGATTTAGTAAAACTTCCTGACTTTACAGTATAATGTATATATTAATAGAAATGGTTTCATGAAGAAGAATATTATAACATCTATAGAAATGTTCACTTTTTAATTGCATTTATTTCTCAGAATATGAAAGGGTAGTGACACGGAAATTCCTTACTGATGGACACTGTTAACATTTCAGAATTTATATGAACAGAGCATTACATTAGTAGAGCTCATATGAGCCTTCTCTTCCTCTCTCTTTCTCTCTCTCTCTCTTCCTCTCTCTCTCTCTCTCTCTCTCTCTCTCTCTCACACTCTCTTTTTCTCTCAATACATTCATTGATACACATACTAAAGAAACTAGCTTACATCTATGATCACATTCTCTCCAGGCTGCAGGCTAGGTAATGTCTCATTGAAGCTCCTCTGTGATGGATCCATCATAAACATGTGAGACCTGAATCGATAAGGTTGGATAAAATGAGATAAAGAGGGCATGTTAGACATCAGAATTCCTACATCGTCTTTTTGGAGTCTCAGTTTCTTTAACATAGAGTTAACATACTTTTGGCTCTGAACAGATGATATATAATCGTAGAGTCTGACCAGTCTGTACAAGGTCGCCACAGGGGAACACAATTTAGAGATTTAGAGATTCTTTTAATCTTTTTGAAAACTGTATTACACATAAAACCCTCTTCCCACACACATACACTTTGGGAATGACAGAATAATTACATTTTCACAATTATTCAAATTCTTTATCTACGTTTGAAAAAGGTCAATTAAAACTTTCACATGAATTCAATTAATTTGACGTTTTCTTGATCAATCAAAGTTATTTATGAACATGCTGTCTTCTGTTAGTAGTTTCTCTGAGAAGTTTTTATGGAAAACTATTTGTTGTCATAAGCTTCTACCTTAAACAAAGAACTATCAACAAAAAAATATTAAAATAAGCAAAAATTGTTGTACATATCAATGTCATTTATGAGCATTTTATCCAATTTTTCTTGCTCTGCTAAAAACAAATATCTTGGAAATTTGTATTCAGATGCTTTTGAAGTAAAAAAAAAAAAAAAAGAAAAAAGGAAGGGTTACCTGACAAAGTAAGCCATGATGCGTCGCTCTGCCAGTGAGCCCCCAGTGGTAGAATTGATGAGTTGTAACATGTGAGGTGATGGTACAATGACTCCAAGGGAATCGTCAATATGACTGAGGTAGCCGTCTAAGGAAACAGCCTTCAAACAGAACAAAAATTAATGAAGATTTCTCATAATCATCAAATATATATCACTTATAATATGATCAACTTTTAAAAGCAGATCGACGCATGGGAGAAGATCCTGGTATATGGCAGAATGAAGTAGTACATAGTGCCTAGGGAAAAAAACCTGTATGAGCAACTATTATTAATACTTCTGGTGTTGTTGTTGTCATTAGTCAACTGCTGTCATTAGATGTACTTTGTATAACATTCTTCAAATGATTTGCTTGAACAAAATGCACTTATTGCTTTCATATAATAATATTTAATAATAATAATATTTAGCTTTTATATAGCGCTTATCACAAATGTCTCTAAGCGCTTTACATTATAGTATAACCCCGGTCATTGAATTCAGTGCTTGCCCGCACACACTGTGTGCACAATCTCCACTCCCTGGGGAGCATTCTAGCCAGGCGTTACCTATGCTCAAAAACTGTTTGGCCAACAATGACGGTCGCATCCTACCGGGTACCAATTTTAACAACTGGGTGGAGAGTAGCAAGTGCAGGTTAATATATGCGTGAATTGTATTTTCAATCAATTTGGATACAAAAGACAGCAATCAGAACATCAACCATAGAAACCAGTACAAAGTTATCATATTCCTGAAATAGGGACCAACCTGAATCAACTGCCAAAAGAGTTGAGCATCAGAGAGAGATGACAGCTCCTGAGAGATAGAAAAATATGAAGATTATCACATCAAGTGCGAAATGGAATGCAAATGAGTGTACCACGAGAGAAGAGAAGTTTACACAAAATTGATCATAATTGACTGAAAATCAAATTTCCCAAATCATCTCTTCCTGCATCATGAAAATACAAATAAACAACTAGACACAGCTTGCAGTCACAAACACATGTCAATCAATTTGTAGGCTTGAGCCATTTGGAAATTAGGTTATTAAAAATAACATGGGCCTTTTAGTGGATTCTTTGTATGAACATAATAACTATTGAATTCTCTCATTACCACAGACTTAATACTGGGACATGATCATCTATATAATAATAATAATAATAATAATAATAATCTTCTTAAAGGTAAAGACCAGTTATGGTCATGCGATTGCATTGTGAAAGAAACGTTGTGGAATCGATCAGAAAAGGTTGATCATCTAGCATCTAGTATCTGCAAGGTTCTGGAATCATCAAAATGATAAGAAATTTGGCCCATTCTTCGTAAAGTTACAAGCACTATACACAGAAAGATGTATATGGGACTACCTTATATCTCTCACAGACCATGAGAGAAACAAATTTACCAAATATATGAATTAGTAGGCGGTTTCCCGGCAAATTTTTTATCATCATGTATTAGTCAAAACATAGTCTTTCTCATGATTGGTAATGAGAGCTTCCATTTCATTTTTTGAAATTGGGGCGTTTCCAATACTGGTCTTTACCTTTAAGTCCACTCCATATAGTTTATGTAAGCAATTGGAAAAGTTTTACCATGAGCTTTCGACTAGTTAGAGTGATTTTTAAAAAAAAAATTCTCATAAATAAATGAAAATAAATGCATATAGTAAATCAATCTTATGTGTCATACACGAAATGCTCATCTTACCACTGCCAAGTTTGAGTAGCAATTGTTCTTGTCTAGTGCCCATCCAGGTGGGCATACACATTGATATGTATCAGGTCCTGTAGGTTCACACTGCGCCTAGAAGCAGCAACATTGAATATTACGATAGGGGTCATATAACACATTATAGATTATTTTGAAAATGAGACATGTAACGGAATAAACACAATGACATGGGGACTATCACATTTTCATGGTCATATCAATATAACAATACAAAGTTTTTAATATAATGTGATAGCTGCATTCAATATCACTGCAACATCTGAATAATTTTTCATAATATTTTGAATTAAGACGTACATGTAGTCATATTCGATCATCACAATCCATATGCACGCAAAGAGATGAGAACCTCTATAATTGTGTTACAGACCATTAAACAACCATTCAATACTGGATACACACATGGTTTATCCCTAGGTTCCGCAACAAATGCTCTGGGAAGGATTGCTCTATGATTAATTTTTAAATTCCAAACACTTCAATCTTGGACTTAACACTTAACCCAACACTATAACCCTTAACATAACCTCCAACTCAATTGCAACTCTAATATTAACTCTAAATCTCTGATGAAATAAATCCTGGAGCCATTGTTGCTGGTGCTATGTCAGTCTTACCTCAGTATCACAGTCATGCGGTCTCAGGCACGCATTGATTGGTTCACACAGATATCCATGGCCCTCATAGCCAAAATCGCAGATGCATTGGATCTTTAAATAAAAGAGAGAATAATCTATAACAATGCTAAAATTCATCATCATATATTTTCAGGGTAATCCACCCTTTGTGATAAGTTAATTTGTATGAAAGAAGAAAATAAGAGAACTAGAATGGCCAAAGTTTGAAACAAATTGGAGCAATTATAAAAGAATTATATATGCTTGAAATATGAGATCACTAAATCTATGGGAATCTCAAATAGGCATTTTGGAAAGTGGATTATGAAGCATGCATGGCCAACTCTAATTTCTGTTTTTCTCCAAAGTGCCTTCTCACCTGGGGCACTACTCAAAATATATTATGGATAGCATACTATTATATAGGTCCTCTAAAAAGAAAACAACCCACCTGAGTCATACCATTTTGAAAAATTGTCCTTTGGTATGTTGAGACAAATGAGAAAGTTGTCTGGCACTTCGTCACAATGACATTACCCATTCAGCCAAAATTAAAGCCTTCATACATATTATAATAACAACTTTCAAAAATTCATAATTTTCTTATGTTTTGTCTGATTTTATTCAAATTGTCACCAGTCTGCTTCTTACTTTTAGAGTATTTGTTTATTGAGGTTGGATTTTTCTTCAATATTAGGCTGTATTCTTGTATCATACTCAGCCTGGCAGCTTTGTATGAAAAAAGCACATAGCCCTAACTAGAGTGTCAATAGATATTATACATGTAATAAAGTCATTCTCTGATCTTCTTTGGCTCAATTAACCACACCGCATAGGTTTGTCTCCTTACCATAGAGACTATGTTACAGACAATCGTTAAATTGCACATTGATTACTCCTCTGAAAGTCTACAATTATGAACAGAAAAAGCATTAACCATGATACTGTCTATTAAGAGTCAGACAGGCATTAACTTTGTGTACAAATATACAAGTTAATGCCCTTGCAGCTCTCGGCAGCACATACACAATAACCTCCCCTAAAACAACATAAAGAAACATTACAATACATATAGATCAGGATAACTCTACTTGTAATTCTTCTGTAAATTGAAATAAAATTTAATCGTTTACTGACTTTGGCCAACCAACAAAACAAATATTGGACTGTCGCAATCAACCTTTGGCACACATATATGTACAGTGTATAGGGAACATAACAATGTAGCAGTCAGTGATTCAGTCCACAGCATATATAGAGTTTAAAGCGAAGGTTTTATCAACATTACCTTTGCATATATATCACCATACCAAAATACATGCTTAAGCACAAATAAATGCACTGTGTTTTGCTATTATATTTAAAACATGATTTCTCATTATAATCTACAATGACTATTATTTAATCCAGAGAGGATAAGTCAAACAAGCAAGGAAAATAAGTTAGAGTTATTAAAGGTAATACAAAGTTTTGATATGGGGATCATGAATTTGGTTCAAATGAACATATTGGAAGCATATATGCGATCCTACAATATTCAGTGATTGTTGTTGCGGTTGAAATCGAGTCAAAAGTTATGAAATTGTAAATATTACACTCTTTATGTTGTATAGCTCCCTCTCAAGGTCAAGATATTAATTAAGCTATAAAACAATGTTTCTTGACTAAAATCGACCGATTAGCTATTCCCGTTTGGAAATTATATTTCACAACTACATATTCTGAGATTTTCATCTGTATTTTCCATTGTACAGCCGTAGGCGCCATTTAAAATTTATCAAAATTTACCGGGAGCACCTGTAAATTTTTGTATTCATTATTTTTCTCGAAAGCAGAAGTGTTTTAGGGGCTAAATTTTCTAGGGCTTATAATACATCCGTAGGGGCATCCAAATATATCAAAATTGTAAAAAATCACTATTCACCCAATTTTCAAAATCCCCAAAACTTTGTATTACCGTTAAGGATTCTCCTTATTTCACATAATGAAGTACTGTTTGATGCAGAGAGAAAAGGTCAACTTTCTTTACACATTAAAAATATGGGATTGTGTTCTATCACTTTTTGATTAGTTAAATGTACACTGTTATTTTTGACGTCTTCATTATGCTGCACAAACATGTGCTCAAGCTAATTATATATGTATGTATCAGTTATGTAAAAGTTTTATTGTATCATTTCACAAAATATGCTTTTATGAATCATACCAAATCCAAGGCAAATTCATGGAAACATTCTGCATACCGATGACAGCCTCCATTATCCGTTTTTTATATTACTGCTAATCTATAAACTATTAACCTGTTCTTCTGTTTGGTTCCGGAAGCAAGTCTCTGGTAATGAGAAGAATGAACTGGAGATCAACATAGCATCAACAATGTGAATGACTCCATTGGATGCTGCTATGTCAGGAGATGTGATGTTGGCAAACCCTGCCACAGTTATACGACCCTAGAGAGGAAAAAAATAGAAAATAAATGTGTAGAAGTAAAACACATTATATTGGTCTGGTAGACACTTAAGAGATACATTTTCAGTTTGGCAATTTTATGGAAATTAATGGAAACAGGCTTTTTATTGCCCAAGCTCTCGATATCTTGCACTCTAAAATTCTCCTCAGATCTGGTCTCTTAATGTAACAATGATGATTTCACCTTCCTGCCTCTCATTCATGTACAAAGTTTCTCATTATTTCAGTATACTATTATGACAAGATAAGCCAACTAAGCAACAGAGTATTTATGCAATAGGATAAGTGGTCCACTCTACTGGTGTTCCTTATTATCCTTCCATTACTTATTTACTTCAATTCTGAAAGGATTGCAAATAAATGCGATGAAATCAACAAAATTTACATCTCATAAAATATATTGTCTATTGAGAGTCAGAAGGGGGTTATCTCTTTGATGAAAGATATAGGCTAGTACCCTTCTTGTTTTCAACAGATGATATCTCCTGTAAGGATGTGTATTATTTCATATCCTGTGTGTCTGTGGGGCTTCAGATCAATATCCAAGTGCAGCAGACAGAACGATCTACAGAGCTATGAGCTCAAACTGAAACTGAAACCGTATACACCCTAAGTTTTGACTTACATTCTCAGATACCCTTATTTCAAAGTCCTCCCGATGATAATTTTGAATAACACCAGCTTTCATCAAGTCATGGGTAGACAACTGAAAGAAAAAGAAAATGTAATTAATAATGAGATCATTCATACAGATTCAATTTTTCACCAGTGCCTCGTCTAATAAAAGGTTGAGATTGATCCAAATCAATCGCAAGTCGTCCAATCAATCACAAGTTTATAGTCTCTTATCTCTGATGTACATGGTTGCAATTGATATCAATTGCAAATAAATTGCGATTAATATCAAATCTTTGTAAGACGGGGCCCAGACCTCTTCAGTAATCTATTGCCTATAAATCAGTATTTTAATAATATCACTAGTATTTTTCAAATTAATTCATTGGAACCACACACACTAAATATCATATATAACAACTGTGCAAAACATCAGTATGGTATCCTAGAAATCAGTACTTTTTGTGAAAAAATAGTGAATCAAGTAGGTATACAGATTAAAGTAAATAACTCCAATACACATACAAATCATATTTACAATCTGCTAGGTTTTCAACATAAAGTTTTGACAAATAATTGTATCAATGTTCTCTGTATGTTATTATGACAAAGCAAAGAGGAATAAATCAAACTCATTTAAAACTAGATTTATTATGTAATAACAAAAGACTGTAGTTACATAATTTCATTCATATTTTTCAGAACAAATCAAATTTACCTGAATTGGAGCCATGTGTTGATAGATAAAATATCTCACATACTGGAATAGGAATAAATAGAAGAATGGCAATTGATTGAAGAAAAAAATCTAGATATGCATAATATAAGGCTTTTCAACAATCGTAATCCAATTTTAAATCAAATCTAAAACAGACCGATAACCTTAAAGTCATATGTCATTTCAGATGATAAGGTACATGAAAACTTTATTACAAATATCCCCATCTTCATGCCAAACTGTAGCACTGCATGGTGTGTTTTTTCAGAACACGTACATGATTGGCTTGTAAAGGCTTGTTTACATATACGTCAGCAGTATTTTTTCCCTTCTTTGAAGGTAAAGACCAGTATTGGAAACGCCCCAATTTCAAAAAATGAAATGGAAGCTCTCATTACCAATCATGTGAAAGAATATGTTTTGACTAATACATGATGATAAAAAATTTGCTGGGAAACCGCCTACTAATTCATATATTTGGTAAATTTGTTTCTCTCATGGTCTGTGAGAGATATAGGGTAGTCCCATATACATCTTTCTGTGTATAGTGATTGTAACTTTACGAAGAATGGGCCAAATTTCTTATCATTTTGATGATTCCAGAACCTTGCAGATGCTAGATGCTAGATGATCAACCTTTTCTGATCGATTCCACGTTTCTTTCACAATGCAATCGCATGACCATAACCGGTCTTTACCTTTAATAACGTGTAAATGAATAGCAACTGCACCCAACAAAGGTCCTACACGTACATTAGTTACTGTTAGCTCTGTGTTATAAGATACAGAAACATGAAGCATTTCACTTGGGTTATTCAAAAAAATTACAACAGTCTAGTGCGGCATATCTGAACAAGGCTTTAGAATTCCTCTTGATATCTCTTTATTTCATATTATCTCTTTCCTGTACTAAACTTAGTTTTGGTGACACATACATTACATAAAATCTTTAATGCTAAATGTTTCTTGTCAATTCCTTCCTATATTCATCACTGTTTTACTTATGCCATCCTCACTTCATTCTCTCACTCCCCCTCTCCTGCACTCCTCTTTTTTCTTTCTTTTCATTATCTCTCTCTGTCTCTTTCTCTCTCTCTGTCTCTTTCTCTCTCTCTCTCTCTCTCTCTCTCTCTCTCTCTCTCTCTCTCTTTTCTTTCTCTCTCTCTCTCTCTCTCTCTGAACTTTCCTCTCCTCTTTTCTCTGTAATTGACTATTACCTCTTCCCATTGACCTGTTGAGAGAAGCAAAGAAGTAAGATCAGGATCCATTTGTAGCAAAGCATCATCTGTGACGGCAAAGATGGTGCGAGAAACTGCCTGAGAGTCCAGGTCTGACCGGAGTACTTCTGAACTCTGTTCATAAAAATCACATAAGAAATGTGTCTAGTGAGAGCCATTAGGCATCAAGTCATGCACTTAAACACAGAGTTAATGGCCTTTTGGCTCTCAGTAAGCGAATTTATGACTGTTTTTCCTCTCCGATTGTGCTGCTACTTCTCTAAAAATTTGCACAGATCTAAACTTCATCAGAGAACAAACCCTCTACAGAGTTGAATATGTGACTTGGCATTTTCCTTGCAGCACATTGCCTATCAAAGATACTGGGTTACTGGATAAGGATTAGGGTAACTTGCAATAAGAATTTAGGAAAGGTTTAGGATTTGGCTAGGACTAGGATTAATGTACAGTGTTTGGTCTAAGGAGTATGGATAAAGTTGAGGATTTGGTTAGTGTAGGGAACAGACTACAGAGTAGTTTTACTTTTAATGGCTGAGAGTAATGGCATTCATTTCTTACCATAATCATTCCTGCGAATGTCCAGAGATTGCTGTAGCTAGAAAGCACTTCCAAGATGGAACCCTGCATAATGAAAAAAGACCAAAGTAATGTAACATTACAACACAACAGGTATTGTAAGTATAGTAAAGCCTTCATACCAACACTGCTCCAGGTATACAAGCACAGTGTTCATTGAGAGGTGACCATTATGCATAGGTTTGTTAAATATATCTTTCAATGAAGCATGTTAAAAAAAATAGAAAAACTGGTCTATACATAGACAGGTGGTCTTTCTAAACAGGTTACTAAATTAGCTAATATTTTAATAGCATCTAAAATTTCTATATAACATGCAAATACTACTCAAAAACAGCAATGAACTGTAGTTAAAGAAGGTCATCTCTACTTTTAAAAAGAGAATAAAATTTTCATGAATGTAAATGAGGATATCCAAATAATCCCATAAATTAAATAAAGTCAAATCAAAAAGTGACTCATGAATAGTTGACCAAAGAACTCTAGGCTTATAGTGAGGAGGTGCAATGGCTCAGTGGTAGAGCAGTGGTCTTGTAGCCGGGAGGTCCCGGGTTTCGAAACGAAGTCGATGCGTTAGTGCCCTATGGTAAGGCATGAATTCTCATTGGTCATTACCAAGTCCATCGGAGAGGATTTAAAAGTGTCGGTCCCCTGGTTACTTAGTTACAAGCATATACATGCCTTTCTTAGCAGTCTTGTAAAACAAACCCGCCAACCAACAATAAAGACCAGCAGGCAATAGGCTTTCCAAATATCAAGTCAAATCAAATCAAATCAAACTGTGCATTGTAATGTACTCAGACAGAAGGAAGAAAGGATTCCCATAAATAAAATTAAAAAAATAAAAAACCAAAATCAAATATTTCATTTAGCTGACCTGAGATTCCTGAACCATTGTATTGAGATCACTAGGGGAAAGAAGAACTCTATCGATGATGTGGATCACTCCGTTTGACGCTGGTAGATCGCCGTGTATCACCCTCACCATTTCTCCACTACCCTCTATGCTTATGGTAATGTTGGGTGAATCCTGTCATGAAGTAAGAGATAAATGAAACTGGATAATAATACTAATAATAAAACAGCTTCTATACTAGAAATTCAAAATAGGTTCATAAGAAGCGAAGCTAAATATCATGAATAAAATCAAAATCAACATAAAAACAAACAATATTGTTGAGAATTTGTCCCATAAAACTGTATTTGCAACACATGTAAGTAACTTGGAGGCATATTTTTAAAAAAAATATTGGTGCAATCTTTCACCTTATATGTATGTAATTTAGGAGCTTTGTGCACAAAAGATCCTTGGGGGAGGGGGCTATCATGCCCAATTTAAAGTCTATGACAAAACACAATCTTTTTAGGTTTGAGGTTTAAGGGTCAATTCATTTTCTTTCAAATACTCTTATTTCCCTTACATACACCACTAATCTCTGTTGCTTTGAATAGTAAAAGTCCCTCCTCCCCTTCCATAATACAACCACATCTCACCTGGCTGACAAGTTTTCTGCCAAGCTCCAAATACCCACATCCAATGTGTACTTTGGCCAAAATTTCCATGAAGACAGAACAGACCAATTTCAGCACCATGCACTCACTGTTTCTTTGACAAATAAAAGTCAGTAATCCCGACAGATAATACCCAATCCATTTTAACCCTTTACATGCACTGGATCAAACCTCCAGACTACCAAATAGTACAGAGCAGTTTTGTACATATACACTCATTATATGTGTGACAAAAGTTGACTGTGGCAGTCCAATGTATGCATGTTCAATCAGTTGATCACAGCTTGTAAAGAGTTGAATCTCAAAACCATATCTTACCTGACTGACAACAATTTTCGGCCCAGCTAGGGTATAAACATCTCTGTTTCTCTTCAGCAAGTAGGTGTCCACATAGCCAGGTACAATGTGCACTTTGGCCAACGTTTGCAGGAAAACCTCAGCTCTCTCGTCACTTCCTGCCATGACACTAGCTTCTAGTTGTCTTCCAAACTAATATATATCGTGTTACAAGAATAACCAAAAGAATGAAATGTTGATGCTGTAAGTAATCCAACTGCAATTGTTGATAAGTGGGTAGATAAAAATAGCATTGATGAACTTCCCTTTCGTTGCTTTACAATATCTTACTTAGTTTGTTTCGCTCTACATTTTCTAGTGGTTTGTAATAATATTATAATACCACATGACTATATGCATCAATCTATTTTGTTTACAATAATACTTTATAGTATAATTCTGTAACAATCAACAACTTGAGCCAATTCTACATTCAAATTACAGACTGTTATTAATATGTCTGCCCTACCTGGGTAATTTGCAAATGTTGAGCAAAATTTGCCTTATAAAAACATATTTACACTGAATAGTGTAAAATATATATTTTTAAAGCACATAAATGCCCCTAGATACATGTATGTCACAGCATCCTGAATAAATGTAACAACAACATACATCTGAGTGGGCAAGATTGAAGGCTTCATCGACAGGCATGAAGACAGTATAGAAGACATCTCTATCCTGCAGCCATAGATGCTTAAACGATGCCTCTAGGAGCTGCAGAGAGTCTGTGAGCCTTCCTTCTAAGTCTTCGTCTTCTCCATTAAGGTGTTCCAATCTCTGAAAGCAATCAATTTGAAAATGTAGAGCAGAAATGACCAAAATTCATAAATCCTTACTAAACTACAGTGTAGTTGTAAACTAATTACATATATTAAGGTTTTAGTGTGTAGTTAGTTCACAACTAGGCCTAGTAAGGTTTTATGAATGCCTCGGTCCCATGACAAAACCTTGGTTCCAAGACAAAGGCCATTAGGCATTACTTCTCAAATGATTTTCAAATCATAACAAGTCTGAATTCTCTCTCATGATAAAATTAAAACACAGTAAATAGCTAGAAAACAGCTTTCATTGTAACCTACAGTAGTTTACATTCACTTATTAATCTCACCTCAATGATATTTCCATAGCACACCAGGCCATTGCCTACATAGCCTGAGCTACACTGGCAAAGCACTTGTCCTGGGCTCATAGTCGCGCACTCTGCACCATTTGGACAAGATCTCAGGGTAGTATTTTCCCGACACTCATCACAAAAACATCCTTCTTGGAACTCTTCTTGGAACTGTGAACTCAAACACCATTCCCTCAAAGTCAAATCTGTATTGGCACACTCAAAGTTGCATCCATCAAAACTGAACACAGACAAAGCACTTTGAAAGGTACATCCTCGAATTGCATCACTGACTGGTCGACTATGAAGAGGACATGCATTTTCCTTAAAGTCTTCCCCATGTTCACTTACAGCACACATTGTGCACGACGAATTGAATGTGTTAGATTCTGCACCGTCTGTGAGCTTAGCGCAGATATTTAAACTTGGCGCCGTAGATATTGACCCACTTGTTGGTGAACGTGTGTCGCGGGAAACCACGGCATGGTTAGCATCCACTTTCACCTGCCTGTGTGAGAGTGAGCTTCCTGATGAGAACGAAGCTTGCGGATTTACAGGAAATAAAAGTACTATAATCATCAAATAGTCAATAAATAGTCTGATTACACCACTCCGATCCATTGTAAAAATTAAAAATAGTAGCTACACTATATAATGAAGAAGCATTATAACTAGGGGACGGTAGCCAAAGCCAGGACCATGAAGCGAGGTTATAGCAAGTCTCCGAAGTTGATGTTTACGTTTACAAATTAACGTCGTGTGTGCTTGTGTGTACCGCGTACGTATGTATCCAATAATGGGGGCGGGGCCAGGTGGGCGAAGCTGAGGGAGGCATGGGGATCCGCGCCTGGATGGGGTACCCAAGTACACCCCTTCACCCTTCCACTCTCCGTTAACATTATTTTTGATGACTTTTTAGCTCGTCTTAGGACAGCATCATGAAGGAGTAGACAAAGCTAAAGAAGTGTTTAAAGTATTTTGAAGTGTTTTAGTGTTTTGAAAGTTGAAGATATTTATCATTTACAATTAGGAGCTATAATGTATTCATTGAATGTCAGCTATACTACTGCCAGTATATAGCCTTGGCTAGAATATTTAAGAAAAATAACCAAGTTCATAGTTATTCCACACGACAGGCGCAAGCATATCACTTTCCTTTAATTTGCCCTTTATACTTTGGGGTCCGGTTTGGGGTTACACTGGACCTAGGTTTTGGAATTCCCTTAATTGAAAGAAGAATATCGCAATCGGTCATGCAAACTGAACTGAGTTACTTTATTTGAGTCGATATCGTCTAGATTTATATTTTGTGAACTCAATAATTAAGAAAAGTATTTGCTATATGGGTCAGCATAATTCTACTCTCGTTTCTCACATCTATTCATCTGTCTGTCTTGCATGTTTAGTTTTTTTCTGTGTTTCAGTCCTGTTCCTCTTGTTTATAGCCATTATTTAGTAGTCAGTAGATTTTATTGTACTGATTTATGTATATATTTTTTTCAGTTGTTTAGTTAGTTTAGTTTGTAAGCATTTAAATGTATGCATTATTCTTATCTGACGAGTTTGTTCTTTTAGGACATACTCATAAACTACCCATGAGGGACCTTAAATCCACAAGCCTTGCTTTCAACCAAGGCCACCTCATCTTTCTATAATTGTAACGCCATATTCTGTTAACATGTTACATTCATGATTCATGTCACATTTGTAATGTGTGTTATGAAAGAAAGATAAATAAAACTTGAACTTGAACTTGAACTTGAAATGAAGACAAAGTATTATAATTTAAAGTCAAAATCCTTGACGTACTTACGTTAGCGTAGCGAGTTGTGTATGGATGGTAGGTGGCGGTGCATTCGATCGAAATACGAATCGGTGGTGAATTAACCCCGGGGTAATGAATAGGCCGTGTCATTTCGTTAGTTTACTTTCTTTCACCTTCGCCCTCGTTAATCTTTTTAATAACCATTTTCCAGTCATTTGAGGTCACAATCTCCCCCAATCGTGCATCAACACATCAGCGCCACTGACATTTCCAACGTAGGACGGTTTAATAGTCACTAAAAACCTATATAGGCCTGGCTTCCTATCGGCCTCTCCGATGTTCATAATAATTATAGACAAATTGGGGTAGGCCCACTCAAAGAGGATTGAATACTTTTAAGGGGAGATTTTTTCTTACCCAATTCGTGAGAAAATATTTAGCTGCAAATCAGCCAGCTGGTGAATAAGCGGGAGGAGGGGGGGGGGGGTCATATAAAAAACAAACAGATAAAGGGTGTCTTCAAATTCTAAAACCACCCCCTTTTTCAAATTGGGGGGGGGGGTTGAACGTGACCCACACCACACCCCTAAATACGCCCTTTATTACATAATGAATCTGAATGACTGAGACCAATAAAACATAAGTGATCTAAACACTTTTCCACAGACTGATCAATTATACAGATAATTGTTTGTAAATATCGATCGGTGCATGGGGAAATTATATACTTATAAATTATGCATGTACATAACGTCTATTAGGTTATTGTTTTAGTCTTAGAGGCGGATCCAGGGCTTAGGATCTCTGGAAATCTCAAGCAAATACAGTCACATTTTAGGTGCTTTGTCGCGGCACATTGGGTGGCTTATTTGTGTAGGCTTACCGGCCGGACTCCACTTGCTTAATAGAGTTTAGCCAAGGACATGTGTCCCCCATCCACCAACCCCCCCCCCCCCCCCCCCCCCGTCCCCGCTTCCACGACTGAATCTAGGCATATATTATAAATAGGACGACATATCATAAACGGTAGATGATCTCACTGGACTTATTACCAGGAAATGGAAACATTGACAAAACAAAGCTTCCGTACACTCCACTTTGTGCCAGCCACGAGAAAGTACCACAGGAAATGCTTAGTAGTTTAGCTTCCAGTCACAAACAGTTTGTTGTTATCATGAGAATTAGTTTTAGAGACAATTTTGCGACCAAATAATCAGTCATTAGGAAGCCTATTTTCTGTAGTATATATTTATATGTCAATATGTAATACTGAATAGAGAAGGCTAGGGAATAGGGAAACTGAAATCAAAGAGTTCAAAATGATAATATCTTAACTAAAGGGAGATATATGAAATCTGAGTCTCAACGCCTCGGGAAATAGTAGCCTAAATTATCAAGGCTGCCAGGAATGGCGCACAGTATGAAAATTTACGTCAGGAAACTGAAACTGAACTGAAACGTTTAACCCCCCCCCCCCCACCTCCCTCCTTCACTTCTCTCTCTGTCCCTCTCTCCTAGCTCTCTCTCTCTCTCTCTCTTTTCTTGTCTTCTTTCCCTTTTTATCTTTCTCTCAATGTTCCTTCTCTATATCTCTGCCTTCCTCTTAATTATTACACAAATCCTCTTCTCTTCCACTATCCTCTTTCTCCCTCTCTCTCGATCTCCCGCTCTCTGTTCCCTCCCTCTGACCCATTTCCCTCTGCTGCTCCCCCTTCCTTCTCTCCCTCTCTCTCTCTCTCTCTCTCTCTCTCTCTCTCTCCTTTCTCACTCCTAGACACATACAACTATCATAATTTACTACACATGACATGTATCTACTGTTAGACAGTTCTTAGAAGCTCTTAGTAATTCATAGTGGGACTGTGTCACTGGGATAAAACTCGAATAAATTAGAGCAATATAATTGATAAGGAATCTGAAGCATTTTTGTTCATGTAGCAGCATTGCCACCAAAAAAAATAGATTGTTAGTCATGCTAAATAACTAACATTGCTGTTAATTGCACTTGACTTCCAATGCACCATAATGTCCATAATGTAGTTATAAACAATCTATAACCTGAAATATTTTGGACAGAGGAACATTGGAATATTTGTTCAAACATACCTGTATGCAACCATAATGAACACTTTCCTGGCCATATTGCACATGTCAATAAAAATTGAATCATTTAAATTGTTTTTCAATGTCTTTTTATTGCAAAAGAATGTTTGTGTATTCACTTACATTGTAAACTCTAGTGCTTGTATTTCTTCAGATCTTACATCTATACATTAACATCAAAAATCTGAAAAACCACATAGAATTATAACAAAATTTAATCCAGAATAAAAGTTTGGAAAATCAATGAGGTTGTACATGAATTTTATAATCAACTTAAATGTCAATATCATCTTTTAATTACATGATATGTGGAAACATGTACATCTAAGTGACAACGAGACAGCTTTTAATATTACCATGTCACATTGATAGTAATAATAAAATAATAATTTCACTTTGAAAATGTACAGAATTCATTCAAAACTTCAACAAACCAAATAGCATATAAATCAAGAATCTGACAAGCAACAAGCAATTGCCACCTGTTCTATCACATCTTCAATTTATCCAGATTAATGAAGGACTTTATAAAACTTAAGTCACACTGCCAAATCAACTCCAAACCAACAAATTCTTGGCCATTCAGGGTAAGATTTGTTTATTTTTTATTTTTTTTCGGGGGGGGGGGGGGGGTCTGTAGATGGTCTGGAGTAGATGGTGTGACTTAGTATGAGAGTTGTGGTAGGTTTGAAACGTACATTCACATTTCTCTAAACGTCTCTTTATTCCTGCTTTAACATAAAGGATATGACCTTCATTTTTTGTAATTTCTCTTATTATATAACAAGATCCAAAATCTATTACCAACAAAAATGATGTTATAATGTATGTGACCAGCATGTGGAAATCCTTGTCTGAAACGAAAATCACATTATCTAATCTACCAAGTTACCAACACAATTCATATTATCTAATCTATCAAGTTACCAACACAAGTTCAACAAATATAATAATAAAACTAACAAATATAATAAAGGAGTAAGCCTATATTCCATGGCATCTAAAGACAGGCTGGGTAGCTTATCCTTGAATGCATTAATTGTTCAATGAACAGGGGAATAAATAAATCTATACATATATTTGTTTACATACCTATTGATTGTAGTCCTGGATAGATCATATGCTGATCACATATTTTTTATAGAAAATGTGATTAACATCTGATATTCAATGGATATGGAAATAAGCAAAAAAGAAGTGTAACATTATGAAACTGTTTAAAAGCAATGTCATTGTCAGGCTGCTAAATGGTGCTTTCAAAAATCTCAATGAGCAGTGATATGATCTATGCACATAGTCTATGTCATTTGCTGCAACATATTAATAAGTTAGCTGTTTGTGCATTAACTAACCTAGTCATGATACGGTACTGCCTAGAGAAGCTCTTAGCATGCACCATCTCAAGCCCAATGACATCATTAATTTAAAGGTATATCAAGTGACCGATATCAGTAAGCACTCATTGGGCCTCAAAGACTATCACAACACATTTTCTCTTAGAAATCAGAGGGGGAAAAGAAGAGCCTCCAGCTTGATATAATAACAGGAATTAATGTAGTCATCTCGCCATGGACTTCATGGGCAGGAACTGCGTTCACTTTTGCTCCTTGTATATATATATATATGTTTACTCTTTTGGTTGGCACGGTCCCATTCAATGTCTTTAAACAAATTAGTTCCAAGCAACCTCTCAGTATGTTGGCATCTTGTGGATTGCTATCGTAACATCCTGATGTGTCTTGATCAAGACATTCCTGAAATGAGTATAAATCAAAAAGTTAGTATAAATAAAAGTATCAATATTAGTGTATCAAAGAGAGGACAGAGATAGAGTAATACAGAGTATTGTAATAATGAAAGATGGACTAAGTGCTTTCATTTCTATATTTGCTCAAGCACTGGCTGTCTTTTGCTCTGCGTCTGTCTTTTGGCTGCAAACCTTATGAAAATTCAATAATATACTATGAGGAAACTTATGGAGGCATTTTACTCAGTTATGCTTTTAAAAAATTTGATGGCTATAAATAACCTAGATTTAAAGGAATGATTCAAACTTAAAATTATTAAATGGATTATTTACTCCATAATCTTGGTAGGGATCTAGGGAGACAATCATTAATTGGTTACCAAACCTAAACCAAAGGTACTACAATTACAGTAGGGTATCCAGCACAAAAGGTGGAAGAGTACCTCCTACCCCACTAACCAACAATTTATTAGAAAATACTAATTCAGTGGATGTCTCAAATTGTTCAAAATCTTCACTAATAGACTTTACTACCTCTTCTCTATTTACAATTTGGCATGTAAGAACCTACCCTTTATCCGACTCTAGACAAATGACTGGGGCACTGCTGCTCTCTGGTACTAGGAGGGCTGCCTGCTGGGAAAGAGAAGCTATGATACCTGCAGATCCTACAGACACTGTTCCTTTAGCTGTTCAAAGACAATAAATTGGGAAATGCAAATGAAAAGTTAACAGATCATTACAACCATACTTTGATCATGGGTATACAAAACTACAAATAGAATTTTGCCGATGTAAAAAAACTTTTACGTAAACAAGACAAAGGAACTCATATTGACATGACAAATTGCAGGGAAAACAAGAACATCCTACAGGAACAGTTTTTCTATTTCAATGCACAAGATTTTTGTCTTATGTACTACATATGAATATTTGGTGAATGATAAATGTCATTTCAAATTCAATCAGGTTCTCTTTATCTCTCTATTAGTAGTCTATTTGAAGAAAAAAATCCTTACAAATGCTCTGCCCCTCTTCTCTCATTCATTCATTCATTCATGTCCTTTTCTTTTATTCCCTTCCCTTTTAGTTTTAATCTTTTGTCTTCATTCCCTTTTCATTTTTTACCCTTTCTATCTCTCTTCCTCTCTCTCTCTCTCTCTCTGTTTTCCTCTCTGTCCGACTTTCTTACAATGTCAAGGGCTTTATCATACTTACCGCTGTAGCAGAGTCCCTGTTTGTCGGCACAAATAACTCCCATAACTCCAGGGCCTTCCATTCTAAGTGAATAAAGTAGACATGACAAAATTAGACATTTACATTTTTGTCATTTAGTATCATATTTGTTTAACTCTTTTCAATATCAATATTTCAATTTTATTCTACCATTCATTCCTTTTCCTCCTCCTCACTCCAGCAAAGCATAGAGAGTCAATGTTAATGCGTATTGACCTCTAGCACTGCACTACGTCTTAATAGGCAGCATTTGCACACATGAATAGTCAATACACCCATTATACACAAATGCCCACAATCATGCCAATGTGGCAGATCAGCAAGTATGACAGTAGACTTACAATTCAAATTGTTAAATTATTCTTTCTAACGTCGGTAAGTTTTAAAAATTGTATTTAACTGCTACTTAAAGGACCGATTTTGAGTGAAATCAGTTGCGTTTTGAACAGTAGTAGTGTTTGAAATGTTGATAATCAATAGCACAGCCTTTAATACACAGCCAGGATAGTCCTCCCCCTTCCCCTCCCCCCCCCCCCCCCCCCCCCTCTCTCTCTCTCTCTTCTTCTTCCTCCTCCTCCTCCTCCTCCTCCTCTTTCTTTTCTTGTTCCCTTTCCCCATTGTTTTTTATCTATTTTCAATCCTCCTTTCATTCTTGATTATCACTCTCCCAAATGTTTTGTTATTTTCCTATTTTTTGTATCTGGTATTCTTTTTCTGAAGATAAAAAGAAAGAAAAAAAAAGCCCCAAAACCATACACAAGAAATAACGTATGGGACAACACTAAACGAGTAGGCTACATTGAATACGACAATTTCAGGCAAAATTAAATAGCTTATCTATATTTTCAATGCTGAATTGTAATGATAACTCACGTGTCATCTAAAAGTTTGTCTAGATTTTGCTCCATTTTAATTAACAGAGTTCTATCCAATGCAAAATTCCACTTTTTGGTGTCTCTCAAGACTCAAGTCATCAAGGCTCAACGCGAAATAGTATTGGTAGTCATGTGATGACAAGACGTCATGTGACTCGCGATCAGCTGTTGGTGTAACTATCGTGCTTGCTTTCGATCTCTTCAAACGTATTATCAGCGGAGTATTTTTTTAGTATATCGCATAATTACATTTACATGTATATCAAAGGAGATTGTAACAAATTTACGGCCATGTTTATCAAGATGTAAACATGTCTTTAAAAACAAACACATACAAATAGAAAGTATAGGCATTTTTTTTTGGGCGGGGTATCAATAATTGAGGCAAGTATAATGTTTCGTTTTGTTTTGTTTTAAGACATGATTGTGAAAGACACTGAAATTCCCGAGAAAAGGCATATCTCTGGATCAAATATAGTGAATAGGTTTCCCATTTTATTTTACCATGTGAGAGGACTTTCATAAATTGCATGAAAAAAATACAACACGATACAACATAGAACATACATTTTGTAATCGTTATATTTTATTCATTTTTTAAACATTCTCTGAAACATTCAACTTAATGAATGAATTTATTTAAAATATTCGCCAATCCTTTTATCTGATTTTCACATGACTTAGGTTGTAAGATGCACCTTGTAAAGACGTATCGACATCGTGTACAATGCATAATCATTACATTTTCACCTGACTGATATTGTATTTCAATTGTTTTTTTATATTTATTCCATAAGCATTTCCACATTTACTTTACGTACATGACTGATGTATATAATTAATGAAATAATATAATTTATAAATTATCAAGAAAAAAATTAAGGATTAAGAGACAGAGAATGCCAAAAGAGGAATATTACAGAACAAACATATAGTTTTACTGCAAAACTGAATACTTCGGCAAGTTCGCGGCTATATTACACTGATGCAGAGGCGGCGGAGCGACTTCCAAAGTGGGGGGGGGGGGGCACCAACAAAAAAGGGCACTTTCTGGAGAGAAAAAAGGGCACCTTCAGAGGGAAATCCTCAAAGCGAAAATATACAATTTGTTAGATATTGGTATATACCCCTATATTGTGTATACATTATTATGGATGATTTCGATATTTGTTTTTCTTTTAAATCATATGAGATATTGCACCATACTTTGCAATTGGGTATGATGGCCTGAAAATTGTTAAGATTTGTGAGGTCAAAGTTAAAATGGCACTTTTCCTATGTAAAAGGGGGCCCTTTTGGGTACTTGAAAAATTGGGGGGCACTCTAAATCTTCGGATGTCATATGGTACATTATATTATTTACTTTATGCATTATTATGTCATGTTATTACAAGAAGAAAAAAGAGTGTTTCTGCTGTATATAAGTTTCCTTCTGTTTTGCTATATACGCTGCATTGTAAATTGATTTATTATGTTCACAAACAGAATATTGATTTGTTACATTTCATTGTAAATTGATTTATATGATATATGGTTACAAACAGAATATTGATTGGTTACATTGCATTGTAAATATATTTATATGTTTATATAAACAGAATATTGGTGTACATCAATGAAGTTCAATAAATACAATACAATACATGTGCTTCCTTGAAGACCATGAGTGTCAATGTCATTGTCATTGTCAACCTTACTATAATATCAACAAAAGAATCAGGCTCAAAAATCGCCCCATCGAGTTTCAAACCCGAGAGATCTCTGTTCAAGCTTTGTAAAGGACCCGATTGAAAACAAAGTTGTATTGAATGGACCATCAGCCTTGCTGGGATATGTGATATAAATCAATGAATTCAAATTAAAACTAATTATGTCTTCCAACGAGCAAACCATGGAGTAATCCTGTATTGGTGCTCAGGACGGGAAATGATGCCGATGACGTTACGAGTTATCTTAAAGCAGTTCATGAAGTAATCTTTCACAGCCATCCAAATTTAATACCTAAGACATAATACCTAATATTGCCACCCGACCCATATCCCTATATTTTTGAAGACCCCCTTGCTTTACTGGAAAGAATCTCTGACTTTCTCAATGGCCTGTGCGACTTTGAAGAGCGTAAGTTCATCATGATGTCTTCCAACCAGCATAAGACCTACGGGCAAGCCATGGAGGAAGCCCGCGTTGACGCTGAGGACGGGGTGACCAGTCACATTGAAGCCAATGGTGTTACGGGTCATCGCGAAGCAGTTCTTGAAGTAATCTGTAAATTTATATGATTGGTACATTTTAAAGCTAACTATTCCAGGTTTTTTTAATAAAAATCACCCTCCTCAGCGGTAACCAATAATTCTTTTTACAACTTCATAAAAGCAGTCATTTTATGTTTTTTTTTTCTCAAAAAAATCATCTGACAAGCTAAAGGAATGGGAAAGGAATTATAAAAACTTAGTCGTGTGTGTAATTGTTTTCTTTTACAGACATGTATCATTCAGATATGATTAATACGTCTGGGGACCATCCGAAAGACGTGACTCAGTTTCGAACCGGGGTCGCCTGAGCCAGTTTGTAGGCGTAGACAGAGATCTGTCCAAGTGAACGTTCCTCTAGACCAACTCACATCCCTATTTTTAGTTGTCTCTTTTATTTTGTAACGGTGGGACATGGGCCAGTTGTTGCCAGCCTCCCCTCCCCTCCCCCTTAAATCAGTATACATACTCGGAAAAAAGCTTTGGGCACCGTCAAAGTTTGAAGTTTAAAATCTTAGTTTAACGAACATCTTGTCGAGAATTTCTTGTAATTACCTTGCATCGTCGCCCCTTTCGCCAGCAGCTTAGTCGCTGTGAAGGGAATAGTTGGTAGAGCTAGCACATCCACTGTCTTCAAGGCATCATCGTAGGCCTGGCGGAGTGTGAAGACCAGATTCCTACCTCTATTGTACACCTGACTCATGTAGTTCTGCTTCAAGTACTCGCTTTGTAACATTACCAACTGAAATAGTGCGAGAAATTTACCATGTGAAAAAGATTATTGCAGGATACATCAACTAACTGTGCATTATCAAAGTATCATTCAAGAATTAATTATGTTTTGAAGAATGGCAACAAATTTTTTTTTTCCACATTGATGAATTCACATTGAATTCAAGAAATAATGTTGTTGTTGTTCATATTATTGTTGGTTATTACTTTAGCCGATGATGATGGTTATGATGACGATGATAATGATGGTGATGATGATGATGATAATGATTATGCTGATGATGATGAGGATTAACATTAAAGCTTAAAACGTTGCTAAATTTCTTCATTATATATTAGCTTGGAATCGGCAATGGGATAGTAATATAATTCATATTTTATATAAACCCATTTTTGAGACGGAAGAAAAAGAATGGCAAAGAGACAAAACTTGATAACCATGAGTGATATAGCGTAGATCGATTGAATGAAGGAGTATACAGAGCAGGGGTAGTCACTGCACCAAACGAAATACATTTTTCTCTTCATATTTCACGACACCTAGTTTTTAGGTCTCGAGAAAAACTTTAGAAATATAAAAGTTTAGAAATGTAAAGATTATACCTTCATTGTATCTGGTAAATCGTCTGGTCTTGACGAGAACATTTTACCCAATGCAATGGCAAAACTTGTTGGGTAATAACCTGTGTGCCCAGTACCGTTTCCTGTACAAGATAATTAAAGTATACTCTTTGTGATATAACATATACACAGAGTCAAATAAAACAATAAAGTTAAAATCTTATTTATTTTCTATTTTAGTGGTTGACGGATTTTCCATTTTCAATTAGCCTAAGCCTCATCTCATGGATGAGATTAATATTGTGGTAATTTTTTTAATTCATGTACATTGATACATGGTGGTACTTTAGTTTTGTTTGTTTGCTTTGTTTCGTACTTTTAATAACAGTTTATATGCTAAAGAATATTTTGTGCAAAAAATAACTTAAATGATTTTCATATACACACCTCCAAGTTTTACCATGTTTTCGTAATTGCCTTCCGCCGTACACTGCCAAATTGCAGGTCCTGCATGAACATAACAAGGATATAATAGAAAAGAAGTAATATAAAAAGGCCTATAGGAAAGTTTCCGACATCATAATCATAATTTGTTATCAATCGAAAATATGTCATAGGTCTAGATTAAACCAAAATTGTGCTTTCAAAAGTCACTTAAAACATCATCACGTTTGTGTTATGATTTATGCCATTTAAATTTATGAAACCCTATTTTTATAAACTGGGAAAGATTCAATGAAATATAATCATCATTTGTATTTTATATCCTCAGAAAAAAGTAGATGACATTTTTGCTTGGACGTAAGTGTCCAACTTTAGCAGAAAACTGAAAAATCTTGCTCAAATACGAATTTTGTTGTCAAAACATAATATTCCACATGAAAGAAGACCATCTCGCTGCTTAAATATGAGTTGGCAGTTGCCCTATTTTTGAGCGGTTGCCCGAATATTTACAATTTCAAAGTACTCAGAGGCTCGGACATCTTAAGCCTTTGAGGGTCCGATATGAACAATCACCTTTTAAGTGTAGAGGTATAGATGTTTCCTGGATGTCACCTCCCATATCCGCCAGTTTGCTGATGACGTCTCTCAAAAGTGTGTTGACTTCCTGATCGGCATTAGATGCCGTGAATCCTTCTTCAAGTATACCGATCTTAAGGCCGTTGATGTTTGCGTTCTCCAACTGAAAATCATTAATTAAATGACCATTAGTATATAATAAATGAACAGGGTAAGCTTTTGTAGTGGAGGGGTAAGCTGATGTAAAGGGCCCCGAAATGTCCCCATCAATATGATTTCAGATAACCCACAGACCATCTCCAGTCGCAACATGCAGTGAGACAAGGGTCAGAAAAAGCTCTGATGGCTTCAAACGGGGGGGGGGGGGGCTGTTTCACAAGTGGGTCGTCGCTGCCTCGGCCCCTGGATCTAACTCTGCCACTTAGATGAGACCTACATAATCAGAAGAAAATATGAAACTGAATTCTTTAAATATTATTCAGTGTGTTGAAAGGGCTCCCATGATTGTCTTAGGAGATACCTTTCAAATTGTACTTTAAAGTCTGAGGGTTTGTAAAAAAAGTATTTTTGCCTAAAAGACAAACCTGCATGTTTTTAGTTCCGTCGTCATGCAACAACCAATGATGAATTAATAATAATAATAATAATACTCAGTTTTTATATAGCGCTTATTAGAATCACTAAGCACTTCCAAACTTGGGGATTATTATCCCGGCTTTAGCTGTGCTGCCATTGCGGCGCTCTAGCATTTCAAAGAATTAATTCCTGCCAGGTACCCATTTACATCACCTGGGTTGAGTGTGGCAAATGTAGATCAATGTCTTGCCAAAGGACATTAGTGCCGCAAGCGAATTGAATATGTACCTTTTGGTATATATACCATGGAAAAATAGGACAGGTGAAAATGATTATACAATCATAGTGGATGCATTTCTATGTTATACCTCTTTTGTGTATTCTGGAACTGTAATGTTTGGTTGTTGCCGAGGATCCATCCCTCCGTCGTATCCAGCAATAACCTATTTAGCGGACAAACGAAAGTGCACTAATAATAACTTTTTATAAAGTCTTAAAACGAGGAAAATAGACAATAAATAGTATTCATAGAACTGTTTAAAAATGTCGACTAATCCACATATGATATTTATTTTCCTGCAAGTCACATCAAGCTTGTTTGTGAAAATTTTGCACGTGCAGTTATGGGTGCATTGCGAAGCCATTAACCATTGATGATACTTAATTATTTAGAATTATTCCCGGGCTGAGAGAGGAAAATGTAAATTAATGTCTTGCTAAAGTACGTCGATGCTGTGGCAGAGGTTCGAACCACAATACCTCTCTTTCATTTCACCAAATAGGAAGTGGAACTTGCCCCTAATAACTATGCCTAATCGGGCATTTTTAGATTCGGAAAGTTGCCTCACCTCGAGAAGGAGAGCGCAGTCTTCGACCGTCCGTGCCATAGGTCCAAGATGGTCAATGGCAGCGTCCATCCCCATGGCTCCAGTGTAAGGCACCAGACCAAAGGTTGGTTTTATTCCTACGATACCACTCCATGCTGATGGGAGCCTCACTGACCCGCCCTGGTCACTACCGATGGCCATGTCTGCTTCGCCTATCTTGACCTAGGATCAAGACACCATGATGTTGGTCAAAATCGATTATGCGTATATTCGTTGAGTGTGCCTTATTAACAGCGACTTGATTCTGTATCAAATCGAGCTATAATTATGTCGTTCAATTTTATACACAACGGAAATACGAGAGTTAGCCCATGCCCGCCTATCTAAGCAAATTTGGGGTTTCTCCTGTCCGTTAGTACAATATTTTTTGTTCTTTCCATATAGTTTAGATTCTTTCCGTTTCCTTTCTTTCATCCAGGGAAAGCCCCGGCTATAACGGACAAAATAGTCATGATCAATGTTTGACGGTATCATAGCATTCTTGAAAATAATTGATATCAAGGTTAATATAATAAATTAAAAAGATTTATCTCGACTCAAAAGTAGATTATCACTACAGCTTATTCGGTCACAACAAGTCAATCAATCCCGTTTGCCATATTCAACTTCAGTAAATTGCACCCAAGCCTTTGAAACATGTTCGAACTTACTACTACAGCACTTCCAGAGCTAGATCCTCCACTTGAGCGTGTGTTATCATGTGGGTTTCGTACGGGACCCTTAGCAGCTGATGAACTTCCTCCAGACGAGATGAGGTTTTCACAAATAGTTTTCCCGTTGATTATGCCCCCTGTTACAGACAGATGAAAGCCGAGCAATGATTCCATCTGTCAGCATTTCACATTAAATAATTGAAACTCGACAAACATTCTTCGGGCTGCGAACAAATCATGTTTCTTTTAATTTCTAAAACATAATATACCGGCCTCTAATTACTGGTGATAAAAAGTATAATTTAATAAGTGTCACTCTACATTCTACGTATGCCCTAGTCATGAAGATGAATCACTAGTTTTAACATATTTTTACATCCATGTAGGCTACACATTCTGTGTTCAGATGATTGGAAAATTATTTATATATCTATATATTTATTATAAATTTAAAAGAAAAACATACCGGCATCCAATATCCTTGTGACCACAGTAGCATCAAAGTCTGGCGTATAGCCTTCAAGAGCATGGCAGCCGTTCATCATTGGCACCCCTGCCACGGCAATATTATCCTTAATAGCTACTCGTTTTCCCGCCAATTTGCCGCCGGAGGTTGCTCCTCTGATTTCACATTTCCAGTACCTGTTTGTAGCAGGAAGATGTAAATCTATTTGATTAATTAATGACTTATGGATATAAAAGTTGTTTGACTTGAGCTAAATAGACATTTTGAGTAGGATGGAATAGCTGCAAGCTGTCATAAAATAATATAGATATATCGACTGCTATGAGAAGAGGCTGTTTTTATAGGCTCAAGGGGACGTTGCATCCTGACACGACCCCTTGGCGCACCTGTAAGTTAGAAGGGCTGCATTAAAATTAAATAAAGTATTTTACGTAATATAATAATTACCAAGCATTGTAGGGGTTCTCCTTTGAGTCTGGTCTGTATCCAGGAAGTCTTGGATACCTAGTTGGTAACTGTGGCTCGACTATAGACTCAGTACTGTTGATCATATCAATGTTACCTTTTATCATTGTATGGAAAACCTATAGTGGGGAAAATACCAAAACAAATATTATGGATTCATTAAGAAATAAAGCTACTTGATATAAATTATCATTGATTGAACAATAAGATAAAGTTCACTTGAAGAATTATAGTTCATCTTAAGTCATGATGCAAATTATCAAGTACGTAATTATCATGATTGTATTCAAGGGAAAGAAAGATTGAAAGCTAAAAAAACAGCTGGATCACAGAGCTGAAACTTAATTGAAAATGAATGATTCCCGGGGGGATACAGAGATTTGGTTTAGACGGGGGTGTGCCGCTCAAGCCTTGAAACCCCTACCCATTAAAGGGATCGTTTAACAATGTTAAATCTCAGATACACGGCCCTAAGTGTCATCAGTGTCTGTGATATGGTGTAATATTGAAGCCCTAAAAAAATTGCGCTTCAAAATGATCAAGAAGTGCCTCAAAAAAGTAAAAATCTTTGAGTGACCGGTTTTACCATACTCGTTTTCCCCAATAGACTGTAGTGTTATGAAAACCGTCAGGCGAACGGTTTTCAAAATTTGTAATTCCAATCATAAATATCTTGATAATCAGACAGGCGATCGGCTTGTAAAAGTCATGGGGCTCCTGACTGACCTAAAGGTTTATAATTATCATTGCATCATGAGCTAAATCCAGAATTTTGTTTCAGAATCTGAGACAAAGTTACCGGATCCCTTTAAGGGTCATTTCGAGGCATTTTCTCGATAAAAGACCCATTTTTCACAATTTTCGGGTGTTTTTTTTTTATTTTGAAAATTTTAAAAAACGGACCCATTTTTAATGATATTTTTGTTAAAAGTGGGACCCATGTTTAGATATTTTTTTGTGAAAAAGTGACCCCCCCCCCCCCCCGGAATGATACATGAATTTGTACTGGCAGCTCTGATTCGTGGAGTGGTGTAGCGCGGTTCTATAAGTATATTTCTGGAGGAGATTTAAGGGGGGCTTAGGGGCTTGCCTAAATACATTATAATCAAGACTTTAGGGGCCACTTTAGCTGTCCATGCCCCCCCCCCCCCCTCGCTAGAACCGCTACTGGAAACAGACCATTGATTTCACCGAGAAAATATAAAGGGCACACTTTAGTCCAATCGTTTGTAACTATTCGATCCCTCCCATCATGGCTCTAAGAGAATTCGTATGATTAAGCTGTATTATTATTATTATAATTATATATATCTTTTTGTGGGGGGGGGGGGTAGTATACCTTGAGTTCTTCACCTTCCAAATGAAACCCTAGTTCCTTCGCCACATCTGTAAGCTGTGCAGTGGTTGGACTCCGAACCCAGGGAGAGGAATACAACTCTAAAAGAAAAGAAGACATCTTTATATATAATAAATATGTTATATTTTATAAGTTATGAACAATATATCACTATCGCATAATATAGGAGCTATATCAATATTTTCATGATATCAACATTCATCTAAGCGGAATTATTTTTCAAGTTTATTTTTTCCAATTGTTTTAGTGTCCATAACTGATTCAATCCTTTTGACGACAAAAGTAATAACAAGCAGCATCTAAAAGTATATTTGTCGTTTCAATTAACTTTTTTTGTTCTCTATTGTGGCTGTTTATTGATGAAAATGATTATCTATCACGCCTTATTATAGTAACATATTTTCCCATACTCTGAGTTTTGAGGGAGTGAGTATAGGCTCTGTCTTTATTTGTATGCATACAGGAACAGCCAAGATACTGACGATTGTTTCGCTTGCTCTCTAGAACAGAGCAATTTGATCTGTTTTAAAACCCACTTCTTTAAAGGTTTGTGTGTCTGTAATCACATGCCAACATTCTACTCATCTTGACACTGTTAAAATTGGATCTTAACATGGCAATGGGGACGTACTAGCACTGTGACAAAGGTCATGATCAAAATCGACGGTCCTCGATGACCTTAATTGACCTTAGACATGTGACGTATTTAACCTGATGTTATTACTATAGTGATATAGCCATCTGTTGGATTTCGTCACTATTTCCTCTTGAGAGGACGTAGTACTTTACCTACCTACTCCAAGGACCTTCCTATATTGGTATAGTTACTGTAGCAGGCTAGCAGCACTACATTTTTCGACGATCAAACGACAAAGCTCAAATGAAAACAATCCATTCAAATCATTTGCGACAGAAATCGAGCATTCTATATAGAACATTGAAGCCCCCCCCCCCCCCCAACCCCCTCACTCAGTATTATTTAGGGTTCGCGTATACATGTTCCCTCCCTTTGAAAGAACACCCATATCCCCGGAGTGTATTTGTCAATACGGCTGGACTTTGTTGTGTGAAAAGTACATGACCCTTTACCGGAGATTTGGGGAATACGAATGCGGTCCCTCTGACCCCGGAGTTGGGGTGGGGGGGGGGGGGGGGGCATTGCAGACTGAAGATTCATTTGGAAAACGTTCTTTAATCCAAATTGTACCGTTTATAATATTCAGAGAGATTCACCTGTATAGTGTTCTGTTCTCATGACTGAGTTAACAAAGCAATCAGATAACAAATAGCTTGCACTCAATAATGCGCTCACACTGCCACTTATGGTATTTGTCTTCTGGCAAACACACACAAGCTTTGAAATCACCACGTATAGAAAAGGTAGATTTCGTTTGTTGCTGTGTGTAATAATTCACATAGATATTCTCACGAGCCTCCTTTTGGAGCGGCATTGCGTTTATACTATGAGGAATATATATATGATGAGTATGATAATGAGCAAGAAGGTGTCTTACCTTTTGTGGAATCTCCTCTACTTTCAGAAATATTTGTCTGTTTCTCTGCCATGGTTTATGAATGATCGTGAGGCCCTATACTTATAGACCAGATTGTATACCAGTATACCAGTAAAATATCAGTATAAATGAGTTGTTGTTTCATGAAGGTTATATTACGAGGGCAGGGAGTCGGGGAGTATTATAGCGCCATATTCAGTCGCCGCAAAAAAAAAAAGGGGGGGGGGGTGGTGGGGCAATTGAAATCCAGTCGAGATTTTTGCCCTCCCCTCCACTAATGATCTCATGTTGTAACCAGTATAACTGTGTAGGCGTTTTAGGGGTGATATAAAGGACTTATATATATTCTTTATTTCTAGCATTCACATGTTTTCCATCCGAAACTGAGGTGTTCATCATCATCATCATCATCATCACCACCATCATCATCACCACCATCACCATCACCATCATCACCATCATCATCATCATCATCATCATCATCACCATCATCATCATTATCATCATCTTCATCATAATAATAATTATACAAATAATAATAATGATGATGATGATTAGTATAATTTTTTTTAATTATTGGTATTATTATCATTATTACTATTTGTTATTATTATTATTATTTCTATTTAAACAAATACTATTATCATTATCAATATTATTATTATCATTTTATTATTGTTATAATTATGATTATGATTATTGTTATTATTGTTATAATATTATGATTAATATTATTATAGTTATTATCGTTATTATCATTTAGTCTTTTGGTGGGTTGGTACTAGATTGGAATAACTATTTCTTGTTCTTCCCGTCTTCGGGATGTAGAAAAAAAGACAGTCACTCCCATTTCCCCTCTTCCCCTTGACCCTTCATCTCTATCTCTTTCTATCTCTATCTTCTCTCTCTCTCTCTCTCTCTCTCCCTCTCTCTCTCTCTCTCTCTCTCTCTCCCCCTCCCATAGTCTCTTTACTTCTACCTTACTACCCCCGTCTCTCTCTCTCTCTTTCTCTCTCTCTCTCTCTCTCTTTCACTCTCTGTCTTTCTTTCCTTCTCTCTCTCTCTCTCTCACTCTCTATCTCCCACACCTATATATATATATATATATATATATATATATATATATATATATCAACGTATTCAGTCCATGTCTATTATGTTCCTCTGAAAATATGCCCAGGTTTAGAGTTTGATTATGATGACTGCTTAGCAATGTATATGCGCCCTCTATTTAAAGAGAAGGTTGAGTTCTGGGAAGAGGTGAAAAATAATTTGTGAGCGTCATCATGATTCTTATTATGCAAGTGTGGAAGAACATCAGATAAGAAATGTTCCCTGAAAAGCATGGCTCTTCAAATGCCTTTATATTCTAAATATGTCATGTAACATCGTAAAACTCGGGGGTAGGATTTGTACGCCACGTGTTCGTGTAGTCCCATATACATCTTTCTGTGTACAGTGTTGGTAACTTTACCAAGACTTGGCCAAATTTCTTATCATTGTGATGATTCCAGAACCTTGCAATACACACAAAGTCTTATATGCTAGATGATCAACCTTTTCTGGTCGATTCCACATCGTTTCTTTCACAATGCAATCGCATGACCAGAACTCAACTTCATCTTTAACTCCGATTTGAAGGGGGAAAAGAAGAAGAAAATCGAATCTAATCTTCTCAGTATTTTTATTGTTATCTGTGTGGCAAAATTCTTCTAACTCCAAAAATAATGTGGTAGAAATATTGTATAATTATTAATAGAGATATGGAAAATATGGGATATGAGAATGAGCGAGAGAGACAGAGAGCTATGATAGAGAAAGATATTTCACCATTGAGCCAACACGGATACAAAATCATATTTAACAATGACCAAGATATTAACACCTTTTTATTGAGATTATATCAGTTTTAATTACGTCATCTGTTTTTAATAATTCAACTTGACTGGAATTCGACCTTCTATGCTTTTGTTGGTTTTCTTATCAAAACGATTTGTCGGAGTTGGCGGAAAATTTGTCGGTGTTTGTGATTTATATTGAAATGTGTCTGTTTTCGCCCCTCCGTGGATGCTTCATTAACCAAGTGTATCTACATTGATACAAAACCTGATATTCCGATTTAATCTCACATTGTGATCTAATTTTGAAATATTTCGCTCTTTCTTCACCCTTCTCCAACTCTCGGTACTTTCTCTATCTGTGTCTGTTTGTTACTGTTGATTTTTGTTCTTCGCCCTGAAAACAGTCGGATAAAGGGCTGCATTATCTGGGCTAGCCGCATTTCAGATTTTAGGTCCGGTGCAATTTTGAGTGATTCTGTTTTACGGGGCGGTATAATGGGAATGGGCCGTCTCTATAAAATGGACTATGGCACAATGCCCAAATGCATGTTTAAGCCATCTCCACCCCTATACTTCCTTCCACATACAATAAGTTGACATCATTTTGGTAACCGTAAAGTCATCTGTAGCTTCATGACTACCGACAAAATTCTGAATGTGTTTTAGTTAAAATCAGGACAGTACCTTACAACACATCTTGAAAGTCCTGAAAGTCCCGAAAGTGCCTCAATTCCGTATAGGTGGGTATCCCTGCCCTTTTTACCACATTTAAGCTCTTTCTGTGCGGTAAATTTGGAGTTTAATGACCTAAATCTCCAAATTAATTCGACAATAGGTTGGCGACGATCATTTATGGGGCATCGGTCCCTAGACTCTATTTTGTTCCAGCTCTGCAGTGCGTCCATCCGTATCTCCCAGAACAGTTAGGGATAAAGCCTTTCTGCCTTTACACTCGGCACAGTTAATCACGAATAGAGATTTGTCCCGAGTGTAGCTGTATAGTTCGCTACCTCAGGCTTGAGAGTGATCTGGAAGTTTAACGTTACCTTGAGGAGATAGTAATTTATCTTGACCAGAAGAGGAACAGAACATTTGAGAAAAGTTGACTACTAAACCGTGGCGCACATGAATTGAAATTCCTAGGATTACTACTGTGAAACTACTTTACCTTACGCAGAATAAGAAGATTTGGGGTGAAAATATGATTCGATATTGCCAGCTGATATTGGCTGCTTTTATCGGGTCTGCCGTGGGTCTTTTCAGCGGCGGTGGTCCAGCGGTAGATCTTTGGTTATCCGCTGATGAAGTTTCTCGAATTTTAGGTACGTATCACAAATTACATAAATTGCATAATTACCAGAAAGAACAAAATCAATTATAATTATTTGGATGGACAGGGGGTCTAAGATGTTTTGCTTGGCCTCGGTTTAAGCATTTTTTCAAAGATTAACGCTAGTAAAGTATTTATACCTTGGTTTCAGTGTAGTATCCACATTGGTTTCATAGGAATAAAATTGTAACATTTTGTCAAGAACAACTTTTTATGGGCGTGGTTTCAGGTTTGTGATATGGGGTAGAATGGTGCTACAAGGGGGGAAGGGCATTGTCAAAAGCCTAAAAGGAACATTTGGAGAAATGGATACTGGGAATGCATGAGAATAAGAAGCGTGAAAACTCATGAGGGTAATGTCCTACAACTATTCCGTCTTGACATGTGTCGTAGACTTTAAACGAAAGAGATAATGACATTGTGTATTTTATCAAAAATAAACCAAAATGCTAATACCATTCGGTCGGGCAGTGGTCATAACGGTATACTGTTATGAACTGAAATTTGCTGTTTCTGTTGCGTTTGGTATGTGGATTTTGTCATAATTTGTCTGATGGTTGTTAACTCTGTGTTCTGTTTTCGAACTGTTTGAAATTTGATATGGTTTACATTGGAAACCTGCCTCCCCCTCTTGTCCCCCCCCCCCCCCCAAAAAAAAAAAAAAAAATTAGGTTAAGTAAGAAACCGAAATAGCTCTTGCTAAAACCTCTTAAAATGTCAAAACGTAACGCGATAAGCAGAAGTGAGAGTTTTAAGAGATAAAATCCTTCTGCCAATCTTCCGAAATTTTCTTTCTATAGGTTGGCTGCCGATTTATAAGCGTCTAATTAATTAGCAAGCTTGTTTGAATGCTTTTGTTTTGCCCTGGTCTGTTTCGTAAACACAATCCAGATTAGTTGGATAAATACCAACTTATCGTCTTCCCGTTAGAGATTAAACGAATCAATACCGGATCAGAACGTCTTTCTTTGGGAGGATTTATTGTCAGAATCAAAGGCGGAGAAGCTTCGCCGTCAGTCTTGAGCAAAGGTGTATTGTTAAAGAATAAGTTCATTACCGATCTTAACGACTTGGGTCTAGAGGAGCAGACAGTGTGCCTTGTATGAGATGCGTTCAACTGGATGCATTAGTCATCAATTGAGATTAAGGTTTGTGTAAGATAAAGAGACTTTATACCCGTGAAGGGTAAGCCAAAAGACGTTGGAGTGATGTTAATATTTCTGAAATTTCGTTGTTTACTCATATCTCCTTGAGACCATCATGGTTACAGTAAGATTTTGGTTGTACATAATGCAGTATTTACAGCGGCTGTAACAGAATAATACAAATCGAATAAGGTCTTTATACTTTGGTCTACACAATTGAAGAGGTATACTGCCAGCGGAAGAAAGCCCAACGAGTGGCAGAAAAATCTAAAAAATAAATGATATTACAATTCTCAGCAAATAATGGAGAAAAAATATCATGTCCAGCTGTGATGTTTGTACACCGTTACAGGATGCATGTTCTTTACATTATTGTTCTCCACATGATGCTATTTCAAAATGTTAAAAATAGACAACCTAATAATTTAGAAAGGGCTCGCGGATTTTCTTTTAAAACCGCCTTCTGAAAAGTATGCCTCATAATAACAAGACAATTCATTTGATTATTACATGTATTCAAATTTTTGATATATTATTTAATATTGTATAACAAAAAATTGTGCATAACATCAATGTATAAAACACTTCAACGTCAACGGTATATTCCGTTGGAAATCCCACCCTATTGCTACATCACCCTTAGGTCACTGGAACGATAATGACCATGACGTTGTCCCTGCTTTCCATATGCCCTTTGACCACAAGTGACCTTTTCATAAACTCTGCGAATTATGATCATAACAAACCCAGCACACCTATCATTCATTACGATCATATACAGCGTAGTGAGGGTTAACTCATGGAAAAGCTTGGGAGGCATGCGCATGGGAGGCTTCGTCAGTTTATTCCTCGTGGTCTGTTTTCCCTCTTTCTCCCCACCCCTTTCTCTCTCTCTCTCTCTCTCTCTCTTCCCCCCTCTCTCTCTCCCTCTCTCTCTCTCTCTCTCTCTCACTCTTTTCTCTTTTTTCTCTTTTCATTTACCTATTTCTGTATTTCATCTTGTTTACCATTCGATGGGGTGGGGTTGACCACATGCACCCCAGATAGCCAGCACCGTTTATAATCGAATTCAAAACGAAAAAGAATGGTAAAATGACTTACTGAAAATTCTGGTTTACCATTTTAAGGGGTACTGTAACGATATAATATATTGAAGTTAGAACGAATGAATTCCGTTTTTGATATTTTGCCCAATTTGAAACGAGAAAAAAGGTTAAGTTTGAACCCCGAACTTTTGTCCAATTTCGTTTTATCGTATACAGGACTGAACGTTTCGTGACATTATCACAGAGAAAATATTCAGTCTAATTGGATTTATTGCAACGGAAAAGAGGAGAACAAAAATCGAGATGTATAAAGGAGTAAAAAGAAGTCTCAAATATAACTTGTGTTTATTTTGCGAAAAATTTGATGAAAGGTTCAATTTCATTCCTTTCGTGAAGATGAAATCATAATACCCCCTAGGCAGATCTCGAATGAGATTTGCAAGGGTTGGAATATGTTTTGGATTACAGCGAAAATTGAATTTAGGATGATAGGGTAAGGGAAACTCGGTGATTTGAAGAAAGCAAAAACTATATACGTTGGTACGTGACTACCAAATACTCTTCTGATGTTTTGTATTTTCTAACTTTCTCTTTCATGAATATTGTATATGAACAATTTATTTGACTGAAGAAAAAAGGTGAATTTTGTTGATGTTTTCCATCATAATATCATATAATTTATGATATACTGTTTTCCACTTTTTTAATGGCTCGTCATTGACAATAGCACATTGCCTATAGACCTTACCTATAGTATAAATTCATTTTGAAAGTAGGCCCTATAATGGAATGTACTTTATTCCATGACAATATATTGAGATGTGAATGATCTTAATTCTACATGCATATTGTACTGGATATGAGCAAATTGTTTCATGAAAAATAACTTTCCTTTTTTTAGTTCTTAAATTTCTTAAATTTTTCATTTGCCATACTTTGCTATTATCCGTTTGTCTTCTATTTCACAAACGACTGAATAAATCGTTGTAATGCACAATATTTCATCTATTTCGTATTTCGTTATTATTGCAATGGTATTGATGAACGATATGTGACCACGTCGGGAATTTCCAAACCAAGTCTCAAGGGACTATTTTCTCCCACCCCCCCCCCATTTTCCACTCCTCCCAACGGCCCTCTCTCTCTCTCTCTCTCTCTCCCCCCCCCCCACCCCCTCACCGTCCTCTTTCCTCTTCACTTTTTTGTTGTCTTTATACTAGATTTGGCGATAAAATGAAGATTTTGTATAATATGAAAGTATTAGATTAAAGGTATGAATTCTGTTGAATGTATACCAAGCCCCTGCAAACCTACTTTAAAGCATAATATATTCCTTTTCCCCCAAAGGGAGGCATGCATCTGGGCCTCTCTACATTATCCAAGATGGGTTGCCGAACCCATCTCTGTCTCCTTCGCTGTTGAGAAGCAATGGTAACTCATTTTATGATTCCACTGACATCGATCAAAGAACAAGGTTCATTCTTCCTGCAAACGCGGACTCATTGAAGATCTCGTGGCGGGCCCCGAAACCGGTAAGTACTGTAACAAAAATCTATGTACAGCTAGCTCAACATCGACCAAAAATCCAAAACCACCCCAAAACACATAGCATTTCTTTCCACTTTATCCAAAAAAGTACGCCGATAAGATCATTGATAACAATAGCCTACGTCTAATGTTTGTGATGGCCATATTATCGGCCAAGGATAACATTGGCTAATGTTTTTAGAAAACTATAAAATTGAACACAATCATGCAACACCTCTGAAACTTTCTATAAAAATGTTAAGAATAACTCCTCGGCCAGATCTTTGTACTCCATACAATACGAGCTTTAAAATGAAAAATATAACTTTGTATTTCACTCTTTGTTACATGGACCTATATGTAACTAAAATATGATAAACATAAATTATGATTAGACCACTGATTATACCTGTAACTACCCCCCCCCCCACCCCCAACTGATGCAACATGGCTGAGTGTTGTTACTGGCGATCTTATATATTTTGTTCTTATGATATATGGAAGCGAAACTATATTTGATCTGGTCTCTCACTTAACAAAATTATTTTGTTAAGGTAAAAGATAATCTTTGTATTTACGTTTAAATTGAGAATGTGATTTTGATTTTTTTTTTCTTCAACTCATTGGGCATTTCATTCCAGGTTTTCGCTCAAGTGCAAGTTCTTGTTTTGCGTGAAAAATTATGTTTATACAGTACTATGTGCAATATCACATAAGCCTATATGACTGAATATCTATAAGTGTAGCTTCTATAATACGTCATGCTGTATAATACACCATTCATCGGAAAATTCTATTACAAGGCGAATCGTGGTTGCACTATGTATTTTCATAGATTGGATCCAGAGATAAGTCCAGTACGCGATCATATTTTTGTGAAAAAATGAAAAACAGATGTTTGATGTGGATGTTTTCACCATTAGCGTTTTCACACACCAGGTTGGGCTTCCAGATAAAAATTTTCGTGTCTTTTGTGTGCAAGGAAGGGGGCAGTAAAGAGAGAGAGAGAGTGAGAGAGAGAGAGAGAGAGAGGGAGAGAGAGAGAGAGAGAGAGAGAAAGAGAGAGAGAAAGGGGAGGGGGAAGGTGGAGAGGATAGAGGGAGAGGATAGAGGGGAGGGTAAACAAGGGAAACAAGCCAGAGGGAGAAAGATGAAGAGGGGAATTGTATGGTATAAAGACAGTACTAGAATGGGAGCGAATAGTCATGCAGAGGGGAAGAGAAGGAGAGAGATAAAAGGACAGGGATAGAAAGGGAGATAGAGTGAGAGATGGGGAGGGAGAGAGAAACAGATGGGGAATAAAAAGAAAAGAAAGAGAGAGAGGGATACCTGAGATACAGAGAAAGAGGAGAGGAGATATAGTATGATAATTATCGTAAAATTAGATGATTGTGATTGTGATACCGTAACCATATGTTTAGAATAAGAAAGAACAGTTTAATACTGTATATGCTTAGGATCTCTTTCGATAAACGATTACATTTTAAACAGTTTTCTTGGAGTCTCCACATCATTAATTTGCTTTAAAAATGTAAAAGCGTCCAAAAGGTCCATGAAATCACCTTCACCTTTCGAATTGCTGTAAAAATAATTAACAAAAGAAATCTGGACTCCGGCAACCCATCATTCCTATTTGCTGTTGAGAGGCTACATTAAAAGAGAAAGAAACAATAACAATAGACACAATTGGAGCTCTTTCTATCCTTTGTTGATATATGGGTGAAAGAGCAGCAAATTGTACTCGAAATGGCAGAAGCCATACCGATGCCTTAACTGAATTCCTTCACCCGTGACTTCAGTCTATAATATGCGGTGAATAGAGAAGAAGTAATTTATTAGAATAAAATGAAGAAAAATAATTTTGCGTAACCACAGGAGGCATTTGTTTGTTGACTAACCACACGACGTAACTGTTTTTCGGTTTTGTATGTACCAATTATATACAAAACCAAGGGATGCCTGAAAGTTTGGATATCATGGCACATCACTATTGAGCGCAGACTTTGTGCATTTAGTATACTATCAACAACGTGTGCTGTTATGTTGTTGCGAACTGATGTCAGGGGTTGTTGATTTTAATGAATTTCGCAATAAATATCGAGATTTAATCTATTTGAAGCGCTGATAAAATCAGCAGTAATTTCAATGGTCACCCTATCCATAGTATAAAGACTTTTATAGTTATAAACACTCAGGTGTTTAAATGATATATCACATTTAATAAGCATACACATTTTTATCGAATTGATATGTGAAATAAAAATAATCAAGTACCAGACAGAGTAGCGCCGACTGACGGTACACAAATTGACTGAATTTGGCCGAGTACCCATTTTTGGTTTATTGTTTCACATTTTGAACTGCTGCTTCCCATTATGCCCATGAAGTAATGAGAAGATAAAAGATTAAATCATTTCGATTATATTCTCACCATAATAGATTCTCTTGTGTGTTTTTTTTTTTTATAAACTTATGTTCAGAAGGCACCGTCCATTCACCCTTATACTTTGAATTTTGCAAGTTCCCTTGGCCTCATGTTGTTTAATTTTCTGTTCTCTTTCTTTTCATGTATCTCGCGATGATATTTTACCGCCCACCCCCCCCCCCCCCCACCAAAAAAAAACAAAAAAACACGGTTGTCCGTGCAATCATATCTACATTTCGTATCTATTGTAGGCTTTGTAGCAACATTTACCTTTTAAACTAGATATCTACCCATCTCAGGGCTGTTTTGTTTATCAGGCTTTAGCGGGGTATGTACGTGAACTTGCTGAGCCGTGTATTATCGCGTGTTGAAATCAGCTCAATAATTCATTCTGATTGATGTGGAATTGTTATTGTGTCACCTTTTACCCGGAAAATCAGAATATAAAAAAGCAGACAAAATGATGTTATCCATTTTTGCGCATTCATACACTTTTTGATGAATGGAATTTTATTGTGACATTGTATCGCATCGAATTCAACAGATTTGTTCGTGCGATAAATGGGAATTCGGTACTTGAGAACAAATCGGGCCTACATACATGCATGGAGGACCTCATTCTTTATCAATCCATTTCATATTAAAACGAAATGAACAAAGACAGTGGTGTGTGTACGGGGAGGTACGTTTCCAGCCCCATCAAATGAAAATAAAAAGGTAAACGAGAGAGAGAGAGAGAGAGGTATAGAGAGAAATTGGGAAGGGATCGAGTGGAGAAGTGAACGTTAAAACGAAAATATACTATACCGCTAACACCCCTACTTACTTTGCTCCCTTGCATATTTTGTCCATCTAATGGGACAAGTACCCCCGAAATAATCTGCAAGGGTCCCCCTCAATGGCTGGACCCGTGTTAAAAATCTATTCCTGCATAGTAAATATTCACATTTGCCATGCAGGTGAACCCATATAGATGTTAACAAAAATATAATGGAAAATGGCCGCTTCTCCCTTGTGACAAAAAAAATGCTGTAACGCCCGTAGGCTACCCGGTCATGAATCAGATAATGGTCGAAGGGGTTTTGTGGTGACAATAGAATGGGGGTAATTATGACAAGAGGTCAAACCTCTAACATGTCTTTAGATGTACCTCTGTTGATGATAATCATTATATGAATATAAGTCGGTCGCTAAGCAATAGAACAATAAAAAAGGAGTTGCAAAAAGGGGGAAGAATGGAGGGGAGAAAGGTGAAGAAACGAGAAACGTACTTACTCAGGTGACAATCAGGAGAGGGAAACGACACAATATTGTGTACGCCATTGCGATATATTCAAAATGCTCTTGCCCTTAGAACTCTGTACATACAAATTAGAGGGCAGGGGTTATCGTACACATTATAGTTTCGTCAACATGCTTGAGGAAAATAAAAAATAAAGGAGTTGAGGTTATCTACTTTGTACTTTTCGTATTCATGCTGTCGATAAGCTCTAATTATTTCAGAAAGATGGCTCCTAATGACGTGTGTCAAAACTGTGATTTTACGGCAAAGTGATTTTCAAGGCGCATAAACAAAATTGCTGGGGATTTTTCGTGCTTATTTGTCCTTCTTTAAATCGACATTTCGTAGCTGAAACACTGATACGTGATGGGGCTGTAAATGAAGGTCTTATATTTTACACGATGTGTGTTGATAGGATTGGAAGGTGGTTAACCGTAAACAGCAAGTGTGTTTTGAGAAGAAAAAAGTCATACCTACCACAAATGGAAGTAAATATTTGCCTGAAACGGTTGTTTTGAAAAAGTCATAACCGGAAAAGAAAAAATAACGATATGCAACGGCCAACACTATAATACTAGGGACGACGAAACAACGACGAAATGTGCAACATTTTTGTAAAACACGGTGGACACAGTGTTTCAACAAAGTACTTAAAATAATGTATCTCTTTTCATGTATCATCCCAAAATTCTCTCATATTCCACGTAATGTATACCCCTAAAAAAGATCGACAATGTGTAATCTCTATTCTTGCTTTTATCTATTTCCTCAGTTCCATTATACTTTCATGGAGCTTCAATCCAGCGACCCGTCAATCATGGGACCACCGTTACTCAGCATCACTTTAGAAGACAGCATGCCCAATAATGACACAGGTTTGTTCTTCCCTCCTCGTTTTTTGTATACAGGGGCGGGTCAATATTGTGTTAAGGGGGACCACAATTTTGAAAATTTGCTGACAAGCCCCCCCCCCCCCCCCGAAAAAAAAATTCAGGTGTCTTTTTGGGAATTTGGAAAAATTCAAGAGGGGCACATTTTGTCTGTTGTTTTCGCGGAATTCAGGAAGTTTTCGAAACCCCTCCCTCTCCAAAAGTAAACAGTTATCAGATTCATCAAGTGCCCTTTGAGTAGAGAGTTGAAGAATGGAGCATATTTTTTTATACAAAAATCATTCAAAGTGCCTGATAAGGTACGTATGGGATGAGAGACAGTTGTGACATGCGCATACGTATGCCCGCTCAGAGGTCATTTTTTAGTGCTCCAAAAAGTTCCCTTTCAAGTAAAAAATTAGACATATTGTATTTTGTGATTTTGTGATTTAAATGTTGCGATTATACTTTTTCTTAAACTGCATAAAACTAAATTCACCGGCTCGATTGTTTTTGTCGTTTTATAGATCTTTTAAAAAAATGTAAATTTAACGGATCGAAACTAACCCTTTTTGGCGTTAGGTAAACCTCTAGGAATAATTGAAGATGAGTTCTATATAAGATTCTTTCTTGGAAATTTGGTGGCTCTGAAAAGAGCCGTTTGTTGTAAATATGGCGAAGACCAATTTACTTGGAGGTGGTGTACTTGGTGACAGCCTTGGTGCCCTCAGAGACGGCGTGCTTGGCCAGCTCTCCGGGGAGGAGGAGACGGACAGCGGTCTGGATCTCTCGGCTGCTGATGGTGGACTTCTTGTTGTAGAGGGCAAGACGAGAAGCCTCACCGGCGATGCGCTGGAAGACGTCGTTAACGAAGCTGTTCATGATGGACATGGCCTTGCTTGAGATACCAGTGTCGGGGTGGACCTGCTTCAGAACCTTGTAGATGTAGATTCCGTAGCTTTCCTTTCGCTTTCGGCGACGGGTCTTGGAGGCGCCACTTGGGCGTCCCTTGGCCTTACCGGCCTTCTTGGCTCCCTTTCCGCTAGTTTGCTTGGCAGGCATGATGATTACTTAATTGTGTCGAGTAGATCAACTGAAGACACACCGAGAGCCTCCCCCTATTTATGAAGAATCCTGGGGCCGTCTTCGCATGGTTGCGTTGTTTAAACTTCGCGGGAATCCAAATCGTATGCAAATGAAGGATCGCTCCGACCGAACGGAAAAACGATCGATTTTTATCAATGCCTAAACCTTCGTGGGTGATATTGCCTTTCACCCGTTACCACTGTCATAAACTCGGTCAATATTTATAGACCAACTGAAATTCATCCAGTGAAGTAACCATTACCAAAATAATATGGGGTAGTGTACTGAATAGTGAATGGTGAGGCAACCCTTGAACTCATGCTTAATTATACAGGTGCAGAGAATGAAACAATCAAATTAAATTTCTTAAACTAAAAGGGCATCAGCAGTCAATGGTGTGAAATTGTAAAACAGGGAGATGTTAGATTAGATCACCCCATGCCTGGATCACCCATGCGAACTTGCGAAGTAATATATTTTTGAAAATTATATTGAATAATCTTATTAATTGCATCATAATAATATTCAACGAATAGCATTATTAGGCTACAATAATAAGGTCCTTTAATAGTATAATATTTGTGAATTGTAATTGCTCTTCTTCCTCCCGAGATACTGTATAACTGTATTTGATTCTATTTCGCGGGCTATTTTGACTGAAGAAAATATAAGACTTCACGATGTGTCTGTACTTGTCATGCACTTAATTTAGAATATATGCCAACCAGTCTGTCTTCAGGTTCGTTTAGTTATACTTTTCATGAAAAAGAGATGAGCAACAATTTGCCCTACTTTGACAAAAGAAATCCACTATCATTTAAAAAAATCTACTCAGACACCTGTTCACGTTTACATCGTATGAATTACTCAAAGAGTGTGAAAAGGGTTCCGTGTCATTTTGTCGTTTCTAACAAGAAAAACATGTACCGGTAGAGTTAATTCATGCATTTCGATAGTTGCTTCTTTTGGGTTAAAGTAGGGGATACATATTATATTTGAGAGAGCTGACGTTCATTGCAAAGCACGAATTACTTCTGGTGGCGCCTAATTGCATTGTTTCTTTATGCCTTTGGAATACTGGTTTTTACGCTGGGGTTTTGGGGTGTGGTTCATTTCTAAAGTGCACGCAGCGGGGGATGTTTTGGTTCGTATGAATGAATGCGTTACCCGTGTTTTTGGAAAGCGCGCCATATGCAAATGACATTTTACGGTGATCCCGATCGATTTCGACCGTAAAACACAATTGATATACTAATTAAAGCGAGGAGATTCACGGTGAGGGATTCATTGATCGCTAATTTGCGGCCTATTCGGATCACCTGTAGAAGGTATAAATAGCGTAGCGCGAGATTCAAAGCATAGTTTGTTCTAGTTCTCAACGAAGACAACATCTAAACTCAACCATCATGTCTGGACGTGGTAAGGGCGCTAAATCCAAGAGCAAGGCCAAGAGCCGCTCATCCCGTGCAGGGCTTCAGTTCCCTGTTGGTCGTGTGCACCGCTTCTTGAAGAAGGGCAACTACGCCGGCCGTGTCGGTGCTGGTGCCCCCGTGTACCTTGCTGCCGTCCTCGAGTACCTGACCGCTGAGATCCTCGAGCTCGCTGGCAACGCCGCCCGCGACAACAAGAAGAGCAGAATCATCCCCCGTCACCTTCAGCTCGCCATCCGCAACGACGAGGAGCTCAACAAACTTCTTGGTGGAATTACCATCGCCCAAGGCGGTGTTCTCCCCAACATCCAGGCTGTTCTCCTCCCCAAGAAGAAGTAAATTCTTCATCTCACCTTGTGAACTCAAACGGCTCTTTTCAGAGCCACCAAACCTCCAAGAAAGAAATAAAAGATGAAACTCGTCTCACTTTACTAGACCCAGATATTGCAATATTCGTACGGTACATCCCTTCCTCTTCTCTTTATTAATGAAGTAACACACCCAGTTACAAAAAGTGCTAGTTTCTGATTAAAAATCTAGTTGCAGACTCACACCTACCATGGAGTTACTAGTAACTACTCCATGCACCTACTGATTTTGTTGTCATATCTTTCACATAAAGCCGAAAAAGCCGACATAAAGTAGAAACGATAACATTAAACATTTTAATTAAAAAACTTGACATTATATCGTCACAAGTCTTGTTTACAATAACATTATTCACCATTTCGCATGGCAATCATGCATCGCCCACATGACTTTGTCTTTTTAATTTCAATGTTTTACAAGTAACATGACTAACAATGTATTAATATATTTTCTCTCTTGTTCAAAATAATGTGGGTGGAATAATTCCCATTGTTGAGAGAGCTGATTGCAGAGATTAATATAGTAGGTCCCCTTTACCATATCATGCCTATATCAAATATTGTGATATAGTGAAAAGGGATTTCTAAGTAGTTTGACCTAGTAATTATGCACTTTTGCTCCTGTAAAATACTTCCGTTGCATTTCAGAAACAAAACGTCATTTTTTTAAAAGATTATAAAACGTTTCCGCTTTCCCTATAATTACCATGCGTCTTAATCCCAGTGAGAGAATGCGAGGTCAGGTTTTAAGTTGTAAAACGCCCAAATTTGAAATGCATATCCCCAAATCCTAAGGCATGGAATAACAGTAATAATTGGAAAAACAAAAAAAAATATTACTTTGTGCATGTTGTATGGTCATAATGTGAGGACTGTGCCCGGTCCGGGAGGGTGGGGGGGGGGTCTTGTTATCTTCTCATCTTATTCTTGTATCCAGCCTTTACTTCTCGATCCTCTCCGTTTTATTGCCTTTTCAATAAATAATTCCCACATTCCATAGGAAGGGGGAGGGGATAAGTGCCCCTTGTCTTTAAAGCCCTACATAACTGGATTCATGACACGTTTGCTATCTTACCCCATTTCTATACTATCCATGAAAGTTGAATAAAGTACAGTATATTCGGCAGGATAGCAAAGCATAGTAGAAGAGAGACAATAGCCGTAAATTAAGGAAGCTCATCGTCTTGCACTCAGTAAACCGCAAGAATGAACAGAAAGCTGAAAATCATACAAAATTATGCATGGAAACTTAAGAAACAAGTATTTTGAATTTAACAACAATTATACCTGATCTGTTATCTCCCATCCCAGAAGTGGTCTACAGCTCACTAGACTCACATTGCCGGTCTCATAGGCTGTCGGTCTAATGGGATGTCCCTTCAAAAGAAATAAGAACGTGAAAGAAAGGGGGTGTGCAACCCATGGGTTGAGTGACTTGACCCGGCGATCAAACACTTTTATGAGTTGACTGATTAATGGATATAGCAGATGATGAATATGTAAGTGGTTTTCATGATCGTATGGAAGTGTATAATATAACTTTTCTTTTCATGACACTTCTAGAATTTCGCATGGACTTCCCTTGCACCGGTGAGAGGACCGGCATAGCATCTGTAAACGTCATTCTGCGAATTCGACATTTCAAGAGCGGTCTCGATATCCCTGCATCTCCTATACATCTTAGCTTTGACAAACAGTGCGTAGAAGGTAGGAATTGTTGGTACTTTTAGCAGATTATGTCAAGGAATCGTAACATCTAATTCTTATTCAAGTGTGAAAATATCAATGTTTTCGTTTGCAATCACTTTGCAGGTGAAAATTGATCATACATACATATATTTCAATATAGACTCCCCTCCCCCCTCCCCCCCCCCTCTCTCTCTCTCTCTCTCTCTCTCTCTTTCTATTTCTTCGGCTCTTCATCTGTCGTTCACATTCTCTTAATTTTGTCTCTCCTTGTCTATCACAATTCTTTTCTTTTCTTTTCCTCACATGCCCTCCCATTTCCGTGCCCTTTTTGTTGGACTATGCCCCGATTATCTCCCTTTCAGCTTTAACTCAACAGACTCCACATCATCCTCATTGCAATCATATATAAGTTATATTATTCTTAATTTGGCCCTCGTTACTAAACTATTATCCGATGTCCCATTGTTTGTATTCCTTTTTATGTATTCATCTCAGAATAAACGATGCAACATTTCCCACCTCTTGCTTAAATGCTTTTATTCGTTTTTGTAATTTAACACAATCTCAAAAGCCTTCTCCATCACCTGTTGAAATGTGGGACCAGTAATGTTCTTCACCTTATCTGAAAATGATTTGTTTATAGGATAAACAATACTGTATTGAATGAAATTGCAATTGAAATGATTCTTTGAAAGTTTTTTTCATCGTCTTTATTTTCTACAAATTGATTTTTGTTTAGCTCCCACTTGTGAGCCTCGGTGTGCGAATGGAGGGATGTGTAATCAGATGGGTCGATGTGACTGTGCAGATGGATTCTACGGTCATTCCTGTCGAATCAGTGAGTAACTACAGGCCCTATAACCCCCCTTACCCCCTTGCCCTCACCCTGTAGTAAAAGATTTTGAATAATTTTATTTGTATGGGCCTGAACTACATGTCAAAGTAATTTCAATAAACATAATCATAAATAATAGAAAATATAAATAGGCGGGATAAACTCTTCGAATTCAGTTCCTATTGAATTTTGAATTTGAATTAGTAAACTTCAAAAAAAAATCAAAACTCTATAGTTGCCGTTTCAGTAAGCAGAATATTCATTCGATAGTAATTCAAGTCAAAGTTGATCCGAGTAAACTATTTTATTACTACATAATGACAAAGCACGATATTATTAGTGAAATACAACTCGAAGGAAAAATGGAGGATGTAATTTAATTTCAAATGAAAGATTTACAAAACGAATCAACAGCATGACAAACAGTGTCAAAATTCCAGGTACACTGTAAGTAAGTATTCTACATCCATTTTATTGATCTGTCCTAACTTTTTTTCTTCTAACCGTGAATTTCATCTTCCTTGCAGTATTCTGCATACCACACTGTTATAACTCAGGAACCTGTGTGGCTCCAGGAGTATGTGAGTGCCAGAAAGGCTTCATTGGAGACCGATGTCAAAAAGGTGAGTCCGCTGAGACAATAATTCAATCAACCAGTCTTTCAATTCAACTAGTCAATCGACAAATTAGAATATTAAATCAATCGATTTAAGGCGAAATATTAAATCGTCATTTGGTTTTATTTCTTATTCAATAGTGTAATAGAGGAATTGAAAGATTGATACAAATAGAGAGGAAGTTAGAAATAAATAGGGCGAAGAGTCAGCAGAAGAAGAAGAAGAAGAAGAAGAAGAAGAAGAAGAAGAAGAACTGTCACTCTCAATAAGAACTAATAATTGCTTATGAACTTTCTTTTTATTTTTTTTTATTTTCTTCAAAGCCATTTGCACAGACGACTGTACCGGTCATGGATACTGCTATAAGCCTGGCTACTGCTTCTGCTATCGAGGATGGACGGGGCCAAAATGTGACAAACGTAAGTTCACAAAATGATAACTTTATTCCAAATAAATATGATGGATTCAATGGAGTGATTAAAACAAAAAAAGCAAAAAAATTAGACAAAAGAGATAATCAGTCATTGGAAAATTCATTTTAGAGACATTATTTATGGTGACGCCACAATCAAAAATTCGCATCATTTGATATGTACGATTACATTCAGGAAGCTAATTGCATTCAATCAATAATAACAAATAAGACGAAGAAGAAAAAATGCAAAAAACGAAGTTGAAGTGCAGGGCGATAATTAAGCGGTGAAAATTGCCGGAGCTTGTCTTGAATATATTAATGTTGATGGATTTGGTCGATCAATGTTTCGACGAATTTTGACGGCCCATAAAACATTATTCCGACGTGTATTTGCTAATTTTTGCTTGGTTGCTTATCTCCTTGAAAGTTCTTAATATATTTATTGCATTTCATTTTGCTGTTTGTTGTTGAAAAGTACACACTACAGGAACCCTTAATTATTATTTGTTTGTATAAGGTCACAATAGTCACTTTCTGTAATTGTTATGATAGATTTTATTTTTATTCCTTGATTTCTTTGCAGGAATTGACAATTCTCCAAAAGCATTAGAGGCGACCTCTTACCGATCAAAGAACGTCAGACTTGTTAAGAACAGACGATTCTGGAGCGATACTACATAATCAAGGCTACAAACAAAATCATGGACATACTAACAGTGGTGTAGCTACAAATGGCATGGGGCACATGCTTCATACTGAATGGGGAAAATGAAATGAGATGAGAGAGAGAGAAATTTAGAGGAGAAAAGGAAGCTCTAAAAAAGGATACTCCTGGATCTCCCAACAATGGCCTTGAATTCATGTTACATCCACCGAGTAGGCTACTGAGAGTGATGTCCCCCCCCCCCCCCCCCCACCCCATGATTAATTTTGGTGCCCTCTTAATGTCATGCGACGCCACTTATACGAGGCAACACATATTGGACAATCAGGCGCGTACGCAGGATTTTTTCAAGGGGGGGGGGGGGGTTTAACATTTATAAATCGTCCGAAAATTTCGCAACGACTCAGCCAGCCGCTGAATAAGCGGGGGGTAAGAGGACACTTTTACTTTTTTTTTTTTTTTTTTTTTTGGTCTCGAAATTTGAAAATTTGACCATTTAGCTCCGTTGGGGGGGGGGGGGGGGGTAAGTTCAGCTTTTTTAGGTCAGCCATAGAATTTAAAAAAAAAAATTTTAATAAAAAAAAATCAATAAAAAAAAAAAATCCAAAGGGGGGAGGGGGGGGGGGGGTTTTAGGGAGGTTATGGGGGGGGGGTTTACACACAAAAAATTCCAAGGGGGGGGGGGGTTAACCCCCAACCCCCCACCCCCCCCCCCCCCTCTGTGTATGCGCCTGTGGACAATCATGTTGCATTTGTAAATTTACAACAGAACCCCGCAAAGAAAATGGAAAATGTATTCCCCTTATTACATGCACTGACGATAATGATGATGATTTAAGGCACTTATAGTCATGGCGTCAAGTTTCTGTTTAAAAGACTGATCAAGACTCTACGATGCTATTTTTGTGTGCAGATTATAATGAATATCCGAAGGGTTTTATAATGTTTTTATATTCGTTATTTATTTGTTCTCTACCACCACTATCAACCATAATAAGCAAATTGAAGGAAAAAAATCCAGTGTAGCCTTCAGTGTAAATAGGGGCTTGGTGGCATGTTACACCCCCCCCCCCCCCACCCAGTTATAGCAACAAAAAAATGTAATTACAAAACGTGAACTGATATTGATTGATTGATTTTTATTCGACAAGCTTCCAACATACAACTAATAACAGGTCAGAAATAAGTCAGCTTGAACAGGATAACCCACGAAAGCTCGAGAGCTTATTTCCAGTGGGGTCCCTTACAGACATGTATAAAATTAATAACTTAAAATAGTAATAAATATTTACAGACAGATAAGAAAAATAAAAGAATTACTTATTAAAGATAATAATAATAACAACATTAAGCTGATGATAGAAATGATAATAAGTACAAGAAGAAAAGGAAGAAGGAGAAGAAGAAAAAGAGGCGGAGGAAGAAGAGGAAAATAATGATGAATTTGTAGAATTTCTATAACGTACGAAAACATGAGTATATACAAAATGAAAAAGTAGGAACCGGCAGAAGAATACAAATTTCAATCATATAACATGTCATTTACTTCTCTTATCTGACTGTCAACTATTAGGTATTCCTTTAATTTCCTCTGAAAATGAGCATAGTTTTCTATTTCCTTTACATCATTGGGAAGGGAATTCCAATGTTTTATGGCATTGTAATAAAGCGAATTTCCAATACTACCTACTCTTTCTGGTAAGTTAAAGTTGAATCGGCTATTTCTTGTATTATAATCTTGTAAGTCAGTAACAAGATCGAAGTTGGATCGAATATAATGATTCGACCTAGTCTGATATATTTTATGCACATGATGCAATACGAGTTGTTTTGATCTTTGGTCGACTTCAAGAAAACCAGCTTTAGAAAGTTCGCTGCAGCCAACATGAGTTCTTGGACCAGAACAGTTGATAAATCTCACCATTTTGTTCTGTATAATCTTCAACTTCTTTTGATCTGACTTGTTGATGTTACTATACCATGCAGGGTTAGCATAGTCAAATAAACAATTATCACATCATGACTGTGTATCCATAAATCAGATTGAGACTCTTATACAACCCCTTTTATTATGGTAAAGTATATATTATGGTAAAGTAAGTTCAAAGGCATCAATCATAATACACCTTTAATTAATATTTACTTTTTCGAGACAAAACTAAGGATTACACTGCGTTACACCATGGACCTGCTAGTGGAAAGGTATTTTCAAAGAATGTTGCTTTTTTTAAAGGGAGCATACTTTGTCCCAAAGAAGTCGAGCATAACCTTCAATCGAATGACAATGTTTCTTGTTTACGGGGGCGTTTCACTTTGACGAGGGATAATGTGTATTGTTTAAATAAAATGAATCACTGTTCAAACTTCCAATTCGTGGACTTTGCTTTTGTTTATTTCGCCGTGACACATCATCAGTACTACACATCACTGGCGTATCCAGCAGTACAGGGAGTAGAGACCCTAAGAAAACAATGAATATTATAATTTATATAAAAAATACATTCAGTCTCTGCATCCCCATAAAAATAAGTATGTCCCAATTATGCATCAGATTGCAGGGATACAATTCACACAAAAATCTCCAGGGGGGATATGCGCGTACACTTGGACACTTTAGCGCACATTTTCTCCCAATATGCCACTTTGAATGTTATTTGAATATTCCAAGCTTATGGTATTATAAATAAAATCAGGTGTAAAATTGACTGCATAATGTAATTATGTGTTGTTAACTATGTGACATGTCTATTATATGATTCATTTCTCTTGTATATCGCTTTCTATTTATTTCATTATCCTAACCAGTTGAATAACCTTAGAAAATAACAAAAATAATACCTAATTTTTTAGGTGATGATTATGATTATTCTTTCAGCCATTGTTCTGTTAAATTTGAGATAAAATGATCTGCCAAACATCAAATTTGAGAAGCATTACAACGTGGCGTACATAATATATTATGTTATAATATTTAAACAATGATTTAGTTGCTCTGTCTTTAACATGGGTGTCGATCTGTAATCATTGTTCAGGGGGGATGATCTATTCATTCATCCCCCTGAACAATAGGTATTACGTAAGGATCGACACCCATGGTCTTTAACATATTAATGTGAATATGTTCTGAAAATACTCAATTATGTGTTTTATACCCTATCATGGATAGTTGTTGTATATTAAGACATTGCCGTACGCATAATGTGCATTCTTTTCTTGATCGTGTTCTAAATAAACATTGTATACTTTTTTTTCAATGAAATTACATATCTATTTCATTTGTATTGATGTATGTGTCCAGTCGATAACTCCGAATAGATCAAAATATTTATTGAAAATCAATAAGTATACAACTGCCAAAGAATTGGAAAAAGTAAAATCAAATTGAATACTGGAGACTGAGTGAGAGAGGAAATGAAAGCGAGAGGGGGAGTGAGAGTGAGAGTGAGAGTGAGAGAGAGAGAGAGAGTGTGTGAGAGAGAGAGAGAGACTGAGAGAGAGAGCGAGAAAGAAAGAGAAAGAAGAGAGAGAGAGAGAGAGAGAGAAAGAGGGGGGGGGGGCGAAAGAAGAGAGAGAGAGAGAGAGAGGGAGCCGAGAGAGAGAGATTGAAGACATAATTTTACAGGAATATGAGATTATTAATTGGATGTTATAGTTAGTGCATGAGTCAGTAAGTCGAACAATAACACAGTATACATTGCAATGATGGAAATCAAACTTAAATTTAATTTGATTTCCCCCTTTTCACTTAAAACTGGAAATAAAATAGTGAAATACAGACATATTTCAACGCCTCCCCAAATCCTGGTTCATGCACTTTTCGCCTCTCATGTACAGGTGACGCCAAATACTACAATATTTATGATAATAATAATTTCCTCACTACTTTTTTCTCTTTCTCTTTTTTGTTCTTTCCATGCTCTTCCTTTGCCCTTCAATCTTTCTGTATATTTTCTTTCTTTAATTTCTTGTTGCAACTTTTAGGCAGGTAGGCCTAGGCTGAAGACAGTGACTGAGCTCTTTTCATATGCCTGTAAATTGTAGACAATTTCTCTCTATATAATATCATCCATCTATCATAGGCTATGATGAGTGAAACAATTAAAAAAAGAATAAGCAAAAAAATTAAAAAGAACAACAGAAATTTCAAGATGAGAGTGACCTTTATATAGTCTACCCAGGGTTGAAAAATAAGCGGCCTAATTACCTATTATTAGCTTTGTGCTGGTATTGGTGTGGTTATTGAATCAATACAATGAAGGGTTATTCGATATAGTCTTTTGTAATAACGTTACATGTAATTTTGTTATCAATCACTATTATTTTATTTCCATTTTGACATTTTAATACTGGTTCAGACAGATTTGTCTTCATATTATTATAATAATATATATTTATCTACTTATTTACATTTTTACAACATTCAGAATTTCAGACATGACATTTCATTCAGCAGTATTCAAACTATTACTACTCAGTTGGCTTGAAAGAGACTAGGTAGTCATGTATGTATCGTAGCATCGGGTAACAACAATACATGTCCTTCCAAATTGGAACTCGGTGAGATGTACTTTTTCTTTCATCTGTTAGAAATTGTATATTTGATGATGATGATGATGATGAAAATATTTCCTGTAGATGATGCTGTTTTAAATGAACAACCAGTATATGCTAATTACTGTGTAACACCAGCATGTGTTTGTTAGTGTGGCCGAATGTGATCGTGATTGTCTGTGATCTATGAAGACTTGTGAATGTGAGACTGAGGCAGAGTGCGTGACCGTGAGATGTCTGCGCGCTCCCAGCGGTAGTCCGAAATTTCTGTCTCTTTCGTTCGTTAGCCTCTGATTTGGATAGGGTCTGCTCCTCTCTAAAGAGAGCCGACCCTACCCAATAAAGAGAGGATCTGACCCTACCCAAATCAGAGGTTAACGAACAAAAGAGAAATTTTCGGTCTATCCCAGGCCCAGCGGATGCTGTGAGATCGATGCACCATCTGTTTTTAGCTTTAGATCTAGTCTAGGGCCTATAGTTTAATAACGGGCTTGGTGATTATGAAATGTGATATTGATATCATTGCATCCATTTGTCTGTGTGGAGAGCATTGTAAAGTTAAACAAGACACAAATGTGAACATAATTATTCCCGCACCCACTGAATCTTGCAAAGTATGCAGTACGCTTCGGTTCGGGGTTCGCTGGAGGATTATAAATCTTTAAAATAAAGTGTAGAATCTATGGCGGTGTGACATACATGTAGAGTCTACAGAGACGCCAAGGTAAAAGATCGGCAATGCGTGACATTTTCATTTTTCGGGCGCGCGTGTGAGGGTATAACACACGTATAGGTATGGCGTTTTTTTTTTTTAATCTAGCGCGCGCGCCGTTTTCAGACCCTCCAAATGCGTGACACTTGGTAGCTCTGAGTCTAGCTCGCGCGTGACCTAAGTTCGCTGTCTCAAAAAATTGGTAAGATTTCGAAAATCTGATATCACCAATGCCATGGAAAGAGGAACATAAAATTAGCTGTAGACTAGAGGGAATTTTCTCTGGATGGGTGGGAAATTTTGAAAATATTGACAAAAGATCGGCAAATGTGGCGGTCATTAATTTGCGTTCGTTCCGAAAAAATTATTCACTTACCGATAAGGATCTGGAAATCTTCATTTTGAGAGCAGTTATCTCTGAAATCCTTCGACGATAATTTTCTAATATAGGTCTAACCAATTTGTAGTAAAAAACTTTGCCGTCAATGAAATAGGAATAAATTTGTGTAGAATGTGAGAAATCATATAGATCGTATATCACATTTTGTAATATGTTCTAAAATGTCAGCAAACTTTGGTCACCCCTTCATATACACAACACAGATGTCTGTCCAGACAAGTGGTGTATATGGTCAATTGATTTCAAATGGCAATTTGAAGAAGTTTGAAAGTAATATTTCATGAACATCTAAGACTTATTTTGGCCCATTATAAAGGACAAATACTAATGATGGTACATGTATAGAGCTATTTGTTCACAAGTTTTAACTTTAATGCCAAGAGAATTACATGATTTCATCTAAAAATCAAAGTCAAAAGAAATCTGACATGAAATCGTACAAATTAAAGATAAACTTTAGTTCTGGTTAAAAAAAGAAAATCAATTCTCACAGAATCTAACAAAACTTACAAAACTTACACTGACTGTTCAAGATTACAAATAAATGTCATGTGCCAAACAATTTTGGAAGAAAATGTATACTGGCTGAGTAATGAGCATAGAAAGATAAGGAAATCAAAAAGTAGTACTAGCCCCGACACCATTTGTGTTGTCCCATATACATCTTTCTGTGTAGTGTGCTTGTTACTTTACCAAGACTGAGCCAAATTTGTTATGAATTTGATGACTCCAGAACCTTGCAGTACACACCAATACTTACATGCTACATGATCAACTTTTTCTGATGCTTTCCGTACCTTTTCTTTAACAATGTAATCGCATGACCAGAACTCAAGTTTGTCTTTAAGATGTGAATATGTTTTGCATTGTTTTGAAAGGGCATCAAACTTAAAATTTGTGTAATGATTTACTATTTTTCAAAATTCTAATTTTTAAAAGATTTTTGTCTTCCCTTTTAGATGTAAACGCAAAAGTAGGATGAGTGAATAGTTCCAATCATATCAATTGCAGCATGAGCAATGTAAAGACTGTTCACATTGACACAATGTGATTATGGATTGAGACTATTAGACTTAGTGTTTATAAACACATTTATCTGGACCAATCAACCAACCAACCATGGGAACAGGGGCATCTAAAGACTCAGATGAGGCAGGAGAATATAGAGTACCCCAGGGTGCAAGATCTCAGGATTCAGGAACAAGATCTGGAACATCTTTGAGAGGTAAAGACATTTGGGAGGAGAGTGGGGTATGACTCCCTCTTTTGGGGTGTGTGAGGGCACTTAACGCTTAATTGAAAAAACCCAGATCTGCTAATGGGCAATTCTGTGCAATGTGTCCCAAACTACCTTTGTCTTTTTTGTCCATTTTAAATCATTTAGGAATGAAGAATCTATCTCTTGATATGACCATTCAATAATGTTAGAGTATACCAGAAAGAGCCATTGGTGAATGGTCGTATAACAAAAATTCTTGGATGAAATAAGTTGATATGTCATACCCAGTATGCTTTAAGGTACACATTGCCCTGAATCTGCATATTTGTTTCTATGTTCAAGGTAAAATCAAGATACCCCCCTCCCTCCTTGCAGATAAATGACCCATCTAGGGTATATATCTTTATGATTGATACCACTCACACAAATGCCCCAAATCCAATTAATCATTGTATACAAGCAGTAAGTTACAGGGGATGATTGTTTGATTGGTTTTTATTCTTGAATGTTATTGTAATTTTTTAATTTTTGTTCAAGGAGGGGGAGGGGGAGCCTCAATATCTTTGATGTTGCTGTTATTTTCCTAGGTGCAACCATGTGTAAGGAGAAAAGAGAGACCTTTCTGAAAAGAACTTTGTTTGCCTTTTGTCATTCTATTGAACAACCTGAAATTTTTGTTGCAAAGCCATATCAAGATTAATTTATAATTGAAAACAATTTTAAATGAAGAAAATGTGGTTTGTCGCCGCATGTAATCTGCAGTAGTATAGTCAATGACTACCATTTTGTATGCTTTGCTGCAGATGGTAGACAACAGACTGGAAAGAAGAGAGCACAAGTTGGACTTACAAGACTAGGTTTCTCACCTTCTGAGCTCAACATACATGAAGGAGAGGTACGACTTTTGTTTCTGCTTATTTACTTATACATACAGACCTTGTTAGCTGTTGTTCACAACACTCTTTCTTCTATTGTCATAATATATCATGTCTGTCTTTCAGTATGAACTGTCCAGTATAAAATTTACTGTTAGGATTTGCTACAATAAAGTTAAATTATCAAATAGCTAAGATTATATATTTTAAGGGTTTTTGTTTCCAGAGTTAAATCACTCAGCTCTGATGAGAAGAAAAACTCACATGCATTCCATTAGCTGAGTTAAGAAAGCCTGGTGATAAAAACTGTCACATCTCTACACACAATATTAGATTTATACCCTTCAAATATTATCATAAATATGTGTTTTATTTAATTCAAGGAAAACGAATCACCTTTTAAAATCATGTTTTTATTGATGTGCAGGAAGTATCTTTTCACTGGAATGGAGCAAAGGGGTCAGGACACAATGTAAAGCAGGTATGCAAATCATCTTAAATGTTGTTACTGTTTAGTTTTGTAGTTGACACTGTACATTTGAAGACTTCTCGGTTTAAAATAAAAATAAATCTTATTGCTTTTGTTTGTAGATGCCCAAACAACTGCTATTTAATTGGTTTACCACTTCATGCCTTTATAATATATGCCTTTAGGGAAATATCAACATATCATGGTGATTTGTGTCATCATGCTTCAATGTACTTATACCAGCTGAACAAAGACAACAGATAGACTTCTCTTTTTATGCTTATCAATATTATGTTGTCTCAACAGTCTCATACATTTAGAGATCTGATGAGAGTTGTATTGCTCCTGATGATTTTATCAAGTTGACAGTCCTCTTAGTGGTTGTATCAATATCAAGGAAAATAAATCTGGTGATTTTGAATTGTTAATCATTTAACAAATATATTATTCTTGGTAATGGCTGGATCAAAAAATAATCAGATATCTTTTGTTTGAAAATTTCCCACCTTACCCAAAGCACATTATGCAAGATTTCTGAATAATTCAAGCACTGTTATTTTTCTCTCGATGATGTTTATCTTTGATTTGTCTTCATTATATTTGACCATCAATGCAGGTGGTTGCAGATGATGGCAAGCTCTTGACTGTCAATGGAGGATTCTGTAGTGGAGAACCAAGTAGTAGCGGAATCTTTCAGGTTCAGTTCAACTTGGAAGGCACATACTCCTTCATTAGGTCAGTATACAATCTGACTCTGGGATACTTGCCTTTCATATGTGATATGCATGCCAGCACATTTGCTAACCTCCACCTTCTTGTTTTTCCCTTTGTTTTCTTGTAGTGAGGGATACAACGATCAACAAGCCAACATACTTACAGTAACTGTCAGATCTAAATCTGTGCAAAAAGTGGAGGTCAGTATCAAAAAGCATTTCAACTTTTTCGCTTTTTTAATTTGTTTCTTACTGAAGTGCAGAATGGTCTTTGAATAGTAATTTAAATATTGTGGGGGTATTTTAAGCTTTCCAGTTGGACTGAAGTTCAAAACAGCAACAGTCTGGTCTGGGGTTGTGCTACTTTTTGACATCACTATGATTTACAGCTGATTTAAACCTTTTTGGAAGATGGGAGCTGAACACTCAGTTTTGATAACATTTCATAATTTCATTTCTGTCAAAATTCAGTTGTAATCAGGTCATTAGAGGTGTTAAGTGTGTTTGACGTGATACAGTGCCATGACACTAATGTCCAAAATGTTGATCATTAAAACATGTATGAAAGGAATCTGTACATAAAGACCACCTGCTTATAAAGACTGCTTTTTCTGTCTTCCCAGAATGGTCTTCAACTCTTCCCTCAGCAACCATATTATTATTGTTATTATCATTTTTTATTAATGTTATTATTATTATTGTTATTATAATTATTGTTATCGTTGTCATCATCATCATCATCATCATCATCATCATCATCATCATCATTGTCATCATTTTTGATAAATTTAAATATGTCTACAGATCAATGAGAGTGGATTCAGCAAGTCTAGGCTGAGTATCCGTGAAGGGACTAGCGTCCGGTGGCATTGGGCGATCTCGTGCACCCTGGTAGAGGTGAAGCTGTGTTCCAAACACTTCGGCTGGATCAGAACAGACACAGGAAGCACCATCTCATCTCAAACAGGCTGGTACAAGCATGACTTCAAGTGAGTTAACCCATTGACTATGGGAACCTGGTGGTCACTGTGTAAAGCCTATGGGAATAAGATAATTCAGGAGTCAATGGTTTAATGGGTTTCAATGCTATCGTGTAGTTTTTAGAATGGATATTTACTAGTTTGTTATTTCGTTGCAAGTTTGTGGGCTGTGGGATTGTTGTAATCTAATGAGATGGTATACTTGACTGACATTGCGGTGTCATGCAGTTTGTGGGCATGCTCTATATCAAATTATTTTTGAATATTTTTAGGCCAATACTTGTTTGCAGGCACAGATGCTTATCAGTCATAATGTGTAAGGGAGTGTCTGAAGCCTCGGACTATGAAGACTTCACAGTCTACTGCACTCCATAGGCCTTTTACTAAAACTTGCTGTCTAAAGCACGGCCAGAGACTGGCAATGGTAGGCTAGCTAGGCTCAGAGCTGTTCAGAGTTGAATTTAAGTGTCAAAATAGAGTCTGTGCCTGCTGATAGCCAAGACCAAGTTGCTTTTGTGAACAATCCTGTTCAGTTTTGTCCATGAATATAAATGCCATGTGCAATTCCTCATCAAATACTTTCAAACCTGCTTTAGTGACCACCTGTTTATAATGACCTCAATTTTTGTTCCCCTTAAAACATGATTTCTTTTATACAATGAAAATGTATATAAAGATCAGCTGCCTATAAATACCACTGGTTGTGTCTCCTTTGAATCCATGAGTTGTCTTTCTATACAGGTTTAACTGTAATTGCATTGAGTTTGTGATGTCCATTTTGCCTTTCACTCCATCTAACAGAGAGCCTGGACTCTACTATTTCCTGGCTGAGGCTGAAGGTCGGGACGGGCAGCCTCACCTATGTGTGGTGGAGGTACAGGAGACCCAACGTCATCATAGTATTGATGTGACAGACAAGAGATTCAGTCCTGCCCTCCTTACGATCCAGGAGGGGGATAGGGTCTGGTGGACTTGGGACAGATTCAAGGTACCTATTCTACAGCATCACAATTTATCCAATGAAACTTTGTTGTTCTTCTGACTGCCGGTTATTAGCATGCGTACATGTCACAAAGCAACTATCGGATAATGTATATATAGCACTGAATATGGAGGCCCAAACTAAGCATATTCCAGCTATTTTGCAGAAGGCCGGTACATGTAGGAATTATATAGGAAACATAAGAAAATAATGTGATGCATATCTGTGTAAAAATATTGAAACTCTCCTCATTTTTATGAATTTTTAGTGTCAGAAGAAGCACAAAATCATTGAGGTGGAGATGCCGACCGGTCACAACGTCACAAATACCTTTCCTGTGACTCTGAGAGGAGGCTTCACCAGTAGTGCTCCAAGGTGAGATCAATTGCATTATTACCCGTATCAGACATCTGAGCAGTGGTTTTACAAAATCATATTATACACTTGTTGTAATCCTAAAAGAGCTGATCAGTAAATATTAGACCATATTACCCTCTCATGAAAAAGCCTATGGACTTTACGTGTTAAAAGAACAGTAAATATAAGACCATATACACTGCGCCGTATTTTGTCAATTTCCTTGCGCATCTATTATGCGTACGAAAACCTGCGCACTTTGCGCGCACTCTATTGTGATAATCACACCAAAGGCACATACTGTTTGCAGTGTATCGAAAATTTCGCCAAGCACTGGATGTACAGTGCTGGTTTTTACAAAGCTTTTGTTTAATTCTTTGAGATTGTCATGTATGAATTTGCTCTAGATGTCTGATTTGGATAACAGTAAAAATATTGACTGGCTTAACTTTCGGGAGATACCACATATATTGCCCTCACAAGACCCATATTACCCTCGTCTTTTGACTCGGGGGCAATATGAGTCTAGTTCGGGAAATATATGTGGTATCTCCCTCAAGGCAAGTCAATATAATATAATTGATTTATGAAGGTGTTGTTTTTGCTTTATTTCCAAAGAAATCTGGTGAAACAGAATGGTGGTAACCCATTTTACCTGGGAATATGTTGATGATTCTGCTTCAGAGTAAATATTTTTGTAGTTTTCTTTGATCAGTTACTTTCTAACTGGGAAGGTGATAAAGAGCAGTGGGCTCATAAGGAAGAAGTCCAATGTTGAAGAAGAAAAAAAAAGTTGATGACTTCATCCTCTTTGGTAGAGTATTAATCCTCCATTACCAAGTCCCTGTGATTGGATGCAAAGGCATAGGTCTACTGGTTGCCTATCCATAAGCATGTACATTGTTCACTTTCTCAGCAGTCGAGTGAAATATAAAAAAATAGTCAATTTATTTATACAGTTTGTATTATACATTTATATTATTCAGTGTGGTTGTCTGCCAATACGTTGCAACACTTATGAAATGAATGTCAAATGCTTCTACGAAAACCAAGCCCTTTCTTTGCCTTTTGTACATCATAAAATTATAAAGTGCTTTCTCAGACTTGTAGGTTTTACACATGCTACTTTTTCATTTGTTTGATTACTCTGTTTCTGCAGTCGAACTGGAACTCTGTCGCATGTCTTTGATAAGCCTGGTGTATTCTACTACTGTGATAATAACTATGATGATGTGAGAGAGTATGTGGGTGTGATCGTAGTCAAACCCAAACCCAAGGAGCACCACGTAGAGGTGACAGACGAGGGCTTCTATCCAGGTAAGATTCATGCTCAGGAACAAAATAGCAGATTAACTTTGATCCCCGCAATAAGAGATATCAGTGATACCTTATTTTGAAAAGTAAAAAATATGGAATGATTAATTCCGGGTGGAGCCTAATCCAAACTCTGCTTCTTCTTGCTGTTACTGCTCCACACCCCCCAGTTAGGGGTCAGACGGGCTGAGTGGAGTCAGATGATAAGGAAGGAAAAGAAAAGTTTGGGGGGTTGGGTTGGCCGGGTCTTCCAGTGAGTTGGTTATTGTACTGTTTATGAAAGTAGAGTTATAAAATCATTAAGCATTTGATTAATGATGCGTAGTCTTGCTTATCTAGAAGTTACATATATACATGTATAATTATGTACATATGTATTATACATGTAATTTGTTTTCCATTTAGGCATTAAAGGCTGTCACAATACAAATCTTTGGTATTAATATTGTGATACTACCATCCTGGTTTAGTTTTGTATTATTTAATAGACATACAAATGTTAAAATTTGATAAAATTTCATGTCAGTTGTCATAACTCCACATTACAATTGAAACATAGATTTTCCCAAAATGTTGATAAATAGAATACTTCAAAGACATCAGCAAGATTATACATTCATTTGTTATAATAGATGAAAGTCACTCTGGCAATATCCTCAGGAGTAACTGATTATTTGACTACTTTTTCTACCATTTTGTTTCAGACCTATGTGTTGCCAGTGTTGGAGATAGAATTCGATGGAACTGGGATCCAAGCCACCTTGATAATAGCTTGTCAATCACACAGGTAAAAATAAATATGATATGGTTCTGTCATGTCTGTATTGTAGGCTATGTATTGAGAAAAAAAAATACATATGTTAGCAGTTGATGAACAACAAAATGGCACCATCAAGAAATATATTGTTAACCAATAATTTTGAATGCACAAAATATAATTTTCCCTGTTCAAGCAGGTGGTAGATGTAAAACTATATTGAGTGATGTCAGGTCATGTTATTCAACTTCATTCACAAACTTAATAAGTAACCATGTCTAATCTTCAGTTCTATTCTATTCTTTTAAATGACATTACCTTTGATTACTGCAAACCTTTGCCACCGCTATATGAAATGAAACCTAACTAGTAACTTTAGATTAAACCTATGAAGTCCCATTTCACTGGCATATCAATTATTCTTGGTTTGATTGTTATTTGCTTACAGGTTGAAAGCTGTGTCACATCTTCAAAGAATAACTTGTTGGATGAATGTAACAGTAAGTGAACATAGCCAATATTAAAGAAAATACTGTAAATTAGAGTATCTTAAAGGAGTACACTTTCGATATGAGAAGAGGAATGATTACATAGATGCACAATTTTAAATTGATAAACAGTTATTTGTTATTATTAATGCAGAATCAGTTTGGTCATTTATGTTATATATAAGAATATTATCAGAATATAAATGTCAAAACGAATTTCCAAATATATAATACCCTTTTCCATGTATCCACCATGAATATAATAATACTCATATGTAAGTTAAATTATGATTGGAAAAGAGGATTAAAGTGCATTTTTTAAAGTTTTATATTTATTCATTTCTAGTTGTATAATGATTATACAAGTGTTTGATGCAATAGTGACCATTTAACACCAAAAGGTCAAACTTTTTAAACTGTTTCAATTTTAATGACACTATGAACACATATTCAATTTCATGTGTTGTATGAAATGAAGGTCAGGTGATAGTTTTTATGACAACACTAGATTGCAATATACACCATCCCATTTCACTTTCTCCACTGACAAACAGACAGGTGTAAATACCTGAGTGATAATCACGGACTCCAAGTCACCAAATTGGGTGTGGCTACTACCAATCTCACTTCTATGGGTGTGTACCATTACAGAGTGATGGATGCACCCATGTCAGTGGGATGCTGCTCAGTGATCATCAATGCTGCAGTCAGAGTAAGCTCTTGTCAGTTTGCCTATTTATGCATTTTGATTCTTCTTGTGTGTCAGTGGAGTTTTGAGGTGTGTGCTTGATATGTTGAACCCAAATTATGTGATGATGAAGTTGTGACTAGGAATGCAAGTTATAGATAAAGCTACATAACAGCAGCTTCTTTGATTTTGAAAATCTGTAATAATATTATTGTTGTTGTTGTTGTTGTTTTTTTTTTTTTTTGGGGGGGGGGATATATATGTATTTGTATTTGTATTTGTGTTAACCCATGTGTATGGATTAGGAATGGCTACATTTTTATTCCTCAAACAGAAATTGGTAACTTTATTTGAAGTTCATTTAAAGTTGTGTCAAAGTTTTAACTTTGCAACAAATCATTCAAATGAGAAATTTTACACTTTAAAGTTCACTTATGATTTATGATCAATAACTTGGTGACAAAGAGGGTTTTAAACTAAAATGTTCTTGTATCAACTCTCTTTCATAAAGGACCACACCATAAAGATCACAAAGACTGGGTATGAGCCTCACCTCCTCTCCATTCACCCTGGGGATCGTGTGTGGTGGATATGGAATGGTGTACAGACACCACACAATGTCATTCAGGTATGTTCCCTTAATGTTTCAATTCAGACACAATCTGTGGTCAGTAGAATGAATTGCAATAAGAAATACAATGAAAATGCTGTTATTGCCTTTTTCTCAACTTTTAATTCTTCCGTTTGAGTTGGCTTATTTCCAATTTGACATATTATCAACATAGATAAGAAATCATATAGAAACATTTCTATAATTCCGTTCGAGTTTTAGCGGTAGCATATTTCCAACTTGACATACTATTAACATAGATATAAAATCATACAAAAACCATTTACATATTTCCGTTCGAGTTTTTGCGGTAGCATATTTCCAACTTGACATATTATTACATAACATAGATATGAAATCATATAAAACCATTTCCATAATTATTTGTTTGCAATGGCGGAAGGCGACAGACTGCGATTCCACAAATATGGGAACCCGAGGGTCACGGGTCACGTGACCAGCTGGGAAGACGGTGCTCTACCCAGCAGGCCCAGTTTCCTGGGCCATTGGTTCCCTACACAAGATCTGGTAATCGCAGCCTGTCCCCACCGTCGGTTCATGGCGCTCTTGGCCATTCCTCTCCTTGAGGCATACTGGAAATGATTATAGTTCAGGAACGAAACAAAAGAACAAAACCCTCTCATTTCGGAATACTAAGACTTCCGGAACAGAAGCTCCAGCCAATAAGCCAAAACCGGCCGACCCTGTCAATAATGTAGTCCAACCAACCATCACAATAATCAAGCCCAACAAACCATCCATGTCAATAAACGAGCCCAACCAACCATCCATGTCAATAAGCAAGCCCAACCAACCATCCATGTCAATAAGCAAGCCCAACCAACCATCCATGTCAATAACAAGCCCAACCAACCAACCATGTCAACAATCAAGCCCAACCAACCATCCATGTCAATAAGCAAGCCCAACCAACCATCCATGTCAATAAGCAAGCCCAACCAACCATCCATGTCAATAAGCAAGCCCAACCAACCATCCAAGTCAATAACAAGCCCAACCAACCATCCATGTCAATAATCAAGCCCAACTAACCAACCATGTCAATACAACAAGCCCAATTTCTTTCTTTCTTTCTTTTTTTTCCTTTTTTTTCTTTCCACAATCTGCATTGATTTCCATGAATGTTGTAGCCTTAAAAGAACAAAATCACACAGTGATTAACAGATTGTGTACCAAAAAAAAACAATAATGAAACATAATCAATTTGACAATCCCCCCCCAAAAAAAGAAAAACAAAACAACAAAAAGCAACCTAGCAAATCTGATGTAGAAACCGAAGGAAAAAAAAAACAAACAAAAAAAACAAAAAAAACCAACAAACCAACAAACATGATGTCAATATCATAAAACAAGCCCAATTAACCATCAACCTTGTCCACTACTACAGCCCCATCGTGTCACTTATTCAAGCCCAAACTCTAAGGCAATGACATACGCAGAACTACCAGTCCGGGCAAGTACCACTCCGGTCTCCCTATATACACTTTCTCAATAAAGGACCGCCCCCTCCCCCTGACAACCTCCTACCCAATAATCATGAGCCTAATCCTGCCCGTCCACAAGTCAGCAAGGAATTGAGGGGAGGGAGGGAGGGAAAAAACACGACCAACTCAAACGAAGTATTAGCTGAGAATGACCCATTGATTAGTAAAAATACACGTCGTGGGAAACACTTGCCTTGCGACCCCGATATGTATTACAAAAGCGCGCCTATCATTGATATTTACAAAACACGCGTGGTAAAGATTCGGCTTTGTGACCTCAATGTAGGTTACAAAGAGATGCGCCTATGTTTGATATTTGCCGACCTGCTGGGAAACATTCGGTTATTGACCTCAAAATCATTTTACAAAAGAGGCGCGCTATCGTGTGTAGTCACCGGCTTGCCGCATATTTCCGGCCTACACTATTGCATTCTATTACAATTGGGTTTATTTTGATAACATCAAAATAAACGTATTGCAATAAGAAATACAATGAAAATGCTGTTATTGCCTTTTTCTCAACTTTTAATTCTTCCGTTTGAGTTGGCTTATTTCCAACTTGACATATTATCAACATAGATAAGAAATCATATAGAAACATTTCTATAATTCCGTTCGAGTTTTAGCGGTAGCATATTTCCAACTTGACATACTATTAACATAGATATAAAATCATACAAAAACCATTTACATATTTCCGTTCGAGTTTTTGCGGTAGCATATTTCCAACTTGACATATTATTACATAACATAGATATGAAATCATATAAAACCATTTCCATAATTATTTGTTTGCAATGGCGGAAGGCGACAGACTGCGATTCCACAAATATGGGAACCCGAGGGTCACGGGTCACGTGACCAGCTGGGAAGACGGTGCTCTACCCAGCAGGCCCAGTTTCCTGGGCCATTGGTTCCCTACACAAGATCTGGTAATCGCAGCCTGTCCCCACCGTCGGTTCATGGCGCTCTTGGCCATTCCTCTCCTTGAGGCATACTGGAAATGATTATAGTTCAGGAACGAAACAAAAGAACAAACTCCAAATCCCAACAACCCAATTTTTTTTTTTTTTTTTTTTTTTTTTTTTTTTTTGCCTAGCGAAATAAAACCTGGGCATGTGGCAAAATTTATGCACGGCTAACAAAAATAACAAACAATGAACTTTGCGTTATTTTTGTGGCTTTATTAACACTTTGAGATGGACGCTTATTTTGCACATTTTGATTTTCTGGGTGTCATAACAAAATAACACAGATATATTGAATCATAAAAAATGCTTACAAATGCTAGGCCCCCCGTCTATGAAATCGAGTGATGCCAAGGCTAAACTTATATACATTAAGTCATTATATCAGCCCCCCGCCTATAAAATCGAGTGATGCCTAAAGTTATAGAAAATAGATGTATATATATACCAGCCTCTCCGCCTGTAAGATCGGATGATGCCTAAGATTAAAGCGTGACACCCTGAGTTTGAAAATGTGTAGGTACAACTAGGTCCCCCCGCATTCAAATCGAATGGGGGCCGGAAAACTAAGAATTGACATGCGAACAAATTCGACTGAATATACATTGGCAACCCCCTCGCATGTAAAAATTGAGTGGGGTCGAAAATTATTGGATGACAATTATTGATCAATAAACTTATCAGTACCATGTGATTAGTGATTTACCCATACAAAACCGGGTAGGGGCGAAACCCAATGGGAAAATTCCCCTACGGCCCACTGTCTTTGTGCACGACGCTTGATGTGCGACCAGGCCAAATGCCCCCGGCTCTGCATTAACGTCATAAATCACTGACCAATTTATTACATAAACCCTATCCGTACCTTTCATACCTGAAACCCTAAATCCTTTCCGTACTAATACGTATACCTTGGCTACTTCGAACCACCAAGCAATATTCAATTTATGCCACTAATATACTAAAAATACTTTTATTGGTGGAGATAATGGGGAGGTGGTGGGAATGTTTCAGACTCCGTACATATTTCTTCTTGTCCATTCAAATGAAAGCCATAACTAGAATGAAAGCCCCTTCGTGCTATTTGTAATTTGCTGGCGGTATTTTCCGCGCTTGCTTGATAAGCGTACATACGCTTGTACATTTCCTTCCAATGTAATACAAAGTATTACATTTCCTAGCGCGTGAATTTCCCTCAAAAATGTAAACAACCTCTTGACCTACATTTTGTCAGCCTGTCAATAAACCATTTTAAATCGTAATCTACTCTTTAAATTTCAATATACTCCTGATTGCCCGCAATAAAACAAAGGGCATGCACAAAATAAAGTTTCAAAGATTAAGAGCAAGTCGAACCGCTGACGCAAAGTTCTCCATGAGAAGATCACATCCCTCATCAGACAGATGCACGCCATCTCTGCGAAAATACCAGTGTTCTTGGACATTGAAATTGGGGCCTATGAATGATCCACTACACATACGCCGGACCCTCCGTCTGGCATACTTGTTGACACCTTTCCGCACATCATTGATGACGACCTGCGACGTGACGTGTACATCATGACCATAGTAATACAGGCGAGTAAGATGCTTGAAAATGAAATGTAGCATTGCGGCAACAATGACCGCGCTGTATTCAGTGCTTCATCCACCGCTTGTCGACAGTCCTTTGCAAAATAACGCCCCAAGTCGTTCGAGCCCGCATGGATGATTAGCTCCGATGGAGAAGGACCGAACCTCACTTGGCCCTGTAATTGACGCGGGAAATCGCGTATAGCGACGCCCCTCCTCGCCCGTGCCATGCCACCTCACAACCAGCGATTCCCAGGTCTCGACAGCCTCTGGTAAACGCCCGCTCACCAGCTCGCCTCACGAGAATGTCTCCGCACACCCAAACCCGGTGAGCCTGGGCACCTATTTGGAGAAAGATAAAAACCAAATTCCTTCCGAGTATGGCGTACCTTTTATGGGCTTATAGAACCAAAGGTTTCTAACATAATTACATAAAACACCTCCCTGCATAAGCGAAGCAAATTCAATTCTATATAGCATATTATCGCAATGACGACCTTCGACATTGCCTTGTTTTCGCTCACATTCTGCCCCATTAATATTCTCCTTTCCCTTATCCTTATCGTCAGGAAATCGCATTCGTTTTGCACGTAGTGTTTGTGATTCCTAGTTAGGTGCTTTCCTCATGTCTTTTTCCTTTCAAATTTCATAGGCATAGTCTCTAACATCTCATCAAGGTCACTACTTTCTTCGATTTTGGAAATCACCCATGCATGACCGTCCAGGCGCCATTTTGTCCGTTTCTGGTCCATTTTAAGGCCGTTATATCTTCCTTCCCATCCCCACTATCCTAGATCCTACAAACTTTTAACAAATTCCTATAGATAGTCTGAGAGATGTCCTTTCATCTGCGACGGATGACTTGACCTTCACAATGCCATCTTCATACTCGAATTTCAAATCTAAAACCGACTCCTCCAATAAATCTCAAGTTCTTGAAAAATGGACCCCTAAACAATCTAAAACTGCCATAACTTTCTCATATAAATTCCGTTTTGTTTTTAAATCTCACAGTATCTTTATCTCATAATTGCACATAGCCGTGCCAAATTTCACACTCCAATGGCTTTGCACAACATAAATAGCGCCCTCTAAAGTTTTAGGAATTGGCTTTCTCTCTGTGGCCGTATCTTCATAATGGCTTGGCAAACCCGTACCCTTTTTTGGATTTAGATACTTGAAGATATGTCCTTTCCAGCCATATACAAAATTATATACCCTAACACTGACCAAATTTGAGAAAAATTGCCTTCCAAATTCGCCATTTTCGAGAAAATTCCGAAATAACTTCAACTTACTCTAAAATAACGATCTTTATACCTACATCAATGAAACTTGGCAGACACATGTATCCATATACGTGACAACTGTCTGCCAAGTTTGGTAAAATTCGAATACGTCAGCGCAAAGTTATCGCCAAAAATGATGAATTTACTATGCGTTACGTAATAGCGCCTTTAATGCGTGCAGTACATTGCGCGCAGATGACAACGGTGTCAAACTGACCGCAATGAAGTGCCCTTTCGAATGATACCAAGTATGGTATATGTTCACACAGAAAATTTTGAGTAAATCACATTTGAACAAGGGTCATTATACGAATTTCGCCGAGTTTCCGCCCAATAATATAACACGCATCGGCTATGGCGTCATTTTTTCAGACTGCTTTTCACCCCCTAAACGTCCCTTTTTTTTTTTTTTTTTCTTTGAAATTTTGCAGTGACATTCCGAGTTGCAATACGCAGGGCACCTCTTGGCCGGATTTTTAAAATTGGTCAAGGGGGTCATTGAAGACGCAATTTTTGTCCTATAAATCTATTTCACATCACGTGTTTCGATAGGATTACCATAGAACAAAAAAAAATTGTTTACAATAACAACCATGAAATTCTCTTTCCCATGATACCAAATACGTCAGATAAAGTGACATAAAGAGAGAGAAAAAACAAACAATTAAAGTCCGGTCATAATACAGATCCTGTACGTTTTCCGCCCATGCATTACACGCATTGTCTATTGGGCAAATCGGGTTCACGCTTCTGGACCCCAGAACGATCTTTATTTTTCTTGAAATTTTACAGGCACATTCTAAGTGGCCAAGTGCAGAGCATCAAGAAGCCGGACTTTTTTTTTTTTTTTTTTTTTTTTTAAATCGGTCAAGCATGACATTAAATGCTACTTCATACTCTGCGTAACTAGTCCGAGAGATGCTCTTTCGTTTGACATGTAAAAACAAGGCGTCATTGCACGCACATCGTTCTGACACGATTGCATTTCTAGTATCGTACCGAACTTGTTTAACATACTAAATATTGTACAACATCACTTGTCGAAACACGACTAACCCCAAATAAGTGCGTGGTTATACGAAAATGAATAACATCCCACTGAGCTGGTTAAAATTATTGAAAACAAAGTAAGCAATCGTACTAACTCTCCATAATTATATCCACACCTTATATGTAGGCCCCTATCTCCTTTGCCTACAAACAACCCGACCTTGTCCAACCTATTAACGGACATAAAGTTTATATGTCTCACTGCGCCATCTCCCCCATCTCCTTAGGGAATGATATGTTTGCGGAATTAGAAGATGAGACTAGCCTGTGGCTAGGTAACTCACCGGGTGGAGGATGGACAATAGACGGTTGATTCGCCGTTTCTAGGGATTCTGTGATGTTGGCCCCCCCGTCGGAGTCTGGTCTCCTTGGCGCTCCCGCCCTGCCGAAGCGGCTGGGTTACTCCTCGAGCCGCGTCTCGTCACTCGAGAATGTGGAGCTGGCGTTGTCCCCCTGATCGGGTCACTGTTTTGAAGCGCTGGCTCTCTCCGCTTTCCTTTGCCCTTTCGTCCCGTAGACGCCTTAGACTTCCCCATCTTGTCTCCCACACAATACAGACGAGCTAGTTAGACGACTATGCCGCAATCCGAGCTCCGATGTAACTTCCTCCAATATTTAATTCCAGCTATCCAATACAATTACTCCTCTGTTCAATTCCAAATATCTAGTGTAACATTTTCTCTTTTTAGATCCAATTATCCAGTGTAACTCTTCCTCTGTTTAATTCCAGATATCCAGTGTAACTTTTCCACCGTTTAATCCTTATATCCCGTGTAGCTGTCTCTCTGTTCAATTCCGAATATCCAGCGTATTGGTGTGAAACCCAGTGATAATAGAAACTAACCGGTGCAGTCAGTTCAACAGCGACAACCTGTGTACAATTAGCATGTATAATTCTGAGTCCAATAAAACACGACCAACTCAAACGAAGTATTAGCTGAGAATGACCCATTGATTAGTAAAAATACACGTCGTGGGAAACACTTGCCTTGCGACCCCGATATGTATTACAAAAGCGCGCCTATCATTGATATTTACAAAACACGCGTGGTAAAGATTCGGCTTTGTGACCTCAATGTAGGTTACAAAGAGATGCGCCTATGTTTGATATTTGCCGACCTGCTGGGAAACATTCGGTTATTGACCTCAAAATCATTTTACAAAAGAGGCGCGCTATCGTGTGTAGTCACCGGCTTGCCGCATATTTCCGGCCTACACTATTGCATTCTATTACAATTGGGTTTATTTTGATAACATCAAAATAAACGTATTAATAGTTAGGGCCACAATGATGTTTATTGAGAGGGGATTGGTTGGGTTGGGACTGGAAGGGATCTATGTGTATCATCCAGGTATTTTGTGCTTGGAGATTTCGTCAAACCATCTTTCTTTTTTAACATTATGATATTTTTTTAAAATGGGTAGTTATTTAAAGTCTACAGAAATGCAATTAACCCATTGAAATATACAAGCACGATATAATACAATACATGATAATGTGTTAAAGATACAAACTTCTATTACCGTACTTCCTCATGTTTGATTGTCATGTATGAATGTAAGGGAATACAATTTTTTTTCAATTTAAAATGGTTCATTGAGAAGAAACCATTCGCAGCCAGATGGCCAAATTGCAGATTCTTTTACAACCATAACAGATCAAATGTATTAATGAATTAAAATAAAAGTATGTTAATATCAGTGAAAATGCAACATTTTGGGGAAGATTTCCTGTTTCTTCCTTTGATATTAGCCACTGCTATTATGATTTCCGTTAGGACGTAGTTGTGAAGTACTACTAAACCATAGAAATATTTATTTATGTTTGCTAGGTCTCTCAGCAAGGAGAACCCATAACATCAGGTTTCTGCAGTGGACTCCCTGTAGATAGCCCTGGTGCATTCTATACATGCTTTGAAAGAGAAGGAGTTGTCTATTATCACAGGTTAGAGAATGTCTTTTACAATCAATGATATGGAACTACATTGAAACCTGTATATAGAGACTGCAGACCGGAAGAGGGGTCTTTATAGGCAGGTGGTTCGTATATATGTACAGGTTTCTTACATTTAGGTTTCAGTGAGAAACTCTGGTCAAGGGAAACAAATGTGGACTTTATAGACTGATGGTCTTTCTGTACAGTATTGACTCTTCTTTATCTGCTGATATGCCAGGTAGATGAAGTATCACTACTTGAATAGCCATAAACAAATTGTTTGATTTTTTGTCTTTAAATTCCTTTAAATTCCCTGAAATTCCCCAGCCTAAAACCAAGGTATAAAATATCACTGTTGGATTCCATTCTGGATAATGCCATTGGTGTTTGTGTTCCATCACTTGATTTCACTACTTATTTAGGAGTTGATGTGGATTTTGAAGTTCTATTTTCTTTTCTTTCCAACCCAGTTCTGGTTTGCCAAATCTATATGGAGCCATTATGACAGTGCGTCAACCCAAGGTAGGTATTAAAGAACATTGAAATCATCTCAAGAAGACTGCATAGAATAATTTGGGGAAACGGACCATTTTATTTAATGTTACCTTTTATACAAGAAATAGCCAAAGTGAACTTCATTGGTCTTTCCTAAAAGTGGAATCATATGCTCTTTTTGAATTAGATTGTAAAGTTAATTAATTGCACAGACAGGTTAGAAGCATTGCATCGTCAGTTTTGTTAATATATAATTTGATTGAAAGAGAGTTGTAGCCTTGTTTCCATTAGACAAGATTTATTTAAATACTCTTTTCATCATAGCTACCATTTCATATTTTATGTCATAGTAGTCAAACTAGAGTTTGCTCTGGAAGCATTTTGTCAAGGCTAAGGGGTTGCAATTGATTTGTAGATCAGATGTAGGTTTAAAGTCAGGGTTAGGTATTTTGTGGTCCAGGACTGAATTAAGAAATTCAATTAACATTATTTAATTGACTGCAGGGAAATAGTCACTGTAGCGTTTGTTGTGGAACCCAATTTTTGACCTTCAATTCACAAACTAAACCTTGACCTTTGCAGGTACACCAGGTCATCGCCTCCAAGAATGCATTGACCCCTGACCCTGTGACTGTGAGGTCAGGTGACTGCGTTGCATGGGTGTGGCCGTTGCTGAGGAAACACAAGCTGATCAGTGTTAGCAGTACTCAGGAGGTCTTCGAGCTTCAAAAATACACTCAGGATTCTGTTTCACCAAGGTAACTCACACATCAATTTCTTTTTTGCTTTGTGTGTAAAAGTATTCTACACTTTTGTTATGTAAAATAAAAAAGGTTCTTGGAAAATGATCATTATAGTAAAAGCAATATGCGCCCCAATTTGTATGTCGGTTGGCAAAGACCTATAGAAAACATAGCAGAATTGTGTGTTCAGTTTTTTTCCTTTGAAAGAATTTTTCATGTGATGTATACATTTTTTGCTGGCTGTAAACAAGTTTGACAGATTGTTATATTATGTCATTTGAATTTTGTGTAATACTTTTAAAACACAATAGTGTTTGATCATTTTTGTTTAGGAGATGCTGTGCCTTATTGTTCACAACCCCAGGAGTCTTCCATTACTATAGCAAAGCATTCTCGAACAAAGGAGAAAAGTTTATGGTATGTATGGTGTCATATATTGCATTTGAGAGCCAGAAGCCTTCTTGCTTTTAGCAGATATGATAAATTATGTATTCCTATATCGTTACACAGGTGTGGATATCAGCATCACGCAAACCATTCCATTTTGTTGTTCTATATTATATATATACATGCATATGAATCCACTGTGGGGGTAATGAAGGGTAATGGACATTTCTACTAAGAATATTCATGTTTACTAAGAATATTTATCTATTGAAATGTTTATATGAAAGATGCTGCTGGTCCTGTAAGAAAAATGGGGAAAATAATCTCATACACGTGAGTGTCTCGTCCTAAAGATCCCTTGTTCGGTATATGATTTGGAAATTTATAGATTAATTTTGACTATAATTGCTGTCCCAAATGTAAATAATCATAATTGATTTATACTTCGGTGAAGTTTAGATGCATATAATAAGTCACTGATGTTATTGATTTGTTCTTTTCCTTTTAGTATGAGCACAGTAGCAAAGCTGTACTGAGTAGTGTTGTAGTGAGCATGCCTAAGGATCAGATCATGGTGAGAGTCAATAGCAGAGGATTTCATCCACAAAAAGTCAACATCAAGAAGGTGAGATACAAAGATATATGATTGAAAGGAAATATCAAAGTAAATTAACAGTAAAAGAGTGTCAAGTTATGAAGTAAGACAGCTTCTTGAAATTAATAAAAAGGTCTTTCACATTTGATTATAATCAAGCATGCACATTAGATTTTTGGCATACCCAGGGATGAAATTTGTCCTTGTAGTTTAGGTGTAGTGGTCTGGTGGATGGACTGTGGATCACATAGTACTGGGTTCAAATCCCTGTCAAAGCACTTTGCTATTTGGCAAAGCATTAATCTACATTTACTACTCTCACCCTGGGGACTAAATATAGACTAAATGGGTACCTGGTAGGGTGAAATTACCTGAATGTTCGAGTAACCTATATCCCAGCTAAATCCTTAGTGATAGTAGAATTCAGCACTTGGTGTCCTCTGGGAAATGTTTTGTAAATCCAACTTGTAATTATTGTAAGTCGTTGCAATCCTCAACCTTTCCTCTTCACAGGGTATGTCTGTGGTGTGGTCTTGGAAGGAAGTCAGTAGCCAGGAGCATCACAATATCACCATGGTAACTCATCCAGATAATGATGGAGATGCTACCAGCAGCCAGACCTCCTCCCCTCTCCCGGAGTCTGATGGAGGCTTCACCAGCGGTCCTATGCAGGCTCTAGGTAGCTACTCACATACCTGGGAGAAGACAGGAACATTCTATGTGAGGTCCAGAGGAGTCAGGAATGATCTGGGATGCGTCCGGGTTTGGGATACAGGTAGGTCACCTTCACAAAGACTTTTATTCAAGGTAAGATATGGGCATTTGCCACTCTCAACCCAGGGGTAGAAATTCCTTGAATGCTTTCAGCAACTTAGGGCAGCTTAGCCATTAGAAGCCAGGGTAATGGTAGAACTTTATATGTGCCGTAAGCATCTTCGGGGATGTGTATTTTCTTAAAGTGCTAAAATAAATGTACATTGCACATTTCAGAATTGATATGTTGATTCCATTTCAGATAGAGCTCCAATTCACAGAGCATTGTTGAAGGTTATTAAAACTGAATTAATACTGAAAAGTTCAGTCTAGATGTCATCATTTGCTACAGATAATGTTTTCTCTGTATTGTACAACCCAATTTTACATCTGTAAATGAACAATTTAAGACCTATCAAATATATAGTAAATAGAAGCATGGCTACCAAGGTGTCACACATACATCACTTAGTTCATATTTCAATACTTTTGACTGCATTTTAATTTGTTATTTTGCATACTTGTATCACTACAGCAGACACATTCACCCATAACCCTATACCAACATCTGTAGACAGTGCTGGTGGAGTGGTTCAGAGAGGTCATCGGATTGACCTGACCTCAGGTCAAGCAGATGCTACTATCTACTACACTCTAGACGGCTCCATTCCAGAGCCAAATGGGTCAACAACACGGGTAAGGCACAGTGTGGTTGACTGGACATGACTGAATCCATCCTGCATGCTAAATTAGACATATAAAAGATGTGTTTTGCGAAGTATGGTATCTGGTTTAGCAATTAGCAGTATTAAATCAACTGCCCTTTTGTTTTTCTCAGTTAAACTTGCCTCTGTAACCTTCTTAATATTAATAGTGTTGTTTGTTTGTAATTTTTCTCCCCCAAGGTCTTGAAGGAAGACCAAGGTATCATCTTGAAACGATCTGGACTTCACATTGTGAGAGCAATAACCCATAGTGATCATGCGCTACCTAGTGAAGTCTTTACATCAGGGTAAGAAAGAATTACATTCTATTTTTTGTGATTTACATTTATTTCTCTTGGCTGTGTTAGCGGGGATGAAATCATTGATAAGTGTATAAATAGGATGTATATTCTGGCGCATTCAGGTTAGTTGTTTGATCAAATTGATTTTACATATACTTATTGTGTTCTTTCATGTGATATTGACTTTCATGATATTAACATGTTGAAATCTTAATATCAGTGCACCATTTGAGAGGCATTACGTCAATGATTAAAGATGAAAGCATGTTAAACACTTATGTCAGGATGACCCTTCCCCTTCTCCCCCCTTCCCTCCTCCCTTTTCCTCTACTCTCCCCTGCTCCTCCTCTTCTCACTTCATCCTTCCCTTTTCCCCATCTCTATTACCTCCCCCCCCCCCCATGCTACCAGCTATCTTCAAACAATTACCCTCTTCCAAAAACTAGGTGGTAATAATATTTAACTGCAAGTAAAAGGCGCTATATCAAATATCTTTTGGATTGGATTTTTGTTAGTGTATCTGCTTATTAATGTGTTGATAATGAAGTATTTTCTTGTCTGTCTGTAGGAGGTACTGGGTTTTAGAAGGAACTGATGGAGAGTCAGAGAATGATGATGAAGATGATGCTGCTTCTATAGCAACGGAGGACTTTGAAGAACAGCAACTCCAGGAAACTCAGGGTCCAGTAAGTCCTTCAATCTTATCAAAAATGATATTAGGTGACCCAAAAAAGTAATATATCATTTTTAAGAATAGTAACTGCAGATTTCTTATATTCCTGTTTTCTTCTGATTCTGTTTACTAATTAATGGCTCACATCATACTGTCTTTTTTGTTGTAGAATTAGAACACCAACAATAATACCCCTCTGTGTTAATGGTTCTACATAGATCTTTTTTATGCTATAGGCAAAGGCAGTTTCAGCTGTCCAAATTGTGATACTCCATATAGTGGGGGGGGGGGGGGGGGGGGGGGGGACGTCATTCATCTTGAAAATCAAAAAAAAAAATCTAACTTGTAAGTTATATTTCATAAAAAAATGTTTTTATCAAAATGAACAACAGGAAAAGAAAACTTTGATTGAAAACTTGTTAATCAAATTATGAATCTTTGTTACACCATAATAGTTAATTAGATCAAATATTATTTTGTGTACTACTAGACAAGTCTGTGGCAGTGGCTGCAGTGTGTACCAGTTATCAAGGGATGGAAGCGCAACTCTCACACGGTAGAACTGTACTGGGAGTTACCTGAAGCAAGCTACAGACATTTGGTGGAAGCCTATCATGTGAGTTCACATCTGTTTTGTGCACAGCCGAAGGTGTTGGCATGGAGTTGTATTAGATATCCAAGAGGTCATGCCCTTTTTGCAGGGGGCACACTGAGTTATGAAACCTTGCGCTGTAAAAGCGATGATAAATACAGTGCCCATCAATTTATATCGATCTTTTGTAGCTATCTAGAATAAAATTTACAACCTCTGTGACCTTAAAATGTAAAACGATAAAGATAACTTTTACTTCGTATAATCGTACCTTATTCATAAGTTTGTTACCATAGATTACCGTATTTTCCGGCGTAAAGGCCGCAGTATTTTCGGGTGAGAAAAAAATCAAAAAGTCGGGGTGCGGCGTATACGCAACAACAACAAAATTCAGCGGTCAAAACATCACGTCCATTTGCACGTATGGGACTATAGGAACGGTAGCATGACTAGACAATGGTACAGGACAATTCTAGAATAACTCCACACAACTTACCGACAAGTTTATGTTGCATAGTTGACATGAAGACGAAAAAACTTATTTTTCTAATAAAATCTGCAGATAGATCTAGATCTAAGTCCATACCATTGCATCGCCAAAAAGTAAACAAAGGGACAGGCCGTTACTTACGGAGCTAGCTGCCGCGCAACGTAACTGCGCAGGTCGAAAAATGCTATTTCGGATTACACCGCACATCGAGGAAGGGGTATTGTAGGATACCAAATCTGCGTACGATACAGTACTAGCTTAAAAGTCGATGAAGATCTGCTAAATTATGATCATTTTTGAGGTTAACTTCTCGTTGATTTATAAGAATATTGATGAATTTGGTATAGTTTGTAAAAAAAAAAGAGTGTTCTACAAGAAAATTACGATCATTTTGTTTGGTCCGTTTTTTTCTTCTCTTTTTTGTTTTTTTTGTTTTTTTGTTGTAGTTTTTTTTTTTCCTCTACGAAATGTCAAAGTTGGGGGTGCGGCCTATACGGCGGTGCGGCCTTTACGCCGGCAAATACGGTACTGAAAACTTCACATTTCTGAAAAAAATTCTCATCAAAATCTTCTGTACCAATATTAGGTTGATGCAAGTATATTGTTCAAAGCTGTATACATGTGTAAAATGTCTCAAAATCCAGCCGTATAAAAGTTAGTCCTATTTTGCTTAATTGGTTCATGTTTACAGCGATAACATTTATATGAGCTTTCATCGGTCAAGATTCAGCATTTTTTCTTTCCAGTGTTTTGTAATTCATTTTTTCACTTCTTTTCTTACATTATTATCTTGCCATTAATACCATCTTCTATTCAATAATTTTTTTCAGATTTATATCAATGGTATCTGTTATCACAACAACTGGTGCCTCCGTGCCAGAGTATTGGTATCAGTGGTTTTGTGGGTGGAGCCTCCTATGTCATCTCTGTCGTCGCCATGCCAACCATGTCATCAGTCTTGCCACATGAGTCAACTAAGCTGGTATGAAGAAATGTTTCAGTGTAATGTTTTTATTTGTGATTGGCCTTGTGGTTTATATAGAAATAGAAAGCCTTCTTTTAGAATCAAAATTCTCTCTTGTTATTTTATATGACTTTTTTTAAAATTTAAGGTTTGTTAAAGATTAGAATTACTAGACATATATTATCGATGTGTGTTAATATTGATGGCGTTATTGAATGTAATAGAGGTAAACCTCTTATTTTGTCCAGGTTCAAATATTACTTACTATGTTTGAGGGGAAGTCTTATCATACACATTTACATAAATATTTTCTCTGATCGGAATTCTCGCAATGTCTTTATCCATTTACTTTTGCTCCTTTTCTTTTTTATGAATGATTTATTTGTTGTCATGGTTATATATGTCGGTTTTTGTATTGGGAGAATGTGGGTAATGTTCACCCCCCTACCCCCCTCCCATTGAACACTTTAGTAATGACCCTTGAATGACTTATGTCCCTTTATGTTTTCAGACATTTGTTTGCCCTGCTGTTTCTGAACATGGTGGTCCAGTCCTCTCCAGCGAGATCACAGAGGTCAAAGGTCAATTACCCATCGTCTGGACACCTCTGTCGACCCCTGGACTGAAGTATCAACTGTATGTGAGCGGCATGCAGTATGGGGAAGAGGTAAATTAGGTCGATCATGCCTGCATGATGGTCATGTACTCTGTTTTTATGATAATAAAGAAATATTGGGATTTGGGGTGTTTTGTTTTTAAAGGTATCATATCCCTTTTGCAGCCAACATCAAATTCTGTAGAACTTTGCAGGAATTATGAATATGTCATGCGCGTATGCAATTAGGAAACCTAGCTGTTTACTTGCTAGACTTCACATGCAGTCAGACACTATCGAGTGACTGACTGATTTCTTTTTTCCTTTCGTAATAACATACATAAAATGAGCTGTAACAGGTACATGAGCATTTCTCTACATCAATAACCCACTACTTGTGATGGCCAAAATTAAAATAATTGCGCAGCACAAAATGTACGACCATTCGGTACAAGGGTCTGAAAATCAGACTAAAAGGACTGCAATCCATAGATTTGATTCAATGACTAATGTTTGATATTTTCTCACAAAAAGAAATTACCATCCCATTCGTTTTGAGGAAAGTTGAAAATTAGTATCATGTTTCAAATGCCGTTGGAATTTAACCTTATTCTTTTTTTGGCCTGCAAATGGGACATATTTAAGTATGTTTTTAAAGACTAGTTGTTAATGTTCTTTTGGATTTCATGTGCACAAGATGAAATTGTTTAGTACGAAAGGTAGATATAGAAATGTATCTCTTACATGGATATTCTGAGTATATATACTAGTATATTACCTATTTCCTTTCAGCCTTGAGAACATTCAAAATCTTATGAAATAATATTTGAAAGTGATGTAATTATTTTTATCTGATTTCAAAATCTTTCCCTTTTAGATTATTCCCAAGAAAGGAGTGAAGCAAAGCAGAATAACAATCCAAGATTATTCATCTGAGGAGCCACTCAAAATCCATGTGTTAGCACTCCCCAGACATCCAGGTATGATTTCTCAAAGAAATTAAGTCATTGACTACTGAATTATGTTATTCCCATAGGCTTTACATAAGGACCACCCAGTTCATGTAGGCAATGATCTAAAGAAAGTATGATTTGGCTGAGAGAACAAGGCCGGGTACTGTCAGTTCAAGCTCCAGGTACTAAATGTAGATTGTAAGGCATAATTGGTTTATTTGCTATCAAGATAATATTGTCAGATTACACAGAATAGATGTTCACAGTACTCATAAGTGTCCAAATTTCACAAGCCACATATATATCTATTTGTAGTTGATAGTTTGTGTAATGCCCTCAATTCTCTCCAACTGAAAAGAAACATCATTACTGTTGAAGCAAAATTTACATAATCAAGTAAACATCTCACAAATGAATTACTATCTGTCACTGGCAAAAGTTGAGAAGTGATATGATTCTGTTACCACCCGCCCCATCTCTCTCTCTCTCTCTCTCTCTCTCTCTCTCTCTCACACACACACACTCTCTCTCTCTTTCCAAATTGAGGGTCTTGCATGAATTTGAGCTTTTAGGAGGTTTATGGAAGCCTATGCTTATCTATTGATAGTACAAAGAGCTAACAGTATAGAAGCTCTTTGTGTGATATACATGTATTTAGGGGCTTCTTAAACAGCTCTCTTTAAATCCCCCATTGTACTGATACAAAAGACTAATCTGTCTATTGACAACACACTGATTTTAGTTGTTAAAGTGTATCAGACCTAATGACAGAGGATATAACATTTTTTCAAAAGGGTACTAGAGCATGCAGTGTTTTGAAAATCTTCAAGTAATAGTGACCTAAACTCAAAGGAAGATTCCAGTCGTATTGAAACGATTCTAATTCTGTTTGTTGGTGTATTTTTAGCAGTGTTATATTTGCAGGAATGTTATTTAGGGGAGAACAGGTCATTTAGGTAAGGATGTTTATCACTTTTTTAGCACATTTTATTTGAACATCTTCAAGATTGGTTTAGTGTTTACTTTCTTCTGAAAATACAGAACAGTTGCATGAATTTGAAGGGCATTTACCGGATACTTCAGTAATATTGGCATTATCTTAGAAAGTGCTTTGGACATATATATACATATACATGTGGAGGTGGGATTTTTTTTCTTCTGTCATTGAACATTTAATACTGTATGGTTTTTTTACAGATCAACAATCAGAAGAGCAGAGTATTTTGCTGTCCAACGATCTAGATATTAGTTTGCCTCTCAATGTGGACTCCATAACTGTCCCAAAGTCAAGGAAGATAGAAGGTTTAGCCTACCTCCAAATCTTTGAAGGATCACTCAAACCACCAGGTAATATACAAAATAGATTGCTTGTTCTTTGAGAAATGTTAAACGTACATTAATATTGTTATCAAATAATAATATGGTTGCAGAGCCCTCAGAAACTTGAGAACATTACTCATACTGATGAGGCTATACCCTCTGTTTAATAAGAACATATCATAGACACCTTCATGTAGCTGGAAAATATCACTCCCAAAGAGTAATACTACCATCTGAACCAGAGCACTATAACACTGAGCTCCCATAGGACATATATTTATTCAGATGGTCATATCTCAGCCCATACTTAACATATTCAATTGGTTTTCAAGATTCTGACATTGCTTTGGATGCTCTTTTGGAAAATGAAGAACACATTGAGAAATTCTAAAAATAGATTTTTATGATGTCACAGCTACGGTACTCTATATACATTTATATTGTGTAAAAAAAGGAAGTTACCAAGTATTTATGTTTGTATTGACTTTTCAACAACAGCAAAATAAATATGTATGTATGTGAATGTATCACATTCATATATGTGAGTATTCTCCAACTAAAATCGACAATCTATTACCCCAACTTAAAGAAGGTCAGAATGAGTTGACATCATGTTTTAAATTGTATGATGACACACAACTTATTCATAAACTACATTGCAATGAACAAGTTATACCTTAGTATGTCAGAATTGAAAGAGGGGATAGGGTATCTGAATTATGAAATTATGCTTCAATGAACTTGAACAAATTTCATTTTGTACAGTGTACATATCTTTCACACATTATACATATTGTTTTAAATATGGATGTTCATGTAGGTCAAGATGTCATACTCCTTCCAGAGTTTCAACCAGAGACTACAGAATCCAATAAGGAAGAAGTGCTCCCTCTAGAGTCCTGCCCAACTACGGAAGTTGCCGCCACCACTTCGACACTCACTCCTGCTAAAGTTCAGATGGATATTAGCAGCGAGGGATTAAAGACATCAGATGGGTGAGCAAAATTTGTATTCTGAATTGGTTACCTTTCAGTAAAAGTAAGAAATCTCAAATCAGTTTTTAAAAACTGAAAAGTTAAAATTGTTACAAATGTCATTTCCTCATCATTTTTGAGCAAATAGTAATCATTGTCTGGTTTACACAATTGGTTGGAATTAGTAGGATTAATTTGCACATATATTTTTTCTCTCTTAGACATTTACAAATATATCATATCTGAATTGGTCTACTTGGCAATGCTTTGTGTTAAATATATTTTTTTCTTCCATTTATTATCTTTATTTTGTCTTCTCTCTGCTCCTCTAATATATGCTTTCCTTTCATTTTTCCTCTCATATTTTCCCTTTCCTTCTCTCCTTCCATATACTAAAATATGTCTGTCTGTCTGTCTCTCTCTCTCTCTCTGTCTCTACCTCCTCTCTCACCCCCTCTCTTTCTCTCTCTCTCTCTCTCTCTCTCTCTCTCCTTCTCTCTCTCTCCCTCCTTTCATTTATCCCTGTTAACAGGACACCAAGCCAGCCAGATAGCAACAGCGTTCTAGATACTGGTAACGAATTAGCCAATATGGAAGAGCAACCAGAGGTAGAGTATGATCATGTTTCCCCTCCTCAATACCCTGCTGCATGTGACCTCCCTTCTGCCACTCCCAACAGCATGACTCCTAGAAACTTGCATGATGCTTCCACTGTATCCAACGGTAATGGTGTCCAGATGGGCAAGATACCGCCCCCTCCTGTATATCAAGATGAACTCGATGAGGGACCAACATCCAAAGAAGTTTCCCCAACGGTTCAAGGTGGAGAACCTCTACGATTGGGAGCAGATTTCATTGAAAGTGATCTCTATCCTCCTCCTTCAACCGGTGACCTCAGAGAGATGTCAGATGCAGTGAGCAAGAAATCGTCTCTCGAGCAAGAGCCCCATGATGATGAACATGTTGCTGTCAATAGTGATGTTCCTATAGCAACCACCTCTTATGGTGGAGACCAGGAGACCACAATCAAACCACCAGAACCGGTAGCTTTGATGAACAACAAGATTGATAATACTGATATTCCAGGTGTTGATGAAGATGCTCAGCAGGAGAGAAATGGCATTGAAGAGCAGGATGTTGGACTTGTAACTGTTGATCACGATACCAAAGAAAATCTTGAAGAGCATCTCCCAAAAGGTAGCCTGTATGAAGAAAGTCTTACCAAAGAAAGTCTTCCATTAGAAAACCAGAGTCATGGTGCTGATAATGGTGATAATGTAAGCATGAATGTAAAAAGTAGTCTTCCAAATGATGATATCATTACAGGATCCTCATTATCCACTCAAGAAGGAGAGGTTGCACTGAATGGAGATGCCACGAATGGTGAGGATTTCAAAGAAGGTTTGGGAGATAGAATGGACAAGGAACGGAAAGGAAACAACAAGAGAATGGATGTTGGTGACAGTAATGAAGTTGATGGTGATGCTAAACCTGAGAAAGACAAACATGTTGATTTACACATAGGAAAGCCAGGGTTTGATGAAGGTGAACCCCGCAAAGATGCTGAGTTTGAAGATGATGATGCTCAATCAGATCTGGCAAAGCAGAGTGATGAACCAGATGGAAAAAATAAGTTTGGAATAGCTGATGAAGATGAAGGTATGAGCGGTGTAGAAGAACAAGAACAAGGTCTCCAGGTTCCAAATAAAGATCTCCTCCAAATACCATCTGAGAAAGAGATCACATTGTCTAACGATGATTCAAAAGATCAAAATGAGCCAGGAAAAGATGACCTGTCTAAAAAGAGACCATTTGACAAACAAAATGAAGTATTTGTAGGAGATGACAAGAAAGATGGTCCTGAAGAGAAATACTTGAACCAGGTATCTACCGAGACGACAGCAAGTTGTCATCGTATGGCACAGCATCAGTCTTCGTGTGAACCAATCTCAGATGAACAGCAAAACGATTCTGGAGATATGCCAACAGACCAAATACGAAAAGGAGAAGATGAAGAAGTAGAAAGGAAAATGAATGGAGGAGATGATGATGGTGACAGTCGGGAAATTGAATATGTAAACCAAGTCTCCAATGAGACTACATTGAGCAAGAACTGCCCGGATGGCCATGCAGAGAGAACAGGAAACAGAGAGGAGGAAGAACACGACGGAGCTTATGATGACAAAAAGGATAAACCACTGGCTTCCAAAGACCACAAAGATGCGTCAAATCCTCATTACAATGTTCATGGAGACGAAACTGATGACAAAGGCCAGGAGCATTCTAATGACACAGCATGTTCCTCTGATCATATGCAAACCCATACCTTACTGTCCAATCCCACTGCTTTGCATGATGAAAATCACAATGGTATAGATGAAATGTCTAGCAATGCACCTGCTAATGCTTTAGATCAGAATGTAGATCCCCAAACCAGTACTTGTGATAGCATGGATGAACAACAGCTGAAGAGTAAGGTGAGTGATGATAAAGACCGCAATTAATGCACAACCCAAAGTTTAAACCTCCATAAACATGTAAAGTATCTGTGGAATAGATTTGGATGAGTTTAGATTTATAAATACTTCTATATTTTGTGATAAACTAATTTTCATTTGCCCAGCATACATATCTATAGAAAGAAAAAATATTCTCAGGCTCGGTTCCTTAGTATTTGTGAATTTTTGACATTTTCATTTAGTTAGACACACCCCAGCATGTACAGTATGCATGATTATTTAGAGTACATTTGAAAATGAAAGCATCTGATAAGGCAAGATATTATAGAATTACCGGTAGTTTTATATGCTAGTGTAAATGAATTAATTCAAAGAAGCTACAAAATTCAGTACTAAAGGAGGCTATTGATAAAGAGTTTCATACATTTCCTCTATGACTTCTTACTCAACAGGATATGTATGCTCCAAGGTTGAAAGCATTGAAAAGCTCTGCAAATGTTCCTGAGCTTTACATACACTGGTATCTTCCCTCAGAGGAGAGCAAGGGTTTTGGGGAAGGTGCGGTCAAGCCACGCCCTTCACCCCATCATTATCTGGTTTGTGTGGAAGGGATGCAGTTTGTAGATCAGGAGGTCAATAGCCACTCGAGGTATGTAGTTGGATGAATATGAAAAAGGTGGTAGAGGTGTTGAGGTCTAGTTGATAAGTCACAGAACTGTGGGCTACAAGGTATGGGGTTCAAATCCCTTCCCCAGCACTAATGTTCCTTGACATGACTACATTTGCCACTATCTACGCGGTGAAGTAAATTGGTACTTGATGGGAAGAAATATTCCTTAAATGTTTGAGCAACTTATGATACTTTGGCTCAATCCAGAATAATGATACTATTCTGGACTTTGTTCAATTAGATTTGACTGTTGTTCTTGTTGTTGTTGCATGCAGTGGTATAGGCATGCACAAGTATGTGAAGTATAATTATGTATTGTAAGTTTAGGAGGGGTGATCTTTTCAATTTTTCCACATTAAGAATAGAGGGTGTATGCATTTTCTCAGTTCTTTATATACTTATTCAGAGAGGAAGGAAGATTGAGGATGAATGAGTGCTTATAAATTTCCAATGAAAAAAAAATGTAACTAGTATTAGATATCCCATCCTGCAATTAAATGAAATTAGATCAGAAATACTATGTGTGCAATTAAAGTCACTGTTCTTCAAAGTACTATGAGATTAATTGAACGTCCTTATTGATTCATTTAAGCTGTTGACTTTAATAGATGTATATCATTTCATATTTAATTTTGCTAGACATGAAATAAAATCAGACGAGGATACACTTTCAATCAGGCACCAGTGGAATGCGGGAAGAGGCTTACAACTTATCATCAACAGAGGTCTTTGTGAGAGCACAAGATACAAGTAAGAGAGTTAAAATCTTTCTGCATCTATGTAAATCATTTTCACTTTTTAGAAACCTTTAGATTGTACGAGTTCTGAACTTACCATATCTGCCATAAACAATGCATACTGGTTCTATTTTTTTTTTATTCAGATGTAAGTATAGTGCCAATGTTTTCATGGAATTCTAAAGACTGCATCAACATTGAGGATGTTCAGTGGTTTCTCCTATCCAGTATTATTTCAATTTTTAAATCAACAGAGTCAGTGTGGTTGCTGTATACAAGCAGAGCGACCAAAAGAAGAAAACCACAAAGATGACCTCGTCATCTTCATGGGTCACCACTGGAGGGTGTCCTATGCCCCCGAAGCTGTCTCTGACCTCCGTTGGTCTGCAGGAAGTCACCCTTGCTTGGGAGCCAGGTCGTTGCCATGAGGACATAGAGATCCTGGGATACGCTCTCCTGAAGAACACCAGACCATCAGGAGAGACCATTCCGTATGGAATCACGGAGAAGATCATTCAAGAATTGAAACCTGGTTAGTTCCATTGTTTTCTTACTATATTTTTACAATGTCTCAGGTGAAGTAGCTCCTCCAGTATGTGCTACTTAAGTTGTACCAAAGTGTTTATTGAATGTTTATATTGAAAGCCGATGTGACTTATATTGATTATATCAATATATTGACGATATGAATTTAAATACTGTCTTTCTTCTCACATTTTTGCCAGAGTGCTTTTTTGTAATCATGTACTTGCATTATTTGTAAACAAATTTTTCTTCATAGGTAATGAATATTTAAGAAGGAATTGAATTTTAAAAAGATCTTACATGTTTGCATTCTTTCATGGATATCGTTTGTAAGTAGTGTTTTCCTTGAAGATAATGAGCAATAAAAAAAGGAAGGAGATTGACAAATGAGTTTAAAATCAATTCTATGTTGTGTAGGCATCACTGATTGTTGAATGTCAGTTTTAAATCAACTCATGGGAATTACTTTTTGTTTACAGGGTCTAAATGTACCCTGAGCTTATCCACTCTTACAGCCAATGGTGGTCCACGCAAACCATCCAACAGCATCATGGTCATCTGTCCTCGTATCCCTGACCCGCCGACAATCAATCTGAGGCAGTCTAGTAGTCTCCACTCAGCCACCATTACATGGCCCAAACAGAAGGCCAAATATCTATCTGGCTACGTGTGAGTTACAGTATTTTGATTTCATTCTTTTATATCTATTAATCTGTTAAATATGCATTTTACAATTCTGATTAAGTGTAGATCATTGTAAATCTGCATACCAGCATGGATCTTGATGATGCAACTATCGCTCATCTTAAACTGACATCACTATAATGTGTTATGTGTCATAGTTGAGTGCTTTAGAAATGGGACGCAAAGGTCATATGGCATTGATTCATGGTAGAGCACCAGTGTTTTTTAGCAAGGCATTTATTTAGCCATGTATTCTATTCTTAACAGAATTGTAATAAGGGAGGTACCTGGTAGGATTTATTCCTTGAAGGCACTGAACATTGATAAAAACTGGCGAAGCTAAAGCCAGGTAATAATTTCCAATTTTCTTTGAAAGCTCATAGTTTTGTTATGCACTTGATATGCACTTTACAAGCATTGAATTTCATGTTGTCTTATCATCATCATAATTTAATTCTTGATTCATGCACAGTGTCTATGTGAATGATAAACAGCTAGCTGAAGTGTCTTTGACTGAGATGGAGAGACTCTCTCAATGTGAACACACTCTGGATGATCTAGTGGAAGGAGAAATCCTCAACGTCTTCATCAAGGTATGGTTCAAATAAAGAGCGTTATAGTGTTCAGATCAATGTCTCTCGTACAGCATATGTGTGTGTATGTAATTGGATTTTTACAGACGTGTATCAATCAGATATGATTATTTAGGTCTGTGGACCGACCTTTTAAAATTACCATCCAAAGACGTGACTCAGTTTCGAACCTGCATCCTTGGCTGAATCAGTTTGTAAATTCCATTGTAAAGCCCCGTTGTACAGCATACATGAGTAAAAAGGCTTTAAAAGAATAACTCTGTTGGTCCCTTTTCAGTCCAGGATGGCTCATATGTTTGGAAGAAATGGGTATTAACCCTGTACTTGTCCTTGGGCAGCATATTCCACCCAAGAATTAGATTATGGGTTGCGCACTTGGACTTAAAGAGGCTGATGTTTTCTTCCTGACCCAGAATTGGGTTCTCCCAATGTGCTGTTTGTTCACATAGAACATTGCCTTCATCTAAGTTTGCAATTAAAAGTGCATGATATATATATTTAAAAGTCTTGAAACTTCATTTTATGTAAAAAAAAATTAAATTTTGGTGGCTTAGAAGAGGTTGAAATCTTAAAATAAGGAACATTTAGTCTTGTAAAAGCATTACTTAATTACTTTTGTTGTAATGTTCGAAGTTTTGAATATCTTTGATGCAAACTATCCCCTAATGCACCTCTCTCTCTCTCTCTCTCTCTCATTCAATCAACTCCATGAAAACATAGGCTTGCGCAGGTTCAAAATCCCTGTCATTGGACCACTCCACCAGCAAGGCTGTGTGCCAGACAATGAGTGGGAGCAGCAACCACCTGTCAATCAGAGCCAAGACTCCGCCCTCATCACCATCGTTACGACTGGAGGGGAAGCACCCTGGAGGGATTGACATCATGTGGGAGGGGCATGAGCAGGATGAAGGCACTAACCTAACAGTGAGTTCTCGGCCTATATAGAAATATACTCCATATCATATTCATCATTATGCAAATAGATTTCTTGAACTAAGAAGTGGTATTCAAATTTTGTTCAGTTCAGCTCGGTTCATTGTCACTTTTATTTAAAATCAAACAAGTGGCTTCATAGACTATCATTATCACATTTACAATTGACATATAGTAGTTCCATGATAAATTTAAAGACTGAATTAATGGTTCATGGTAGGGTATAGCAACCTGGTAACAAAATCTTGTAAGTTCTATAAGTGCATGTATGGTTTAGTGCATAGCACAATTTTCACAATAGGATCAAAACCGAGAATTGTGTGGTGGTGCTCTTTGTAAGTCCCCTGGAGCTTACTTTATAACATACAATTCTTGCCTTACCGGCGCTTTCATGAAATAAACTGCCTTTGGAAGATATAACATTCAATTAACAATGAATGTGTTCAAGACAGTATCTGCTTTGATTAGATCATCGTTTTACTTTTTCTCCCTCCTTTGATACACAGGGCTATGTAGTGCTGAAAGACGGTGTCCAGTATGGGTCCTTGCTGGATGCAGAGGTCACTCGTTGCACCGTGGGGCGTGTCAAGCCTGGGGTCACTGTTCAGCTTCAAATCATGGCCGTGTCTGATGATATTCTGGAACCAGGAGGTATGTGATAACATTGTTACGTTAACTCTATGAAAGCTTTGGCCGACTGATGGAACAAACAGTAAACAGCCACGATCAACTTTTGTCACACATTCTGTATGTATTCAGCGTGTGTACTCCAAGCAATATGATAGTCTTGAGTGTTGATCTATAGTGGATAAAGAGTTAACTGTTATGACTACTGAATTCTTTTTGAATTTTCACATAGGCTTAATAAAGATTGACCCGGTTTCTGTAGCTTTTGGGCACTTTGTAACATCAAGGGGCTATGAACCTTATGGACAGCAAAGATCAGCCAGCATAAATAAAATACAGCGAATTAAAAAAAATTGTTTAAGAAACATTGTTGAGATTAACAGCTTTTTTTTTTTACAGTTATTACCCTACTGTAAAAAACTGATAGAAACAAGAGGCAAATTACATAATACCAAAACAGTTATCATTTTGCGTGAAACTATCCAGCACTTCATCATCTATCATAAGATAGATCAATGTACAAATAATCGTCATACTTTTTGTTTGGATGTGTAAATAAAAATAAAAAGCTCCTGTAAATTTGTTTAGATTACGTATGCATTTAAGGTATATATATTTTTTGTGTTATATAAACGTAGGAGATGACTTGTTGAGACAGTATCCTACCTGTGAGCCAGGCCCCACCTTCCAAGTGCAGTTTAGTGGTCTCCTGGCCCCGCCCAGTAAAGTATGGACAGAGCTGGTCACTGGACATTCAATGTTAGTAGTATGGCATAGGGGTAAGAGAAATGAGAGAAATGCATGATCAATATCAGAGTTTGTCACTTACAGCCCCACTGCACTACTTATAGCTACTTGCGCCCTCTATATAGCAAACAATGCCTAATTGATGACCATTGGTCCCCCATGATTCCCCTTTTTCTTATGTTAATTGAGAGCTGATTTGATGAGATTGAAGAAAAATGATGATATCGTGAATGGGAGAATATAGAATACAGTCATGGTAAAAATGATTTATTGATTGATTGATTGACCACATTGAAACCTCCTTATTTATTTTATTTTTTTCATTTCCCAAATTAACTGAAATATGTATTGATTTAATTGTTGTTGTGAATAGTATGTACTGTTTATAAAATAACATATACTGTATATAAATTACAGTAAGATGTACTAAAACTAAGAGATTTGTCATTGAAGATATAGGGTTATGGTTGCCATCAAATTTAAGGTCAGATATTGTAGGGGCTAAAGTTAGGTATAGTGTTTTTTCAGGTGTGAATTTTTAAAATTTGCTTAGTTAAAATAAATTGGCCTTGGAGCAATTTCCCTTTGCAGTTGTTAAATGTTAAATTATTTATGTATGTTTTGAATTATAGGAAAAAAGCCTAACATGGATCACTTCACAGATCCAGATGCTTTTATGGTAAGATGGTGGAAAGTCAGTACGGGTGAACCCAACATGTGTACCATGGAAACACAAGGTAAGAAACCATACTTTTCTGATCTATCAGAGTGATTTGCATTAATTTGATGATGTGTACAAGTAAACCCTTTGCAACCACCAAGTTTCAGATTGCTTTGATTTTAGTAAATGAACAAGATACTGCCAACACTGCCTCATAAATATTTAGAACTGACACACTCCCTATAAGGCTGCAAGGTAACTGAAAGATGATATGATGCACAGATATGCATGTATGATTTTTATTACAGTACAGAAATCTTAGGAGAATTCAAGAGCATGAACAGCTTTGTTATAGATTCATTTATCTATATACATGTAAAAGCAAGATGACGAATACCCTCCTTATAGTGCAGCTGTCCTTACAATGATTATAGTACATTTGTAAAGGAATATCTCATTGAAATAACAGTATATTAGCAATAAAGCATTGGAATCAACTCACCTTATACTCCTTGACTGCTTACATTTTTTCAGATGACAATCTCCATATTGAAGATCTCGAGCCAGGCTCAACATACTCTATCATGGTGGAAGCAAGGAAGTGGGATACACACTGTGATGAAGATGGTATGACTAGTATCCTTTTCTTGTGAAAGTGACTTGCTTAGTTAGATGTACAAGTATGTATGCATATGCTTCATTCTTTTGTAAATTTATGTTGACCTTCAGTGCTAAAACATTACTACTTTTTAATTTTGAAAGCAACTTAGTAAATTTATTAGAAGTTATTCATTAAAGGCACACTGCCATACTTGTAGCTACTTGCTCCCTCTATATAGAAAGCTTCCCCAATCGGTGCCTGTTGGTCCCCCATGATCCTCTTTTTCTTATGTTAAATGAGAGCTGAGTTAATGAGATAGCCACCTGTCACAGTGACCTTGATGGCTCTCTGTGTGGTCTAATCCCTTCTGGCCCAGTAGTGGTGACGGTCTTTAAAGGTAATACAAATTTTTGGTATGGGGTCATGAATTTGGTTCAATGAACATATTGGAAGCATATGCGATCCTACAATATTCAGTGATCGTCATCGCGGTCAAAATCGAGTCTTAAGTTATGAAATTATGAATAATAATCACTTTATGTTGTATAGCTCCCTCTCAACGTCAAGATATTAATTAAGCTATAAAACAATGTTTCTTGACTAATATCGACCGATTAGCTATTCCCGTTCGCAAATTATATACCACAACTACATATTCTGCTATTTTCATGGTCGCAGCTACCATAGTACGGCCGTAGGAGCAATTTGAAATTCATCAAAATTTACCGGGAGCACCGGTAAATCTTTCTATTCAATTTTTCTCGAAAGCAGAAGTGTTTTAGGGGCTAAAATTTCTGGTGCTTTTAATACATCCACAGGGGCATCCAAATATATCAAAATTGTAAAGAATCACTATCCACCCATTTCTCAAAATTTCACAAAACTTTGTAATACCTTTAAGCTAATTTAGATTACCAAAGTTAATATCAAGAAGGATGTTGATTTTTCTCACAGCTTACACATGTTTATTTTACCTTCGACACTACCATATCTAATACTAACTCACATATCTAAACCAGCCAATACCTTTATTTTGCAATGTCAGATGAAGATATCTTGGGTGAGGATCAGCAGAGCCAGACCTTCCTGGTGACTGCTGGGTCTAAGACAATCACTGCCATGACAGCTCGACCTCCTGACCCGCCCTCTGACCTCAAGGTGACCTCTACAGGACCTAAGACCCTGGAGCTGAGGTGGACATCAGCCATAGAACACGGTAGTGAGATTCTGGGTACGATACATTAGTTCATTGTGTTTTCTTCACCTCTCAGTATCTAATGATTTGAACATTGGAGTAAAAACATGAGCTTCATTACATAATTCTGCTAGTGCAGTCAAATCTATTTAAGTAACTACCTGCTTTTCAATTTAGAAACTTGCCATTTACATTAAAAGATTTAAGTTGTATGAAGACTATTTTGATACTGAAGACAGTGCCAGCAGAAATGAAGCTTTTATACTGTCCATATAACTATTATCTTACTTTGCTTTATTTCTTGAATTTTTACTGTAAATGCAGAAACAGATATTAATAATGATTATTTCTGTAAAACTCTTCCAAAACCTTTGTAAAACAATTGAGATTTACCTGCAGTTATGTTCTATCCCTTCACATTGCAGGACTCAAAATGTATGTGACTCTTACAGAAGACAAGGATACTACTGACACAGTGAAATGCATAGATCTTCTCCCAGATGCAACCGGAGCCAAAGTGAAAGACCTTGAGCAGGGGAAAGACTATGTCATCCATCTTCTCACCATCACAGATGATTTCTTCGACCAGCTTCCACCATCCCACTCCTTACGCAAGGCACGGGACCTGCCAAAGACCTGGGCGGATGTTGAGAAAGAAGTAGAATCTCCCTGGCTGCCGTATGTTGCCATCGGTGCAAGGACGCATGGGAATACCCCTCCAATGGGGCTGAAGTGTACTGACATTGGGAACGACTGGATAGGGGTGGATTGGCGGCCACCCAGCTGGGGTGGGTTTTATGTGGAAAGCTCGACGGTGGAATGGGAAGACATCAGTGGAGATGGGAGCATCCAGGAAGATTTGCAGGAGGGCAGCGTGGAGGTTGGACCGAAGAGGTCGCACACCAAGCTGCATGACCTGACCCCTGGAAGGACGTATGAGATACAGGTCAAAGCCTACATTAAACCGCATCCTTCGACTAAATCCAAATCCAAGCAAAGCGGAAGCAAGCAGAGCAGGATGAACATGATTCTGGAATCGGATCCAATCTCAGTGAGACTACCTTGCCATGTAACACCTCCTGATTTGAGAATCGCAGGATTTAGCTCATATCACCTTGACCTGAGATGGAACAAACCTCATCTTTTATTACAACCTGGATCTACTGGTGAGAAAACTTCTTTTCTCATGAATATAGGATTAGCATGTAAAACAACCATTGGTTGTAATTATCCTAGTTTAGTGATTGTTTGGATGATATTTTCATGTGTCATATATTCTACAATCTGAATAGTAGTAGTCATATAAAAGTATGCTCATACCCCTGGGTAATAATTATCCTACTTGGGTATTTATTTAGGTTTTTATAGCTAGGAGGATTTAATCGTTCCAAGATCTGAATAAATAATGACTTATAGTCAGCAAAAGTGTAATTTTATTATTCAATGCTTCTCTCATGGTCTAATTTTTTTCAAAAGTAAAGCAACTGGTAAATCTTAATACAATTTAAAATTGATCCCAATGGTGTATTAATTAGGCTATCCTCCTGCACAGGACATTATATTCCATTCAGAATATTTAATTTACTTATTTCAATTATTTAAATGCGTTATAATTTGATTAGATTCTATGGACCCACATTGTATGTATAAACTAATCATCAATCAGCAGCTTGAAAATTCACTTGTTGCATATATATTGTATTTCATTTTCAGATCCAGATCAGCAGTCTCCTACAAGACCTGTGAAGGTTACTCTCCTTGGCCACCGCCTAGTGGTAGAGGGCAGCGCCCCCATCTTTCTCTCATCAGACACCACTCGATACACCCTCACGCAAATAAAAGGGGGTAGAACACTCAAGGTGCATCTCGTTACCGTGACAACCCCTAAGAAGGTGACGATGCAAGGGCTGAGGAGGAAAGAACGAGATAAAGGAGATGTGAGCGTGGAGAAAAGGATCGCATCTGTTCTCAAGAGCATTGGTGATAACAAGGATGAGACCGTTTCCAGGACTTTGTTTGTAACGGCTCCCAAAAGCCAATCAGGGAATATTGTGTCATGTATGTGCACATACAAGCATGAGAGGAAAGCCCATGGAGAAAAAGAAGAAGAAGAAGATGATGACGATGGAGGTAAACTAGACGATGGACCTGTTGGATACATTAATGTCCAGTGGAGCCTCCTGGACTGTGGCAGTGCGGAGGAACAGGGCATTCTGGGATATGATGTGAGCTGGATGTGTGATGCTGATGGCAATGAGCATGTGGCTAATGTGTCAAAGCACAGGACCAGTCATCAAATCCCTGTCTATAATTTAGGGTGATTATTAAAACTGTTTATATTTTATTGGCACGGACCTTGCACAGCATAAGAAGGACAGTTTGTGTGTGTGTCCTTTCAATATCTGATCAGAAGAACTTTACAATGTTTTTACATGTTTCAGCCCCTGGATTACATATAAGAATTGTATCTCAATAGCAAAGGATAATTGTGTTGACAGGTGTTATATCTGTAATAAATATTAATTTCATTTCCAAAGACCTCATTTTTTGATACTGCTACATGTATAACATTTACATATTAATGTGTTAGAATTTAGATTTAATAGTACTACATGTATAAGCAACCCCCCCCCCCCCAAAAAAAAAAAAAAATGTTTTTTTTTAAAATAAATAAATAAATAATAATAATAATAATAATAATAATAATAAATAAAATAAATAAAATAAATAAAATAAATAAAATAAATAAAGTAAATAAAATAAATAAAATAAATAAAATAAATAAAATAAATAAAATAAATAAAATAAATAAAATAAATAAAATAAATAAATAAATAAATAACAAAACTAATAACAAAAAGAAATAAATAGAAAATCAAGTATATTCTAGTAGTTAAGTACCCTATGGATCTTTAGCTTGAAATCTTCTCCTATGGGTGACTTGTAAATACACATACATGCATTGGCATATACACCTTTACAACTATTGTAAGCCTTCATACTGATCTTTAGTAATTGCTTTGCTTCTTTTTTTTTTTTTTCCAGATGCATGTATGATGTCAGCGTCCAACCTGTCAAAGACGAGGACATCTGGCAAGATTTGAACAGTCCCAGCATCCAGTGTGAGATACCAGGACCACCGGCTCCGCCCACACTCTGCTGTGCTTCCATGACGACCAGTGAATTCATCCTGGAGTGGTCAGAGCCAAGAACCTTTGGTGATGTTGGAGTAAGGGGATACCAGGTACTTGGAAACAATTTGATACTTTGACAATATGGACTTGCTGAACATAGGCACTGCTGCTAAAAGCAAGTTTTCATACAAAGTTTGAATGAATAGAACAAACAAAATCAAATAAATTCCTGCTTTTCCTATGACATGTTAAATTGTTACTCATTACTGAATTCGTAGCCATCCTTCAATAATGTTAATTTAGTGTGAGTTTTTATGTGTTATATCTCTTTGTATTTCCCTCCTACTTCATTCTTTCTCTTTCATTCCTCTAACTACATGTAGCTTATATGTCATCTCAAGATATTTGTCAATTTTTTTTAAATTTGTGATTATTCTGACAATAACTGTTTTGTCTTACTGTAAACGCGAAAATAATTTGCGGTACATTTATTTCCGCGGGTTTCGCGCTAAAGTCTGTGTCCGCAATTTTAGAATCCGCGAAAATATAAACACGACTTCTTATGCGTATTCTGAATAGGCTGAATTTGGTGCAATGCGAATTTAAGAACCAGCAAATATGTTTTTGGGTCCCTGAGCGAAAAATTAATTGTGCGAAAATAACACCGTTTACAGTATTTGAATACCTTACAAGTAACTCTACTTAGTACATGATATCAATTCATATTAATGTGGATTTTATTATCTTCAGGTGTACATGAATGAAAGGCAGATTGGACAAGCACTCAGTGCAAGCCACTTCAAAGCAGCAGTGCCATGCAGACCCAACAGGTACTTCACTTAAAGTATTACATTCTGATTCTTATTTAACATGTTTATATTGAAAATGAAATCATTGAAAAGCAGTAAATAATCAAGTGTATCCTCATGCCATGTATTGATATTGAAATCATGAAATTGTAGGTATTTCAAAAACAAGTAAGTGATCATAAGTAGCACTCATGCTATTTTGTAAAGGATAGAATGAATTACTATTTATACATGTATTTGACTGTTCTTCAGTTTCGTGAAGGAAATGTTACTTTATATATTTTCATTCATATGGAGATTAATACTCCTTATCCATTATTTAATTTGCAGGATCTACCTGCTTGGTATCTGCGCCCTGAGTGATGATCCAAACTACTCTGACTCTGCCCATGACCAGAGCCTCAGAGTTTGCACCCCTGATAGCGACTCCGTCCCTGCTCGTACCAAAGAAGTATCCCTCCTCGAGTCCCTTGCAGGGCCCCACGGGGGTAGCCCCCAGCAGAGTAGAACAGGGCGTAGAGGACGGACAAGAAAAACATCCAGTTCTAAGCTTGTTCCCGAAGATATTGAGTTGAAGCTCACATCTGTCACCTCTCATACAATAGGGATATGCTGGGATTTTCTTCGCTCAGGTAACCCTTCAGGAGTTTTATCTTACATATGTCTTTCACTGTAGGCTGTTTTTGCTTAGATATTGAATAACATGTGACTGATTTTGCATTTGTACTACCCTCCCACTGTCAGCTGAATATGTTTTGTTTTTCTAGATACAAGTAAATATATTGCTTATAGTTTTTATACCATAACTACATCAAACAGAAACTAAGTAAATAAAGGAAGCACTTTGGAAATTGTCCATTTATGTGTATAGATTTCAACCATGGTATCGGGGGGAGGGAGAGGGGTTTGGTATTGTTTTTGTCAATTTTTAAATTGACTAATTTAAGAACCCTTCATAAAAATATAAGGTTCAATTATAGACAATATTAGTCATTAAATCTACACCTTTCTCTGTTGATATAATATCAGTACATTTCCAATCATTTTCCTTGTTTTCCTCCTGTAGAGAGTGTAAGCAAGGTACAGCGATTACAAGTTCACTGGAGCAGTGTGGCCAAACCAAAGGTAATTTCTACGCACATTTTTACAACAATGATGAAGTGAATTATTAAATGTATTTAAATGAAATTCATTTTGAAATGTTGATGAGAAGGTCTGTGCCAATTAAACGTTAAAGTTTAGGCGGCAAACTTTATTCAACATTCAAGATTTATCAAAAACATATATTTTTGCAGTCGGATGGCTGAATTGTCATGTTTTACAGATAATACAAATTTAAAAAATTACAATAAAAAGCAGAATTACAATGAATATTTAAAGAATAAAGGATATACAACTATAAATATAAATACAATTCTATCAGGATATCTACGTCGTTCATTCGTTCAAGTTTATATTTATTCATCTTCTCAAGGAAATTGAGGCCCTCTTGAGTCCAACTGCAACCACTTTCACCATCAAGAACTGCAATCCTGGAACCAACCACTTCATCACCATCACAGGCCTGGATAAGAATGATCATAAGGTGTGTCGATCCAAGCAGCTCATCGTACAGACGTCATCACAGATCAGCACCCCACAGCTGTATGTGAGGTGAGAAAATTAACCTGTATGGATCTTTTGAAATGGTACTTGTATGTGCCCCAAGATGTGAAAGAATAATGTATCGGTGAAACTGTTTAACTTGAGGGGGGGAGGGGGGTATATGGCCCAAATCAATCTAAAATGGTCAGGACTCCAAGATATATAGAAGAATCATAATTCTTTAAATATATAATTTATAATCAATTTTCTTTGAGTCTCTGTATGGATAAAGAGATCATTAAAAAGAATAAGCAAATCTCTTTTACTATGAATATAACCTATATTTACAATGCTTTAGACTAGCTAACATTTTTCTTTCTTTACCCTCAATGACGGGGCAAACTTGTTGAAATAGAATGAAATATAATCAAACAAGAAAGAAGCATAAAGGCAATGCGGTATTAATTCAAATTAAAATTTTATACATTTCTTATTAAAGGCACCACGGTAGCATAGTAGCAGTGACATCATAAGTATAGCTTCATGCTGCTTTTTCATAGGGGGTGCAGACTGAAGTACTTCTGTATGAAGGAACCCCCTAGTAAAATTTTAAAATTGGGGGGTGTCCTCTTGTCTGGAATAAGCATTTGAGGGCATATGTGTCCTATGCACCAGTTGAACCCTGTTGTGAAATGTGCTATTGAATAGGTATTTCATTTCATCGCATTCAGCTCAACATCATTCAAGGGGATCTCACTGAAATGGGAGAAACCTCAAGCTTTTGGAGGAGCAAAGATCTCTGGCTACCAACTAAAGGTCAACGGTCAACAGACAGCTACCTTGACCTCTAATGCTACCACATACACCTTCAAACATGGCAAGATGTGTCAGACGTATGCCTTCAGTTTACAGGTAATTCCTCTCCTTAAATGTGATGGCTATGAAAGATCAATGTTGACAATGATTATTGTAATTCAAGTACTTTGTGATCCACCGTGGGTTCAGTGAATTTGCTGTTGGTTGTATTTCATGTAAGATGAAGGGAAGGGTTAGGGTTGCAATTGGGTTTTAGGGTAGGTTTAGGGTTAGGGCTAGGGTCGGGTAAAGTATTGAGCCCAGGGTTGCAGTTCGGAATTTGATCAAATCAACTGAAGAGATGTTGTTGCTAGGGCACATTTTGTACAATCAATTACATTGAATTGTATTTATGTGGTTGTTTATGGATTCCATACCTTTTGTTTTGGTAATTAAAATCATAGAGCTCTGATTAGGCTTAGAACCATGATTGTCCCTAAAGGCTGATGCACAACAGTTTAGTGTTTTTCCCCCAGACTCCACTGTGTTGTTTTACCTTGGCTTAAGATTACATAGGATAGTAATGTTTTCTGCTTGGCATTAACATTTGTTTTCCTTCCATTTATCTATTTGACCAGGCTACCTGCAGCAACCCTCAACTTAACAGTGCATTCTCTGACCCCATCCAAGTGACCTGGCCAGGGGTCATTGTCCCTGAACCTCAGAGAATGTCCACTGTAAAGGTCAACTCCCTCATTGTCGGCTGGTCAGAACCTGAGGTCCTGGGTGGGGCGAAGATCAAACACCTCAAGGTGGGATTTTAGAAGTCCATATATTATTACATCACTTGAAGGATGTTGAATTTTGATGTTAGTTTTTTTGTTTTGATTACATGTATCTACTAAGCACAGTCAGAGCCTTCTTGTATCACTGTTTTCTAAACAAGCCCTCATTAACTTAATATATTTAATGTAGTTCAAATTTAGTTATTACAAAATACAAAAGTGGTATATCAAAGAGACTAAAATAATTTTTTTAAATTTTTTTTATATTAATTTTTTTTAAAATACAGAAAATTTATATATTTATGAAAGAAATGTAACTTTTATAGAAAAAAAATAATCTGTAGAAGCAAATTAATCATAAAGGTACATTTAAGATGAATGAGTGATTGAATGAATTTTCCTAACAAGGAAAAATCTTTGAAAAAGTTTAGTTTCATATGTAACAATTAGTATCAATTTGTCTTTACAGGTCCTGTTAATGACTGACCAACCTATCCACTACAAGCACGCCCACTACCAGCACCACCCTCTCAAGACCAGCTCCGCCCTCCCACCCGATACCACCTCTACGGAGTTCACCGGCCTCCTGCCCCATGTCAACTACACCATATACCTTGATGTGTACCTAGAGGGGCTAGTCAAACCGGTCCGATCCAAGGCCCTGGTCGCCCAGGTAGCCCGGAAACCACCTGCCCCAAGGCTGAGGATGAGTGTGGTAGGGGCCGAGGAGAGGAGGCAGTTGGATGCTGATGCGTGTGGTATGATGGAGGATAGAGACAGGTGGGTACTTTGATGTGCATCTTCTAGGAGTGGTTGAGATTGTATGGTGGTCCTGATTAGCCAAAAATTTGGAATATGTGATAAGATGTTCATTTAGAGAAAATCATTTTCTAGAAAATTTTCTCTGTTTTTGTGTGTGTCATGTTTCCTTCATGTTCAGAATTCATAATTGTATATTATTTCTAAATAATTTGGAAGTTATTTTCTTTTTCTCCTGCAGAACTGCTTTAAGTTGTAATCTCTCTCTCTCTCTCTCTCTCTCTCTCTCTCTCTCTTTATTTCTCTCTGTATCTGTATGTATATGTATATAGATGTGTATTAGTGTATTTGATAATCTTTCTTTACCGCAGTTTAGGATAAGTAATAATTGTTTGTGAATGTTATCTATTTCAGACTGCTCCAAGAACTATTTAGCCTTGAACATGATCTTGAAGAGAACTTTCTGGTAGATGTGCAATACCAAGAGGATCTTTTAGCCAGGGTAAGCCTCAAACTATATTTTTAAGAACTTAAACACTTTGTGACATCCAAGTTATTGTGGGGATACCTATATCTTCTTTGCCTTCCTGATGCTGTATTTCATGAAATTTTTAAAAAAACAGTCATTAAAATGCTTACACTTTATTCATCATACATGTTCTGCTGCTTTGCAGGCTGCAGCATCAAGCACATGTATGGTTCAGGTGAATGGTGTTTTGCAGTTACATCTTCCCTTTACTTGTGAGATTCTGATGAATTTCATGCTGATTTTTCATATTAATTTCTTAGGTGTCTGAGGTTTCATCATTCCTGGCTGAAATTGAGACTAGTCTGGATAACTGCCTGGAAAGGATGAAAGACTACACAGGTAAAATTGAGAGCTATGTCTGTACAATATCTTATATAAAAGAACTAGACATATTTTCATGCCTAAATATGAATGCACATGAAAAAGATCTTAGTCTCCTCTTCCTCTTTCAATGTTATGCTGCATAGATTGAAAATAATGGACCAATGAATTATGTGATTGCTGAGAAACTCTCTACAAAATTTCTCCATCTGTATATCTATTTGATAAATACATTAATAAGCTGACATGAGATTGCTCAATTTTATGACATATGTTTTGAATTTTGAAAAGGGAATTAAGGCACAGAAGAGAATAATCAACTGGAAAAATGAAGGGAATGAGAAATAAAGAGAGACAGTATGTCAGGCACATTGATATTTTTATTGGGTAGACTGGTAATAGAATAAAATTTACAAGCACATAGCAATCTTTGTAGAGATTGAAGTAGTTGGAAAGCCTGACAATAGTAGTCATTGTTTGTAACATACACCTATCAGGCAAGCAATTCGAAATGGACGTACAATCTTTCGCCCATGTCCAGGTACCATCCGCATAGCTCTAACCTGGGATCCTGTACCTGATGATGGGGATGCTATAGTATCGGGCTACAAGGTGTTGGTCAATGGAGAGCAGTATGGATTCGTCCTGCATTCGCAAGTCTATGAAACAGAGATAAAGGTAGGTACATGTACAAGCAAACTTCTATGCATAAAGAGTACAGTATACAGCTGGAGGAGCAATCGTATCAGCCATAGAAGTAGCTAAGTTCATGACAGCAATACTAGAACTTAATGTTATTCATTCAAAATGTATCATAAATAAGGAGTATGTAGTATTAGCTTATGGAATATATGGAATATATGGAAAATAATCTTGAATCTTGAATCTTGAATGATACTAGTGGTAGTATTTGTCGTAGTATTGATACTAGAAGAAGTGAATCTTATTTATTTAGAATTGATTATGCAGATGGAATAGCAGTTTAAGCCATTGGGAAAACATTATTAAATGTAGGAGTAACACATTCTTTACAATAATACTAGCAAAAGAATAAATGATAGTCATCATATATTTAAACTTGAGAATAGTTTGATGTACTCTAGAGTTCTTATGCTGGGTTTAAATGAAAGAAAATGATGATTTTTAAGTTGCTTTTTTTGTTATTGGGAGTATTAAGCAAAAATTAGTGAACATAAGTCAGCAGTGTTCTTTGATAACCTAATGATAATGTGCTTCTTTTCTATTTCATGTGTTGTCCTAACCCTTTTAACTTCCATTGAAAACACATGGATTTTAACCATCATAACAATATAATTTTTATTTATTCAGTTAAGTGCCTACAATGGTATCCATAGTGTCAACCTGGTTGCCATGACAGATCATCCTGTTGGACACAGTGACCTGTCGAAGGTCATCACCGTGGATACCAGCCCGTACCGTCCATTTGTTGCATACTGTCTCAACAGTGTCCACAAGCAAAGAGTCAAGTAAGTACTGTTCTAGCTGTTATAGCTATGCTTTGTAACCCATGTTGGCATTAGGAATATGTTACATTAATATGCCTCATATGATTCAGGTAGAGGCAATTGAATTAGAGTTCTGCTTCATTTTTGTAAACATTGCTTTATAATGCTGTATCATTCAATACCTTCTGGTACATTTTTGTATTCAAAATGATTTCTAAATATACTGTACAACTGCTTTGAAATACATCTGAAAGACCTCTTTCATATTTCCAGTATATTCGAAACAGTAGTTTGTTGTGAAAAAAAGATTGTGAAACACTTCTGCATTGAAATTCTTTCCTCCCAGGTGGTCATTGTGCATGTGTACTACATGCATGCACCTAGACTAACCATGCTCCTCAGGAAGTGGAGATGGTGCACACACTGTAGGCCTAATATGAATTCAAGGGTCATAATACTGATCATTGTGAAGTGCTCTTTCAGTAATTATCAATGTGAAAACATGACACGAAAGGCATTTGTTATGAATATCTTGACTATCAATATTCTCAGCATCCTACAAATATCTATCTTGTTGTTTGAAATCAGGTACCCCAATCCAGGATGCTGCTCGTTCCAGGAAACACTCCACCCCGAGACCCACCCAGACTTCTCTCACCTTCCTAGCCTGCATCAGCACCTTCCAACCAGGCGCATCCCTGCACCTTCCGTCACAGTGTTTGACCAGAGCCAGGGCACCTACCGGCTCCTGGTACCCTCCAAGCTGTCTAACAAGAAGCCCATTGTCATTCTGTTCTGGACACACTGGTAAGAATGGGAAATAGGTTGACATCAAGCTCTTGTTGCAGTGGTGGACGTAGGAATCTATGTTATAAAGGGGGACGGAACATCTGTATGAGTGGATACAGAATGTAGTCACACCACATATGCTCTTGGCTTTTTTTTCCTGTCAAAGATACATGGTTAGGTTGGGGCTGCACTGGCATTTAAGGTTTGGTTTAGTATTAGGGTTAGGACTTGGTTACTGTTAGCTGCATTGTTGGTCTAGAGTTGAATTGTGGAATTTGGCAAATTTTGATAAGTGACCATGGAGCATGTGTCATAGAACTCTGAATGTAAATCTATACTTGGGATACGTACACATACCCCAACCTATAACTGATGGCCACTTGTTGTGCACCATGAAGAACAGGATCTTAAACGTCCGTGTGGGGGACTAAAAACTGTGAATAACATATGGTGGTGGTTGTGATTTTACCTGACTGCTAAGATTGTAAGTAAGCAACCAGACGGCCAACGCCTTTAGGTCCTCTCCGAGGGACCTGGTAATGAAGATTAATGCCTTACCAAAGGGCACTGACGCATCGCCTTGGTTTCGAACCCAGGTCACCGGATTACGAGACCACTGCTCTACCGACTGAGATATCGCGCCTCCTCATATCCATTTATATTGCATTTAAAAAAACATTTACTGTGTTACTGGTTATTATTCAATATGAAGAGTTACATCATCTGCATTGAAATCTATGGTGGCCAAAATGTGTATATTTATTATCGTTTATTTTTGATTACTCTCATCCTAGGTGTTTGGCATCACAAGCTATAATGGCACACTTTGTGAATTATGCCAAAAAGAGATCGAACAAGGTAAGGTGTACTCTCTTTATTTCCAGTAATACAATGATGTCAATCTATATTACAAGAAAATCATACTTGTATGTATGCAAGTATTTTCAATAGGTGGAATATTCTTTAATTGATCTAGAAAATACTCATATTGAATTGGAATGTTTAAGTGTCTTCTCTTTTTTTTAAAGATCATTATTTGATACCAAATGTTATTGTTTGCTTTATCTTGTGCCATGAATGTCTCATATGGGGTATTTGAATAAGCTTTTGATTAATGGGTCAGTTGGCAATATGTGATGCATTCATGAAAATGTACTGCTTTTCTTTTTAACCACTGACATCCTTCAAATGATATGAAATCTAATTGTGTTATAAAACCTGCCTCATTCCCGACAGCTGGTGTGTGTTGGTATGTGTTGTGAGAGTGGAGAGGACACAGACACTCATCGTGATACCATGACTAGATTCCTTACTGACCGAGGCTGGACGGGAGACGGGTCACTTCAGCATTGCTGTTGCTGCTCTGAGGTCGAGGCAGATGGAACCAAGATGGTCGCAAATAGATCACTCAACACCGGCCACTCACTTGTACAGTTTGGTAAGTCATATAGTAACAATCATGTGCTTTATGTTGAATTGGATCCGGGCTTTACTTTGTTAGATATATAGTGTTAAGAGTGCTGTTGGGATACTGTGAGGATTAAGTTTAGTGTAGTGTTTAGTCATGGGATAAATGTAGGAATAAAAAAGACAGTGTAGATATTTGTGATCAATAATTGGAATGTTGCAATCCTAAAGAGATAAAATGTTATCTACACTAATACACTAATTTGGTCATATATTTGCTTTTTTGACACCTATATCACTTGTGACTTTGAATAATATTCTATCTGTTTTGTACAAAGACATGTACCATAGTCGATGCTTATTTCACATTGCTAGGCACGGGCATGTATCAAAGTTCTAGTTTCTTCTGATGGCTTCACACATATCAATGAGACAACATTCAATCATATGCTTTGCTTCTTGATTTTGACTTCCAATGTAGCTACTGAGAAGAAGAGCTCCGATGCCTTATCAGCGGTGAGTGATCATGTTCCAGAGTTATTTGGTGTCATGGCCGTCCCAACGGTCATTGTAATCCACCCTGAAGGTATGTTGTATTTTAACTCTACTTGTCTCAATTCTTAATAGTTCCACCTTTTTTAAATATTTCTTGTTTCTCTAGCTGTATTGCGATGATTAGGTATTTCATAATGTATTAGATGATACATTAATGCATGTACAGTATATGAAAATACAGTGCCATGGTTATTCAGCTATTTCACTTTTAATCCTGAGGCCAGGGATTCAAAAATTCTTGCTCGATAAATTGTCCTTAGACAAGGCATTTTATCTAATGTTATTAGGATTTATTTCTTATCATGCAATTTGATAACTTAGCATAAGCTAAAGCTAGTGTAATAATCTTAAGAGCGCATATGTTGTTCCATGATGTCATACGCAATCTACGTAGAAGCAGAGCTTGGGTAATATTTGGAATGCCTGAGCACCTTGCGTAGTGGATATGTGCCCTATGAAAATATACAATATTTCTATTACTTATTAAGATCAAACCATATTTTTGTTTTTATTATCATATCTATATTGTGTCAGGTTACTTAGGATGGAAGAGTTGCTTTGCGGTGACAGACCGATCTGCATTTATCTCTGCTCTCGACTCTGGGATCATCAACATGCTGAGATCTAACCCAACCTACTTCACCTCCCTGACCTTGTCAGAATCGGCCAGTTTCTCAGGTAAGGAAAGGATAAACATGATAATCATTTAAGGTGCCATCTATCTGCTTGAAGTTCAATTCCAAGATCTAAATATTGACACTAGCTAACAAAACTTAATAATAATATTAATAATAGTGGAGCCTTATATAGCGCTCATGTCTGGCACATTGCCACTCCTGGCACTCAATTATTACCCTGGCTTTAGCATGGTTGCCATTGCAGCGCTTGACCATTTTTAAGGAACTAATTCCTGCCCGGTACCCATTTACCTCACCTTGGCAGAGTGTGGCATATGTTGATTTGTGTCTTGCCAAAGGCCATTAGTGCTGCAACAGGGATTTGAACCCTGTACCTTGTGGTTCACAGTCCGGAGACTTATCTACTGGATCACAACACCTCTGTTACTCAGATCCACAACAGTTTCTCAGCCTCCAATTTATATTGCCATTTCAAATGAGAGGAGTTTAAAGAAGTTTGACGACTACTACCTCGACAACTACATATACAGAGAATTATCCCCCAAATATACATTTGGAATAATTTTCCTAGGATTATTTGGCCTGGGCTACATCTCCAAAAGGTAGTAGTCCAGGGGGTACATTTTGTTGTCCTAGATTTTTTTTCTTCTGTTTGTTAAAATATCATTAGCACTTGATCATTTTAATTATCCTAGCATTAGAGTGATGACAGACTTTTATTCTGATTTGCCATAGATACTACCTCGCAGGAGAGTCCACGACCACCAACTCCTGGCAGTCCACATATCAAGAAACAAGGATCAGCGTGGAATGGGGAGCCGGGAGCCAGGCCTGTATCTGGGACAGCAAGCGATGGCAGATTCGGGTTGGGGTCCGCCAAACCCAGGACCCCAACCATCGTCAGTCCTCAGCTGAGGCACTTTGTCCTGAAGAAGAAACAGAAGCAAGAACCTGAGCAGAAGAATTTGATCAGTATTGACACAAGACCATACTCGGCCAACGTTAAGACAGGCAAGGACAAAGTCAGACCCAATTCATCTGTGACTATCTAAGACCTGAACCTGAAGCACGCTGTCCTGCAAAAGAAGCTGAGATCTACTACTTTATCAGTATTGACATGAGACCTTACTCGGCAAAGCAGGAATGGAAAGACACCAAATTCATCTGTGACAAGCCAAGACCCCAAGCTGGCACGCATTGTCTTGCAGAAGAAGCCCAAACTGGTTAGTATTGACACAAGACCTTACTAAGCCAACTTTAGGACAGACAATTTAAAACAATTTCAGACCTAATTCCTCTGTAACGATCGAAGCCCCCATAGTGAGGCATTTTGTCTTGCAGAAGTAGGCCTTGATCAATATTGACACCTAATCTAATTTAGACAACTTGAAAACAGGCAAAGAAAGAGATCAGGCTCTCTTACTCGAGATTTCTTTTGTATGTATAATGGTAGCTACAGCTTACTAAACAGGGTCAGAGAGTATCAGGCTGATGTAGTACATGTGTACATGCACATCTTGAAAATACTTTTTAATATTTAGAAATGAAATTTAAAACAAATATAAGTCTAATACAGTAAAACTGATTTAGTGACCACCTGTATAGAATGACAATCTTTCAATAAAAAACATAATGTTTGTTTCCATTGTGCAGAGTTATTCAGTCAAATCTTTATTGCACATAAAAGCCACCTGGTCATAAAGACTCCTTTACTTGTCTGCACTGAGTGGTCTTTATATACAGGTTTGACTTTACTCTTATGATACAACTTTTTAGAGAGGCTGCATTTTTTGCACTTCAAAGGATTTTATATTTTGAGCGTATGTCCTACGGCAGTGGAGGACATACCCTTATACATGTATGCATATCAAATATTCTTGCTTCTATGTTTTGATATGTCATGTAACAATAAGGCTTATTAAATACATAATGGATGCTCAGGTTTAAATGAATTTGATGTGATTGATGCAAGTCTTGAAATATCAGGTTATGTGTTTAGTTCTCTCTTCTTTTTATACAAATTTTAAAATGTTTAAATTAATGAATCAAAATGATTAATATGCAAAGATTGTATATATTTTTAGTGAAGATGGCTCCCAGCTGATAAACAGTCTTTTGATAAATATATTCTATATTTAATGATGTAACATTTAACATTGGATGTTTGGGTTATCTTTTAGTTGAGACTGAAATCTTGACCTGAATTACCGAATTGGAGACCTGAAGATCACAAGATTTAATTACAAATCATTTGTCAGTTTATTGTTAAAAACAAATGTAATTGTTATGGTAACATGGTTATAAATATGTGTGTGGTGTATACATGTATATAAATATATATATTCTTTTTTTTGGGGGGGGGGGGGTGGTGAGGGTAATTAAGATTACAATGGATACAAGAAGTTAGCTTTTAAATGGTACTACAAGTGTCTCCCATATTAAATATCAGTCCATGATAGACCTCAGCTAAAGCTACATTTATATTTGATAACGTCATAGGCTTGATTTAGCAGAAGTGGAATTGTGTGTTCACATTATTTTGTAAATTCTATGTCAAAATAATGTATACAGTTCTGTTTTGGTATAGTCATCTTGTGAGTTGGACAATCAATGCAAGATTTTTGTAATACAAACCTCAATCAGGCATGCAGTATTCTTGAACATATATTTTACATTTTAATAAATCAAAATGTGTTTAAAATCCTGAAATGATGAGATTATGATATTAACTTGTTTAGATATTTGACTCTTAAGACTGTACTGATGTGTTGTTATCTCGTTCTGTCTCTGCATGAAACAATTAATGATAAAGTTTTTTACCTACAAGTTCTTAGAAGAAGTATATGTGTGTATGGTGTTGAAATAGTACAATTACAAGATCTGAAATAAATTATATATTTGTTGAAAATGGAATTGAAGTTAGGCAGGTTTTGTAAAGTGTATATGAAAAGAGTTAATAATTTTTATCAAGGGCCTGCATCAATAAATGATGTGATTGACTAAATATATTATTATATGTTGATGTGTTCTTCAAATGTGTGTACACTTGTGAGATAGAGCTGGCTGTTACAACTTGTGATTGTATTTAATGTAAAGTATTAGATTGTTACATTTCAAGACATGTAACATTTTGTAACCAAAGTTTAAGTGATATTGTTTATTTTTATTGGAACAGATCTGGTCCACAAATTTCATATGCAAGTATATTTTTGTGTGAAAAATAATCAATCATATATACACAAATCTTGTAAAAAAAGAAATTTTGAGTAGATCTTATAGGGATAATTTTCATGTGTTTATGATTGTTTTAAAGTAATCCATTAAATGTAATTTGTTTGTAGATTATGATGATGGACAAAGAATTTGTATTCTCTAAGATATCAAAGTATCATGAAATCAAGCATTTCATGTTTTTTTAAATGTTTCAGCAATCTTGTCTTAAAGACCTATCTGTGCCAAAGACGGAACATAGAAAAAGTAGGTTAACTACTTTATCAAAGTGACGTATACAATTTATGTTCTTCTTCTTTGTTTACTTATGTATTCATTTTGAATAGTGTGAACCTGGGCCATATTATAACATTCCAATAGTCCCATTGTAGAGGTTTATAGGTGACCAATCAAACTAAAATGTTTTTGCTGTGCTTGTCTGGCTTAATTTCTATGCTGATATCCTATCATAGGTCGAGAGCCAGAAGGTCATTAACTCTGAGAAAAGTCATAGGAGTTAACACAAATTTGGCTCTCAGCAGATCAACACTTTTCATTTTGTCAGCTGTCTATATTAAATCTATGAAGAGGTATTGCATGCAAGTTTAGATACAGTATAAACTTTGACCAGGTTTTAAGGTGACATATGTCACATAGGTCTATAGATTTTGTATCTGGGTATGGTAAATCGTCATATTTGCATGCCTGTTATTCATTTCCATTTGCCCTTTGAATATGAGTTGTGGATTTATAGATGTGCATTTATAAACATTAAGTGAAGGACATATCTTAATTACAAATTACATGTATATGAAGGTAGGTGTTAAGCTTTTTAGAACGAAAAAAGCAGAAGGATCCATTATGTTCAAATATTTTGATTGTTTGTTTTATTTTTATGCACATGTATATGTACATTCAGCCTACACAAACATGTGTTTTCGCCTATGTGTTGTACTTCTACCGGTATTAGAAGATTGGACACCTTGAATTTTTTTTTAAAGAAAGATTTGTTGTGAATTTGTTTAGTTGCTTGCCAATTTTTGTACAGGTATCAGTACAATCTTTCATAACATTCCATTTCATGTTAGTATTATTTATACCTGTCATTTATAAAAAGACATCAGCCAATGCTATTTAAAGATGACATTGGTAGATGTGACATTCTTTTGTACAAAAGAGGGTTGAAAAAATTAATTAACCCATAGCAGTTGTGTCTCTTTCTAGTTATGTTTTTGCAACACCTTTTGATCAAGAATGCTAAGAATACACATACATGAGCAGAGAGAACAAAAATCATTAAAAAAAATTAGTCTATGTCCAATGCAGTACATTAAAAGCGATTTAATTGTAACTAATTAAATATATTTTCTTTCACATTTGGTCATTTCATAAACATTTAAACAATTTCAAACTATGAAGAAGTGGGAAAGAATACATTTCTACTAATTTGAGGAGAGAAAATTGATTAATTTAGAGAATAAAACACTGAACTGCTATATGTTAACACACTTCTTAAAAATCTTACATGCCACTAATTGAAGTAAATCATAAAGTTATGTCCCATTTAGAATCGGTGTACTCATTTGGATATTACTATATTTGTTAGTATTTGTATAGCTGCAGTTCTATCTGAAAATAAAGATATTGGAGCCTGAAGTTGAATTATTTGACTGATATCGCTGTGAACAATCAAATGTTCTAATACTCTCCAGCATAGTGTATCTGGAAAGAAAAACACAATATTGATGACTTCTGGCCAGAAGCAGGTATTTTTTTCCTTTTTTTTCATAGAGCTTTCTGGAACCTAATCAGTGAAAATTGTATGCAATATAAAAAGCTACAATATTTGTTTAACTTGATTGCAATTCATCCTTTTTAAAGGCTTGTTCAGATATGGTGTTTTTTTTTAAACCTGTAAAATGATTGGCAGTACGTTGCACTCAACAAAAAAGACTTTTCACTGAGCTCTCTAGGTGTACAAGATTTTAAAATGTGAAGTGTATTGCACTTTATTTTAAAACCTCCTCGGTTTTGTTTGCGTCATGTCTGAACGAGCCTTAGGGAATTCAGGATGATGAATATGACATGAATTTATGATTTCTGTTTTCTTTAAATGTATTTTGTAATGTTTTGTAGAAAAAAAGTTTTCTTTCTGTTACAAGTTTTTACCATATTTGTAATTATATTTTCATGTATTATATTTTAACTCTTGTTTTTAGCAACAAAGCCTTGAAGAATAGATATTTATTTGCGTAGATTCTAAATGTTTGAATAGTTGAAGAATAAAGCACACTTTTGACATACAATTTTTTACTGGCTTGTCTATTAGTAATATTTTATCCTTGTCTGATACATGCAACTTGTAAAATGATGAAGTGTGAATCATATTGATCATTGAGAATGAGATGGAATACGGCCTCATTTAGGGAGATTTTCCTTTTCCCCAAAAGTATCATCTCCATTTTATCATTTTGTTGTAATGAAGAATATCATATCTCAGGGGTCACTATATTTGTATACCGGTAGCCATGTTTTTTTGTTGGGTTTTTTTAACCTCTAATTTTTGTTTTAAAGGGTGGGGGCCTCATGCAGCTATTGCCCCCCCCCCCCCAACAAAAATCTATAACTATGCGTGCTCATAGTAGACATTATATCCGACATAATTATGTATAAATGCCCGACAATACCGGGAATATGTTAACCAAATAAGTGGGGGTATAAAATCACAGTCTTGGGGGAGCTATTTATACAGCTAGGGGACAGCGCTTTGCTGCTCCCCCTGCTTCCCTGTTGTCTACCTGGTTTATATGATTCCATGATACAAATATAAGGATGGATTCAACTATTAATTAAAGTCCATGCTATAGAGGGTGGTTGAGGGCTTTGAAAACTTGACTGTACGTTAGCAATAGAGAATAGACGGAATTGATTGATTGATGGTGTTAGTTGATTCTGTATGAATATAGCCTTAATATAAATGCTGAGTATGCAGCATAGATGAAAAATGTGACCATCTTATTACAATCAAAGGCCTACATAATTATATGCGGTAAATAATTCTTATTACTTAACCCATTGAGTTGAATTGACTATAGATGTAATTGATGCAAGGAATGTCCCACCGGAGAAGCCTACAAGTTTTTTTTTTAAACCTGGCAAGCCGATGGGGAGACGTACGACTTTAATTTATTAAAATTAACTTAATAGTTCATAGTTCATTTTATTTCTTCTTTCACAAAAATGTGTACATAGGATTTCAAAAAAAGTAACAGGAACAGCAGATTATCAATAAAACAAACATAATTTGAAGTGCAATAGTAATATTCAACTTACAACTCTTGTTATAGCTAAAGAAATTCTATAAAAAGTTACTTATGTAAGATCATGTTCTGTATACATAAACGAAAGAGGAGACCTTATAGAAGCTGGGCTTGTTAGAGCAAGGTCCCCAAACAGAATATAATACCTGAATGCCTTAATTACTTTGAAATAAAAAATACATTTACAATTACACATGGGAAATATTTACAAAAGAGATATAATTGATGTATATATGAAAAGGAGAAAATGGGAAGATATATACAAAAGGATGTAGAGCGAAAGCGCAAAACAGAACGAAACAAGTTGATAAGGAAGAAAGTTATATGCAGGGGAAATGGTGATGGGGAAGAAATAGAAGAGAGAGAGAGAGCCGGAGAGAGAAAAGAAAAAAAAAGTAGAGCAAAATAGAAGAAAGCGAGTTTGCAAATATATGAAGAAATATTGGTAAGGTAAGCTAAGGGCCAGTCTGGAAAAGAGGGGGGGGGGGGGGGAGACAATGATGCAAGAAAAAAAAGTAATTACATAATTATATCATATGTGATGACATAGTTTTTACATTATACTTTCATCATAAAATACTAAATCAAGTCAATTAAATAAACGTATTTCCACACTTTATTGTATCATTTGTGACGAATACAATATTCCTATGTGTGATTTTTTTGTTCTGGCTCTTCAAAATATAACAGAAATATATAGATCCAAACTCTTTCCTGATAGAACACTGAAAAGTATGAACATAGATATGGTGCGATAATACCGTAATCATATCTTTCGCTGCTACTCTAAATTACGCGACTTTGACGTGCGGTGGACAAAATCAACGAGATCAGCGCTGTATTTGTTTTACGCAGGTAGATTCTGAATCGAAATCCGTGAAAATGGACGACACATCGAGAGATGCCGAACTTGAAAACTACCTAGACGCTTTGACCGGTAAGTTACGGTACTTGGACTATGCAACGGTGTATCTAACTTTTATTTGGTACAATATAAATATGGTTTAAATTCATTTTCTAATTTCAGATTTCGTGAAAAAGCCGTCGAAAAGTATACCGTCCGTGCTGGAACAGTTGATTCAAAGGATAGCCCGCCACGGTGAACCATTGTGAGTATGCTCGCCACACGTCATGGCGCTGCGCGCTTGGATACATCTTCATCTCAGCTGGGGCCGATCTGAGACAGAAAAAATGAAACCGATTATTGAATAGGTCTAGATCTATGTATGCTGCTAAAAACACAGACAGCCTTACATTGCATTGCAACCGCAGCTTTCAAAATTACAGTAATTCCACAGTTTCAGGCTTTTCAGGCCAGGCCAGGAAGGCCAGATTAGTCGAAATTTCCAGAACAAAAAGCTCACTAAAATTGTAAAAATAAAAAAGATACTAAAAGTGATCAAAAATACCTTTTTGATGCAGAATAAGTAGTCCAAGGTCAACTTAGAAGCTCATTTGGTCGAATTTTAGGTGTTTTTTTCAGGACAATTCAGTCCTTTTTCTAAACGTGTGCAAGTACGTACGGCGGCCGAGAAGTGGAGGTATCGTGATCTTGGCTGCTGTACTCCTGTAGTGCTGTAATCCGTATCGTATGTATGAAGGGGTGACCAAAGTTCGCGGACATTTTAAAACATATTACAAAATGTCATATTTGATCTATGATTTCTCATATTCTACACAAATTTATTTAGACATCTAGACTATTTCAATTATTACCTAATGGACGGCAAAGTTTTTTTTACTACAAATTTGTTCAAATAGAAAATTCATCGTCAAATGATGTCAGAGACAGAGATATCGCGATCTAAAAATTTGATGTCCGATCATGCATGCGCACTGCATAAAAAAAAAGTCATAAAAACAATGAGACCTAAGTTCACGCACTGGGGTTTACAGTTGATTTATCAAAAAAAGCGATCTATCAAAAATAAGGTAATAATTTATCATAATTTGCAAGACAAGATATCATACAATCAGTTGGTACCACTTTTTACTTCAATTTTGAGGAAATCTGCTCTCAAATTGAAGATTTTCAGACCCTTATCGGTGAGTTGATAATTTTTCGGAACGGACACAAAAGATTGCAAAATTTGCCGATCTTTTGTCAATATTTTCACAATTTCATACCCAATTCCAAAGAAAATTTCGATTCTGGGTAATTTTATGTTCCTCTTTGTCTTTCCATTGGTGATATCAGATTTTCGAAATCTTACTGATTTTTCGAGATGGCAAACTTAGGTCACGCGCGAACTTTGGTCTCACGTCCATACATGAACAGCAGCCGTACGTACACAAGGTTAGAAAAAAATTACATTGTCCTGAAAAAAAAAACACCTACAATTCGACCAAATGAGCTTCAATGTTTCCCTTGGTCCTTGGACAAGTTATTCTGCATCAAGAAGGTATTTTTTTATTCATTTTAATTTTTAGTCTAGATTTTGAGTCGGACTTCTGGAAGTTTTGATTAATCTGGGCAGAAATTGTAGATTTACAAAATTTACTCTTGATGTTAGACTTTTACATTAGCATTTATTTTGTTTGCTTGATTGCGCTATCATAAAACTAAAACGACCTAATTGTAACACTTAGACTATATTGTGAGTTGTGACAAGATAAAATCTTTTCTTACAACAGAAAAATCAAACTGAATTTGTCAGCTGTCGAGTTTACTTGACGGTAATTTTCCCTGGTTATTGTCTATTTAGTAAGATGGAGTTGTGTGTCCGGACGCTCAACAAAAATGAACCCTTCTCTTTTAACAAAACATGCCTGTCAAAATGTAATTATTTGTAGAGACGAGTCTAGGGAGATTTACCAATCATAGACTTAGAGCATTGCGCATGTCTCCTTCCGCATGTTTCACAGCACAGGTTCTTTTTTTTCGTACATGTAAATTAAACGAATAGAAAAGAGAAAAGGGGGAGATTTATGATGAGAATCATCATTCATTGATCAAAACCGGAATAGTTCACATGTATCCTCTATTATCTCTTTAGGTTTCCATGGTTCAAGTTGAAGCCATTGATTGTGATGAAGCTGGAGAATGTGATAGAGGAGTACATAGAGTATAATCCACATGAGGAGGTCCCTATACTACCCAACGTTGAGAATGTACGTTTTGACGACATGCGGGAGCGTCTTCTCAAGGCACTTGAGTCATTCAACAGGTAGGTCTCCGCATCCATTACTGGACATTGTAGATTTTTTTGCTGTGGATGAATGGTGAATGAATTCAAATTGCTGAAAAAATGCATCTGGGGAAAAAATCAGAAGAGGTGAAAAGATGATAATTCAGCCTTCTTTTGATGTGAAATTTCCAATATTTTTTAATGATGCTCGTTTGATTTTCCAGAGATGTATTTCTTTCTGATTTTTTTATTTAATAGAATAACTGCCAGTAAAGCTACGGTCACAAAGGTTTGTACGAATCTCTGTTTTTCCATTGTCTGAAAATCGTTCGTACAGCGTTCGTAGCGGTTCGTAATGGCATTTGTGACCGAGGCTTTACACGTTTGACTGGTTTTGTGACATACATTGAGCCCAACAATAATAATAATAAATTTATAATAATATAGAAATAGAATATTAAGGAGCGCTAAAAATGATAACTACCGTAGCACTTACAAATACAAATATAAGAAAAGAGGACAACAATTTACAGTCTCACTGGAAGTAGATCACATAGATCACTGGGGAAAAGGTAAGTTTTAAGGGTTCTATTGACGGTGGCAAGACAGGTAATTTCCCTTATGGAAAGGGGATGTTGTTCCAAGTCTTTGATGCGCCTAATGCCAAATTATATTCAGCTGCTGAGAGTCTAGATTTGGGAATGAATGATCAGTTTATATGTGTTGGTTATTGTGCGAAGATTACAAAATAGTGTATATATTTGGAGGATATTCAGGTGCCAAATGATTGAGTATTTTGAAAGCATACACACAAACTTTAAACAGAACACATTGGTATAGAGGTAACCAGTGAAGTTCCTTAAGTGCAACATGGTTTACATGAGAGGACAATGTGAACTTAGTATCAATGCATACACCAAGATCTGTAATTTTAGGGGAGAGAGGAATGAATTGACCATTTACATTAAGTCATTCATCTGATATGTGGGCCTTGCACAATTGCAAATTTTTCTATCACTAAAACATTCGTTCGAACCATGTATGAATGCAAGCATGACTAAGGTCATTCCCAACAGAGATAATTCTTAATCTATCTACATGTATATAATCAAAACCCTTTTCTTTTTCAGTGCACCATTCACAATACAGAGGCTGTGTGAACTGTTAACAGAACCTAAGAGATACTACAGACGGAGTGACAAGTTTATGCGTGGCATTGAAAAGGTGAGAAGATTTTTGGTTGCTCATTCAAAAAAAAAACAAGGGAATGAGAAAATTTGTTCATCATATTCGAAAAGACCATCTCACGATGACAAAGGACATACACCAAGGCAACAAGAAATGTGTTTTGGAAAATGATTCTTTAACATAACTGCTTCAGATACCCAAATTGATATATTCTACTATGTAGTCTCAGGTAGAATTTTTTTAGTTTAACATTATTTGTAAATTTCTCTATGCATTCATGTAGAACGTTCAAGTGGTGAGCACGATAACACCGTCAGGAAAGCGCATCACATCCCTGTTTGACCTGCAGAAAAGCCCACCAATGATGAATGGCATAGTGCCTGACCCTGAGGCTTCACCATCGAGCGACAACAATGGATTTGTGCGGCCAGACTCTGATGCATTCACAAGTAGCCCCAGTAGCAGTAGTCGGGTGGATGCCATGAATGGTGTCAGTCGTCCATACTACAATAGTGACACTATGGACGCACCTCTCCAGTTTGCGTACCCCCTAGGTCAAAGCATGACCTCACCTGCGACCTCTATGCCAAGTTCAGATTCAAGTGTGAGGACTGACCTCAATAGACTCAACGGTACGCACTCAAAACCCCATGAGGCCAAAGCCAAAGAGACCTCTGAAGCATTGCCTGGTGTCTCCTCACAAGACTCTGCGGAGTCTGATAACACCAGGTTATGTGAAGAAAGAACGTTAGGGGAGGATAATGTAGATAATGACACAGCCAGCGTTGTATCGTCGAGTGATGCAGAAAGCTTTGTGGGTGACAGTCACAGAGATGAGGTTGAAGATGAAATGGAGGTTGATGTCGCTTCGTCGGGTGATGCGGGGTCTCAGAGAGATAGAGAAATGGAAGAAGTTCCTGCTCCTCCTCAGTCTGAGCAAGGAAAGGATGGAAGCGGGGATGTTTCTACAAGCGAGTCTAGGCAGGCTTCAACGAGCGAGTCCAGGCAGGCTTCAGGAGAGTCGACCAGAGATGCAGAGGAAACTGGAAAAGCAGACAGCAGTGAAGGTAAAGCAACAGTTAGAAAACTTTCATAAACACTAGATTACATAATTTCTTAATTATAGATAATGAGAGAATTAGATGTCAAGTATCAAGTATCCAAAACAATCTAGTAAGTTTTGTTGTGATGGAAGCAAACACAAAACCTTACACACTCACTTTCAAAAGTTTTAGAATTGTGTTGATAATTGCCTTTTAAATATTAGTTTGCAATCATAGTATGTGTTTGAATTTTCTAAAACCTGTATTTGGTTCCCACCCTACCCCACTCCTCTTCTTTTTTCCCCTTAATAAATGAACACAAATAAACAACATCACTGCAGTTGATTTAGTGTGAAAATTGAATCCACTATAAATACATGCAAGTGAAGTGAACAATTCATTCACTTCACAAATTGGCATACGTGTATCGCAGTGTAAAGCTAGCCCTGTGTTTCAACTGGGAAACAGAGAAGTTACGACAGTGCTTTATCTGGTGCCTGTTCGATTTTAAAAATGTATTTAATATTGATGCAGAAATACACTTGTGTGTTGTGTTGATAAAATCTTGCATTTGGCATTCCAAAGAATAATTGTGAGGTAATGTCTCCTTATTCTGCTTTCCTGTTCTTGACTTTGAAGTTTGAACAAGACTTAAAGTGCAGCAGCATATTTGTAAGCTTTGTATATCTGCATCCCTGATGTCAATATAAAACTAATTGATACATCCTGATACATGTAAACTTCTCCACTAATTTATTGCCAATTTGAGGGCTATATTTTTATTTCATGTCATCGGACAAAGAAAGTAATAACGAATGTGGTTAATTCTCAATTCTTTATCAAAGAGATAGTAGAAGAGAAATGGGTGAATCTAAGATAAAAGTTGGTGCAACTTACAGGTCCTTCCAATCTCCCACAATAGCATATTCAGTGGGGGGGGGGGGGGGGGGGGGGGAGTAGTACTTGTATTTTTACCTGTTACAAACTGGCAAGTTTTTTTCTCATCAAATATATTGCCTGCATCCATTGCATGCTGGATAGTGGAATAATGCAAAGAATTTATAAACTGAAGGAAAAATTCCTAGGTGTTACCCGTGATCAGAATGCTTTTTTATATTTGATGTAAGTGACATGTATTTAAATTGTCCAAACAAATCTTAGTTATCAAATTTTAGTATGACAATTCCCTTCACCAAAAATGCATTTTCCCAGAATACCACCTTTAGCCCTATGTTTCATACAAATTCTATTTTATTTACATTAATCTCATTTTTTTTCTCAAGCCATGTTAATTTTCCCCCTTTATCATTAGCATTCCAGCCAGAGTTTTTAAAAATTAGGACTACTGGTAGTATTATGTAGCTGTGGCATCATAGTGTATGATGAGATATTCAATGAGATGAATTCTTTATTGATGACCTCAATCAAAACTTTCAGTATTTCATTATAATGCTCATGTAAATGTACACTTTCCTCAAAGTTACAATTGCCATAGTATACATGTACATGTACATGACCATACTTCCATGAGAAGAAAAACACACAGATAAATTCAGTGTTTTGAAAGCAAAATGGACTGTTAGAAACAGGAATTCTGAAATGAAAATCCCTAAATAAAGGAGAATGGAGAATAAATAAGATATGCGGCATGATATTTCACCAAGTATGAAAAAGGAGACATTTTAGTGCTCCGTATTTCTGACCTGCACAAGCCAAGTTTCGGGTACTTGAAAAGTCTATGCAAAATCTCTAGTGTTTTCCCACTCATAGACTTTGAATTGTTGGGTGAGGGGGGGGGGGGGGGGGGAATGAATCTGAAACTGAACTCTGTTCATCACTGTGTGGGTCTGGTTTATGAACTGAAACGACTCAAACGTAATTAGTACATGAAAGGTACATCCAGTTGATACTTATTTTGTGTCCTTCATATGACTAGCTACTTCAGCAAGCACACCAATGGAGTGCGGGGAAGAACTCTCCACCAACTCTGAGGCTGCATCGAGCGAAAAACAAGGCAGCGAGGAGTTGGAAGATGGGTCAGACCAAAGGGACACCAATGCTTCATCAGCAGCAGCCAGTCCAGAAGAGGGTCAACCTGAAGCAGACGTAGGTGCAGCAGGTGATGCAGGACCAGGGGATTCACTGCCTGGTGATGCAGGACCGGCAGACTCAAGCAATGATGCAAAGAGCACTCCTGTGGAAGCTGCAGAGGAGAATGCAGGAGGATCATCTGAAGGTAAGATTTGTTTTATGTAATCTTCATTCTATATAATGAATACTTCATTTATGTCTCTAATGTACTCATGCATCAAAAATTATATTCATCTGCATCTGGCTGTTAAACCTTTGATTTCTTGAAGAGAGCCAAGAACATTCACTAACTGGATTATTTCCTGACTTGACATCTTCTCTTTTTAATTAACTGTGCAATTTACATGTAATTCACGAAAAAACAACTGACAAGGGACCACTCGTTTGGTAATATCATAGCTTTTGAAAATATGTATGTAATCTGCTCAATTTACTCAACTAAACTCCTGATGCATATGCCTTCAAGCCTGCTTCTTTACAGTACACAAATTATTAATTTATTGTTCTCTAAATGCAAATAAAGATTCTTTTTATCAATCAAACAATAAACAACAACAAAATTGGGAACACTAATTGTTCTATTTTATTTGAAATTCAGCTGACTCCAAAGCCAGTTCTCCCGAAACTCCTGCTGCATCTTTAGAATCTTCACCAACCCTGGATCGGATGGCAGCAGTGGAATCCTCTGCAGACGCTGCCGCCATGACCCCATCAACTCAACCCTCAACAGACGGTGTGACCGACTCTACCCCTACAGACTCCACATCCTCATCAGACAATCAGAGTAGAGGATCACCTCCAGTTGCCACCGACGACGGTGATGCTGCTAGCAGTGGAGACATAGCCAATAGTGAAGTGTGTGATGAAGAATCCCAAAGTGCAGAAGGTGTGTCAACCCAAAGTTGATGAAATCACCTAATTTACCTTTATATTTTTCAGAAAACATGAACTCAAGTAGAATTCCTTTGACACAACCGAGACCAAGTTTTATGACAGTGTCGGGAGGGTCTTTTTCGTCTTAGATGACTCAGCAGCATAAAGGCCTTTACCAAAATAGAAATTCCATGCTGTTATAAAGATTAACATCTAATGCAATTCCTACAGGTGTTAAATACAAATTTGTGAATTTCAGATTGGAGTCATTATATATATATTATGTAAAGTGTTTTTTCTTGTCACATCCCAATTGTATTATTTCTTGATTTTTTTAATAATTTGTTTGTATATGTGTAAAATTTCATGTCATTGATGCAAATTTTAGGAATCCATAATTGTCCCTGTATCTTCAATCTGCCTGGCGACATGTAATGTTTTAATTCATTTGTGATTGTATTCATGAAACCAGTTCTTCATATTTTTCAGAGACTATTATGTCAGCTTATGAGACCTGTGTGACTTGTTATCAACCCATTGCCCCTGGAACATCCCATCCCATCCCCCCTCCCCTTCTCTAGGGAAAACCGTCCATTTCCAATTTGATATATTTATTCACATATTCTTTTTTGTTTGTTTGTTTGTTTTTCCGTTTTTATGTGAATTTTTAAAGTTTACTTTCTTATGAACAAGTTAATCTAAGACAGTGCAGAAATTGAAAAGTGAAGTGTTTGTAACATTCTCCCAATGCTGCAACAAAATGTGGGATGATTATCAGTCATGCATTTTATTTTTAGGTCATTTAAAGTACATACCTTTCCTAAGCAGTTTTCATTATAGAGAGATAGTTTGTACATACTTGACCCAGGTGATGATCCTTAACAAAACATTTAGCAAATATGAACGATAATAAATTTTGTTCTCTCAAAGGGATTATAAGATTTAAGATATGTGTAAGATTTCATAATAATCTCAGGTTTGGTGTTTAGATATGTTCAACTACATGTATATGTTGATTGATGTGGAGAGACCACTTTATGCCAATGAAACTTTAAAGCCATCCTTTCATCCACAAAGCATCATTAGATTTCTTATTTTCATCATCTATTATTTTGTTTAGTACATGTACATGTATGTCAGTTTTTGTTTTGTGTAGATTTGAATTTTATCATTCCCGTAGTCTTTATGTGCATGTATCCTTTCTCTTCATGTGTAGTGTTGTGTAGTGTTCATTCAGTTGTTCTTACCATAATAATTTGTTGTTTCTTTTTATCACAATAAAAATCGCTAGTTACAGAATAGGATTCAAAATTAGATATCAGAAATAGCTACTCGCAGAAGTGCCATGTTCAAGGAAGACAGTTGATGAGATGATGATTTGTTTTTTTGTCTATTCTACCAGTATACAAGAATTATAGATAAAAACTTATTAATGTATATACTATGAACGAAAATAGACATCTATGTTTTATAAAAAGAGATGCCAAATACCCAGTAGACATTTATTTTGAATTGATAGTTTTTCTAATCAATATAAACACTTGTTTTCATGTTCCTCACTAGACAATCCCTGAGACCGATGATGTAGAGTAATAGAGCAACCTAACATAACTTTCATGGAACATAGGAGGTTGAGGGGGTGTGGTGGTATCTTGTGGGTGGGCATTGTAGTAGGAAAGCTAGATCTCTCACATTTGTATTCTTAACTGCGTCAAGTCCAAGGCAGTTTAATAAACAAACTATTTTTAAGTCTTTGCTTTCTATGTGACCTAGAATTTGTTTTCGTCAAATTCACAGAAGTAAAATTTCTTACAAGAAGGTTGAACTTTGACTTTATGCAGGGAGGTATTGTGGTATTATCAAGTAATTCAGGGCCTAAAAGTGTTCATGCAGTTGTACATGCCTGTCAGTGAAATCTGTTAACATACTGCATAGTTAACCACTTAAACAAACCACTGCAGCAAAATAAAAACCATTTACCATTCAAATAATGACAAGGGGGTTGAATGACCAGTATGCATGATATGCAGAATGATTGAAAGCAATCGAAAAGTGTCAATGAATAGTTATCTGAACTACATTGAATTTGTGATTCATCTTAGAATTAATAGTTTTGATCTAATTATAGTTAAAGCTACCCATTCTCTATGTGGCTTGTACCACCCTCTTATGACCCCCCCCCCCCCCCCCAAGGAAATGACAGGAATCTATGCAAGTCATGGCATTCTCAAACTTGTTAACTTTAATGCAATACCTATAACAAATATTTGTTGTGTTGTGAATTTTTTTTTTTAATTTGAAAACAGGTCGGTTGGCAGAACAGTCTACTTTTAAGACATATTTTGATACCTTGTGAATTTTTTTTCCCTGTATATATTTGTAACTTTGGTTCTTTTGTGATGAACTGGTATGAAATAATTCCTTGGATTAAGCATTTAATTTTCAGTGCTTTATTGAAAGGAATGGATAAATATGTAGTATTGTACTATTGTTTCCATTCATATCTGTGGACACCCTTCCTTGTATATGATTGTGTATAATATATTGAATGGCCATGAATGACTCTTGCTAGAGTAGCAGAGATTTTTAGAAACTGGAACTTGTTCATATTAAACAGAGACTTGGAAAACAATTGTACATATCTGAAATGAATTTTGTGTGCTTGTGTTATACAAGTGTACATGATGAGTCTCTAATTGATACAAACACACATAGTATTAGTTGTGAAGGATGTCTTTATTTTACTTGTAGTCAAATGATTATGATAAACGAACTGGGAATAAATCCAAGAACAATAAAGAAATATTCACTAACTAAAACATGTTTCCGTGAATTTTCACTGTAATGGTAAAGATGTTTGAGAGCAGGCAAGTACTTTGAGGTTCACTCAAATTTCTTTCTTTCTCTTTTAAATCCTCCATCTGTCTGTCTCTTTCCTGTTCCCCTCTTACTCCTTCTCTTTTTCTCTTTCGCAAGTTTATCTCCCCCTCCCTCTCCCCCTCTTTCTCTCTCTCGCTATTGTTTTCTCCATTCATCTCTCCTCTCACTTTTACACTTTCATGTGCTAAAATGTAATCTTATACTCTACTGTAATGTTATGCTGTACTGTAATGTTTTAGAGGGAAGATGGCGCTAGACCACACTAAGATACTGGCCTCGACTGGCTTCAATTTTATTCTCTCCAATATATTTGACAATTACAGCTCAATTATGTAAATGGATTTCTCATCCCTAAAAGAGCACACTGTATATAAGCTGGCCCTGACATTAGTGGTACGCGTTCGCGCACAAATCTTTAATATGTTTACTTCATGCATAACACATTACAGTAGTTTGAAAAGCGGTATTATTTTACTTTCCATTTTCCAGGATTAAATGTTTACTTCTCTAAAAATGACAATACAGCCCAAGCCTCTTTATTTTTCCTGTAAGGATATTGAAAGGGCTCGTCCTCCCACAGACAAGGAGAAAGAGTCTCTACTGTGCAAAGGAATAACACATCAAAGAAATTATACCTATTGTTGCTATGTCACGATTGCTCTTTTAACCGTCCTTCACAGTAACAAAAATATTGTTATATTTCCTTGTTTGCTTGTAAGTATTTTTTGCATGTGCTTTATATCTTTATTAATTAATTGACGTTATATGCATATTTGAATAACACAGGTAGCGGACAGGTAGCAACCTCAGACTTAAAAATTCACGTCTTCATTGACATAAATATGACCCGTTTACTAATGCATTTCAATGTACCGGTATGTGTTTATTCCTCTCCTGAACCCCTGGTTACCAACTACATATTTAATTCACTTACTATGCAAAATTGATCGGATTACTTTGCATGCATTATTTGTTGCTATGTCAGACAAACCTCCAGAACACTTAGGAGTTTTCAAGAGAAACTATTGTATAGGAAGTATCTCTCTCCAGCTTCCTCTCTTTCTCTGCCATTCTCTAGGTTTTTCTCATTCCTCAGCCCTCCTCCCCCTACTTTCTCTGTCTGTCTCTCTCTCTTGTGTTCATGATGCTATGTCCTCTAGTGTAATATTTCAGATGAAAGATAGACTTCAAATATATTTTCCTACTTCAATGACAATATAGCTCAAAAGATACTTAGACCTGGGGGTGTTTCACAAAGATCCCAAGTCAAACTTAACTCTAAGTCGGACTTAAATATTATAGAGAGCCATTTGTAGCCTTAAGATTAAATATATATAAAAGCAAAATTCAAGTATTTCAGACTTTTTAAAAATTTCACATCAAGAACATGTAATCTCCTTGATAATAAAAAATATGAATGATTCAAATCAACATTCTATGCCTTTAAAATAACTTTTACAAAAAAAAATTCAAAGATGCTAACGGCTTTCCATAATTGTTAAGTCCAACTTAGAGATAAGTTCAACTTAGGATCTTTGTGAAACACCCCCCAGATATCATACTTTGGAGACGACTGATGTTTATAGATTGTCAGACATAGCAAGCAAGCAACAATGAACACAAAGTGTATGGAATTGTGAGTACTGAAATTCAATAGCTTTATGCAGGTGAATGCAATCCTATTTAGAAAGGACTTATAGTTATAAACTATCTTCCATTCCCTTTTCCCTTCACTCCCTCTCAAGGTCTTTCTCATGGATCTCCCATTCCTCAGATATCACATACGACAATCATCTACTGTGTATGGAGACAATGCTGAAAACACATCCATATTAAATAAGGTTTTTAATACATTTTTATTTTGTTAGCAACTCCATCTTAACCTCACAATGATTTTTATTTTAGTACAAAAATATTCAGACATTTCAGCAAGACAAATTAAACATTGACGTACTATACTATAAGATGCATTATGCTATATTGGCAAATGGAAGTACTGCATATTTCAAAACCGGTAAAAATTCTGGATTTTTCATTAAAAGATTAAAGTTTTTTTAAATTTTTTTATTCAACAAGTATAACAGTATTTTAATTACTGATGGGGCTACCCTGTTGAAATAAAACGAAATAAATAAACAAATAAATAAAACAGACAAAATCTGAAAATGTGTGCTTCAGTTTTCCTGATGAATGATCTTAAAACAAAATCTCTTTAACGAAATAAAGCCTGAAGCAAATGTCACCAGAGCAAATGTCAGATTGCCATTTTGACAGACATCTCCAACCATTAGTGTACAATCCGTATGAGAATTTGTGCCTCTTGACCATGCCTATCAAAATGTACCAGGTAGTAGGGTACCGCGTTTTATTTTACCAATACCGGTAACCATATTCAGGACTGGATTCTTTCAAAATGACAGAAAACAGGGTAATTTCAAGCAATAATGAAATCAGTTCTGTTCTAACAAAAATTAGCAACTTGGGTTTGCCGCCGTCTATTTCATTTATCAATTGAGGATATTGTAGAAATATAAAAATTGGCTTTTAAACATAAGATGGTTTGTTTGGATAGGGATAGATAACAATGATTTGAAACAATTAAAATGAGGGCAATAATCGTAGTAATCACTTGAATCCATAAATAATTTGAATACCGTACACAATAACTACACAATCTTGATGGCAAGTGTGTATTTTTTTATCCAGATTGGAAGAAAAAGAAGACTATTTTAACTGTTGAACAAGTTAGTTTCTGTCAAGCTATTTTTTTGTCTGCGAGTTGGCTTGCAAGAAGACAATAGCAGTGAACACAATGATAATTACAGTCAAACTGCTTTGAGCAAAAACAACAAAATTAGCACACATACATTTTCTTTTTGAGCTGACATAAAATAACTGACAATTTGAATGTTTCATATGACTGACATTTTCATTTAGTAAAATAGCTTCATGAAATGCACCAAAACATTACAAAATGCAATGTTGACTTAAAAATAAATATTACAAAAGTGTTAAATACTCCAAGATGGTAGTGGTGTCCCTCAACCCTTGTCTGCCATGTCAAGTCAAAATACTTCAAGTATTTTAATGATTGGTGTAATAAAAGGTAATTACATGGTAATTATCTTGATCAATAGCAACATTTTCATAACAAAAATTGAGATAACTTTTATTTCCCATATTTCCTCATCCTAATTTATTTTGATTTTTCTTCTCTGATATACTATGCAACTGACACAGTACTGAAACTGAGGTACATGTATTTCTTTACTACATCATAACACAGCGGAAGTATTTGGGAAATTAAACATTTAACATTAATAATACTGTTAGTTTGAGCTGAATAAATAAATGCTTAAAATGATACATAAACATGTTGTTTAAAATATTTCTGCGATACTTATTTTTACTTGACCAATGTAGCATATAATTCAGTCTCCATTCACCATTTATATCAATAATGTGTTAGTGTCCAATTTATTTGTACAGAATTAAGAAACTATCAACTAGGAGAGAAATTGGGGCAGGGGAAGAGGGGGGGGGGGGGGGGTATGGACAAACATACAGTAGCATATTGAAAGAAACAGTAGTGACATGGGTTACGTGAGCGCGGCCATAGGTTAAATCATGGAACTCATAATACATGTAGTTCGCTGAGCTCCAACAACTCTGCCTTTACAAGATTTCATCTCTTTGGACTATAGAACTTTTTTTTACTCATGTGAATTTGACGTTCCATAAATCATATATATTATTCTCAAAAGGAGGACTTATTTCAGGCTCCATGATACTGACCAATGAGCAACAACTTCCGCTGGTGTAACTATCTCTCAAGTCTACAGGTACATGTACACTAAAGTTAGCTATGGTTTTGAAGAAAGTTCAAATATTACAATGTACTTTGACAGCACTAGGACAAACACCAAGTCAAACATGTCTGAAAAATTCATATACATTTATGTACGTTTCATGTTTGCTGACGCATTTGCAACACTACTGTACATGGACATGTCAAAAACCTGAAGAATAATTATTTATTATGAACAACGATAATATTTATTTAAAAAAAAAAAAAATCCCCTTTTTTTTCTCCTAATGTGCCCCAGGATACATGCACATTAATACACAAGTCCACCATAAAAAAAAGTTGCCTTTACAGGTTCTATGTGTTAGATTTATCTGATGCCAACTGCCCCTTCTCTTAATATATACAATGTAAGCCTGTCATTGCGGCTTAATTATCACATTCTCTTTAGTTAAATGAACTTGGGCTAACAAATATGTTGTAGATGAGTATTAAGTCACCAGACTGCAGATCACAAGGTACGGGTTCAAGTCCCGCCGCAGCACTCGTGCCCTTTGGCAAGACGTTAATCTACATTTTCCACTCCCCACCCAGGTGTTAAATTGGTACCCGTTAGGACTGATGCGAAAGTTAATATGATTAAATGAGCAAGTGTGCGCTTGTAAAAAGTGACGCCTGGCTGGAATGCTCCCCAGGGAGTGGAGAATGTGCATACATGTACATTGTGTGCGAGCAAGCCTGAATCCGATGAACTGTGTAATAATATATCTGTTAAGCACTAAGAGACATCGTCGATGTATTTAAGCGCTATATAAAAGCTGAATATTATTATTACTATTAAAACATTTACTGCGTTTACGAGTACCTGGCTTGCAGTGATTGAATCTGAATGTTGAGAAGCAGAAAGTGTATGTAGTTCCGATGTTAAACACATTCTTTGCAAAAGACATGTAAAGGAAGTACATGTACAATGTATCTCAATGTTACATAGCATAGCATAGCATAGCATAGATCAACAATAAGACATCTTGACAAATAACGAAATACATCAACAAAATTTACATATAGCCATAGAATTTAGGTTTGTCTTTATAGTGATTAAACTAGGTACATGTACAAGTACACAAAGTAAATGTAAGTTTAGCATTATATTGCATCTAATATTTCAGCTTTCTTCAGAACAGATATGAAAACAAAATAATTTTTTGACAACTTCCAAAGCCTCCAAATACTGAATTTAAACCCCCAATTTTAATTTCCTTGCATACAATTTTTAGGAGAACAACAATGCAGCACTAATAAATCAAAAGACACAACCGTTTGTTTCAAAACAAATAATCCTGCAAAATAAGATAAACAGTACACTTTTTGTTTGTTTGCTGCTAAATAAATGATACTGCAGACTATGGCAGCATCTTATGAAACTGTAATACGAGTAAGACTTGGCCAACATCTCAGTCACACTAATAAATATGATATACACGTGCAATGTGTTGTGATAGGAAGTCCACAAACTTTTCAAATGAAACTGCATTGTCTTATAATTTCATATTATTCTCCTCAAGAGGTGAGAATGGTTTCCTTCTCAAAATATATCAATATTGATCTACTTTTTAATCATTTGCCAATTTGACACCATTTATTAGTTGAAGCATACAATCTGTTCTTTTTGGCTTTTACCATAATTAAATAGAGTTCTTTCATTATATTCTACTCTCGGTGATCTTTCATTTCATGAAACAAACCAACACATGACTGTTTGAAAATGGTTTCTATGAATGGTGCCTTGGGCAGGATACCTGTTTCGTCTTCACTTCCTTGCTTTAGTTTTGCTTGACCTCTTTCTGAATAAAACTTTCTACACATGTACATGTACATTGTACAGTACCTTCATCTCAATCTATATATTTACACCTAATAATTCTGTCTGGTGCTCACATGTAGGATTCCACCATTTTCCAAAATCAGGGGTCCTCCCTCTCCAAGAATTCTCTGGGTACAATGTAATCTCCACCAGCTTTTTGGTCAAGTTACAGAGATTTTGAGAATTCAATGCAGTTCTGAACCCTGTACCCATGTAAGTCCTTCCGAACTTTTTCCACTCAAAATATTTATTATACAGAGTCTCATTCCGATCCAATAAATTAATGTATTCCACAAATTCTTCCATTGTGCTGAAGTCGTTGAGATGAATAAAGGAATGTGGTGGTGCTGTCCTTACGTAATCTTCTTTCCTTGCCCCAAAGACAATGGGAACCATGCCTGTGGCGAATGCATTGCTCCAGAACTTTTCAGTGATGTACTCAGAGCATTCACTGTTCTCGAGTGATAGATAGAACTTGTATTTCTGCATCTCTATCAGGCAGTTGTCCCAATCGTGCTTTGGACACTCAAATGTTCCACACTTTCCATAAATGTGCACATCCAGATGCTCCTGCAAATTATGGACAAACTTGGTTCTCTCCCATCCTAATGGTTCGCATCGTGATGCCATCCACATCATCAGCCGTGACTTTGTTCCTCCTTTCACGTTGCTAGGACTATCTCGCACAAAATGCCCATAGGACAAGTCGACATCTGACCCTGACCGGTACGTCATGCTGAGGTTGTAAGGGTTACCTTTGAACAAAGAAGACGGTGGAGTGAACTGTGGCTCATGCACAGGACTCTCTCTGGAGTACAGTGCCCACAGTTGTCCTGGGGGCCTAGACCTAAGGAGATACTTCCACTCAAAATTCCCCTCATTCCCTGGCATTATAACAACGACATCTGAATCCCAGAAATCCTTCATGTTCAGACTGTATCTCGTTTCTACACTGCATGGCATACCTTCACATTTAGACCTCATCCATTCATCATTATTCAAGTAAACTTCTTCAGCCTTTGGTCTGCGGTACTTGAGGATTCTAATCACGCAATCGTACGAAGGGTCCTGCGTTGCTTTATAAAATTTATAAAGCACTCGATTTTCATTATAAGTTACCCCATTGATAGCAGTGTTCATATCCTGTGAAGAATACTTGGCAGTGTCTGTAATCTCTTCCTTGGCTAGGAGTCTCTTTACATGGGCAACAGGTTTATCATTACCTCCATACACAGAATTGGATTGTGCTGCAGAGCTACGGCGAGGGTGATAGTACAAATAGATATTTCTCCCTGCCCTTCTGAATTCATCTGCATTGAATACCACCACGCTCATCAGTGCTAGAGGAATGAGTACAGACAGGAACCCAGTCTGATATTTTCGCCCCATCTTGGGAATGAATTTTCCTGTCATGCTCTACCTGGTAATGTTACAGATGATGCCTGTATGAGACGCGGAAGTGTTTGGTAGCAGTGGCATTGAATTAACAGTTTGTCCTTGAAGCTAGGAGTAGGTTAGGTGTAAGAGGGTCAAGAGTCTCTTCCAGCTCATGATATGAATTCACATGTTTATTAATGAGCCAATCAAGATCCGAATCCAATCCTACAGAGAGATGTAAGAAATAAATTGGAGAGAAAAATGAAGAAAAAAAGTTTGCATTAAGAACTCAACAAGAAGAACATGTAAAAAAAGGTGTTATACTGTATCTCTTGAGAGTCACTTATTCTTCTTTGCCATTCTAATATATCATCATTATTGTGAATCAGAAATTTGGAATTTAAGCAAAGCCATTCACCTGCCCAACCATGTGGTATACCAGAGATGTGATCCAAGAGTCTATAACATATGATTCAATTTCATTATATCACTCCAACATAATGGCAATATCAATTAGATTTCATCCCATTTCAATAGTGTACACAACTGCAATTGAATTTGAAATATACAAAATGATCTTGGGTAGGCATAAACTTTGTATAGGGCCAGATGGGCTCTCGAGGCAATGCACTCAACCAGAAACCTTAATGATTTTTTCAGCTGGCCTTTCATTAACCCCTGTATATTACTTTAGGAGTGACTAGAAAGTCTTCAGCATCAGGCTTTATGAACAAAGTGGGTATTCAAAGAGAAGATTCATTTCTGGTAAAGATGAGAAATAATTTGTGAATTTTCCAATCTTATTATGTATGTAAATGAATGTGCAGTCTCATATACCCATATCTTTCAGCTTTATTGAGTCAACTTCTCGTCATTTTGATGATTCAGAGTTTTTCAGATATCTAAAATTAGTTCACATGCACATTTGTTCCCCCGACACAATCATCCTTTTCCAATTGCTTTTAGACATTCTCTTTTTTAGTGTAATCTTACGAGTCATGACCGAAGCTCAATTTTGTCTTTAGAGGTATTAGCACAGTGTTGGTGAAAATGTGTTTATAACTTTATAGTAATACTGGTAGGTCAAAGACAAAATTTACAATATTTAAAAATAATCTTTTAATGCCATATAGGACACTGTTGGTAGGAGTTATCGCTCTGGCAAAACATGTCTTCAACTGTTTTAATAATTATACATGTATATACAGTAGTGCTCTCCTGCAGAAATGCACATTTCCCCCTATATTTAGGACCACAAATACTGTAAGACCATATTGTAAACATGGAAAGTAGACCTATTTGCTTGGTCACAAAGAAGACACAATTTCTACTTATTTCCTTGAAATGGAGATGGGACTCGAATAACCTGATACAGCCCCCTGTTCTTTTACAAGGCCTTTTCATACCAGCAGAGTTGATTCTAACTTGGCTATCTTATTCTGGTCAAAGCCCAACTTGCTTGATTGATCCGACTGTCTTAAGACAGAATTGTGTGTGCCACCTTAAAGGGATTGGAAATCACTGTACATTGTAGGTCTCTAGGTTTTGCAAATATTTGAGCCTACTTTCACCGATTGGGCCAACCGTATTCAGCTATTTTCCCGCCATTTTCTAATAATAATTTCATGAAATTTTTTCAAAATGAAGGGAGACTTCAATGCCCATTACATCTCATTTGTTTATTGTTGCGATCGGTTGTTAACCTGAACAGTGACACAGGTCAGCAGCAGGCTATTTGCGCATGCGAGATAGACAGCCACCCGTCGGATATTGCGCAATTGCTTTAAATGACGTCACTGGTAGAGAGATTTTATCGATATCTGGAGGAGGGAACTAAGCAGTCGTCTCTCGAGAAGGAAGGGGGAAAGGGGCTTTAAAAGTAAATTTACGAAAGTTCTTTCCATTTTAGTATTAAAATCATGTACCAAAATGGTATATGATTATTAAACCTAATGATTTGATAGTATTTTACCATTGTAAAAGTTAAAACAATTGATTGTTTGATTCACACATGTAGACTATGCAACGCTAGAGGTCAATACGCATTAGCATTGACTACCATGTTTTGCTGGAGTGATGTCTCAGACCCGCCCGCAACCCACCATCGGTATGTACTTGTATTAGTGCTGTAACATCACGGATATCTCCAATTCCGTTTAACCGCCTGTCAAAACGGACGGTTTTCGGTTAAACGATTTATTAAAAAAATAAAAATAAAAATAAAACAAATAAAATTAAAACATTTTTTAAAAAAAATTATTATAAAAAAAAAAAAAAAAAAAAAAAAAAAAAAAAAAAAAAAAAAAAAAAAAAAAAAAAAAAAATCGTTTTTTTTTTTTTTTTTTTTGGCCGTGTGAAAAAGCAGGAAGGTGATTTAACTGAAGGCGCCGATTTGTGCTTGTGAACTAGTCACAAATAATAGTAACAATGTCGTTTACACGTCGTTTGCGCCATCTACACGTTCGTAATGGCGTTATCACAGTTTTTCCTTCATAATCATTTTGCCTTCGGCGTAGACTAGAAGGGATGAGATTGACGGCAGCGAGAGTTTAACACGGCTTGCAAGATTTTCAACATGGATGTCGATTTTGACCCATAATTTCCTTAAAAGGGACCATTAAACGGATTATTTCAATCAAGTTAGTAAGTGGAACCGATGTATTATAGCCTAGGCCTAATTTAAAATTGGATATGGACGAGGTATAATGACATTTTGGGGGATTTTGGGGGCATAACAATACGGCCGTGGCCAGTTTGTCATGTTTGTGGGAGGGGCCTAGCGGCTAAAATCTAGCCGTGATATCTTCAACACACGATGGTATAGGCGATCGTTCAGTCTCTATAACCGGAGGTCTAGTGGAGCCAGACGTAGTCTCAGTGGAACAACCGACGATTATAGAGACTGAAGCTTTCGGTCTAGAATGGACTAGATTCTATGCTTTTAATCGCAAGACTTTTCGCGTGTAGAGTAGGACGTCACTCGCTGTTGAGGTTGGTGTTGAGCCATCGATAACGTGCACATGTGATCGGTATCGTCCTTCTAAACTGACCGTCGGCGTTGGAGCTCGGTTCAGCAGCCTTTCCGCGCTCTCAACACCAACAACAACACCGAACACCGTACTTGAAATCACTCAATGAATATTTACTTCATCTAGACCTAGATCTATGTTTAAATTAGTTTTAGTAGGGTAGACTATCTCCACGCCTGAGCTGAGTTCGGGTCAAATTTTGGATAGGTTTCTGAACATATTTCCCACGGTCAATCCCAACACTAGCCTGATTTCAAGTTCGGTGTTGTGGCTGGTGCACTTGGTGGTAGTGTTCTCACAACACCAACACCATGCTCCAGCTTTCAACACAGAACTTGAAATCACTCAACGATGTTGTGGAGATGTGATGCGAGGAATGGTGAATCACAGACATAGATCTATGTAAACTTTCGCATTCGGACGATCGGTGAATTATAATTATTGATCCAGAAAATTTATCGGCATACATTACCTCACTTTTTTCAGTCGCGAAATCCGAAATCAGGTCCAAGATCGTTCTCCTCCTCGAAATTGAAGCTTGAGCTGAGCCGATTGATCTGATCTGAGTCAAGATGATCCGATATGACATTAGCGCGCGCCCATTGCACGTACGTTTTGGTCTACAATGTATGAGTCCAGTGCAGTGGTACGGATCCAGTGGTACGTACGTACGTACGGTACGTACGAACGTACACCATGATGTAAATTTTATCTCTCCTTGTAGAATTTTAGACTAAGAAAGAAAGAAGATAAAAACAGGAAAGAAAGAAAGGAAGGAAGAGAGAAAGAAAGAAGGGATTTAAGGAAGGAAAGAAAAAAGAAAAAAAAAAAAGGAATGAAAGAAAGAAAGAGGAGGCGCGATGGCCATATTTGCATGAAAACATTGAATATTGCGCTTATATTAGTCTAGTTACCCTATGTCATAACAAGCTGAAATACAATCCCAAACAGTTCCATACTAGAAATCCGCTAGCCAGCTTAACTATACTTTAAATAAGCAGAAGATTGCTACTTTGCATGATTATAGCTGCTAAATAAATGTCAATATTTGTTTTCTTTAATTATAAGAATATGCACTTTGAAAGATGTATGAGAAGAGAGAGAGATAAATACTTATAGAGTATATAAGAGAGATGAGAGTATCATCTATATAGTCGATGTGCTAGAGCAAAGCTCAATATATACGTACACGCTTTTAACCCCCCCAAAATGGGGAAAAGGTGCAAGCCTGTATTTCGTTTTTTACGGGTTACAGTTTCGGCATTATTAGATTATAAAATAATATAAACTAGAAGGTACACAGCGGGATAGAAATGGTGGGAAACGAGAGAGAGAGAGAGAGAGAGAGAGAGAGAGAGAGAGAGAGAGAAGCTCTTACACATTTAGGAAGCATGAAGAAAAAAAGAATGAAGAAAATGAATGGAAGACAGAAAGGAATGAAGGAAGAAAGAAACAGGGAGAAGGAAAGAAACAGGGAGAAAGAAAGAAAAGGGGAAATTAAAACTGAGAACTGTGCAAATTAAAGGGACTCAGGCATTTTGTGGAAATCATATCGGTAGACCAATGACGATTTTCTGTTAGGTCTATAGTACATTTTTGTTATAAGGCTATAACAAAGTTAACTAACCATAGTTGTATCGATTAACTATCATAATTATGATTTAATCTCGTTAAAAAGAATCTTTAATTTCCCTTCTTTCTTTTTTTTGGAAGTAGTAACAGATTTTTGTTTGGCTTTCATCTTCTTCTTAGCTGTAAAATGGTATACATGTAGGCCAAAATGTTATTATTTAAGAAATACATTTTTTGATGAAAGGCAAACTGTTTACAGAAGCAAGGAATGTGGTCATGGTAAATTTTTGATTTTTTTTTCTTTCTCTTCCTCCCTTTTTAGCTATCTCTCAAATCTTTTTCAGAAATTCCTCCGCTACTGATAGGTCTTATATTCAACAATTATTGAAGAAAGAAAACACTTTCAGTGAACTCTTTGCCTGCAACTTACTATAACACTATCGCAACTATTACAAAAATTTAAATATGCAATTTCAATACCCTAGTGTGTATCCAATAGAAATCATGTTCGGATTACATAATTGTTATGTTCGCACATTGCATTGGGTCAGCTGTACATCTTTCAAAGTGGGCGTTTACCCTAAAAAAAAGGGCACTTTTTGGAGAGAAAAAAAAGGGGGGGGGCAGGCGCGGATCCAGGATTTTCCAATAGGGGGGGCCGGAAATTTGAAAATTGCGCAGACCGTTTTTCAACTCAACATACCAAAACTGACAATGTCATATTAGAAGCACCATATGTAATTTTTTTGACATTTTCATCGGGGGGGGGGGGGGGGCTGAAGCCTCTCGCCCGAAAAGTAATTTTCTAGTTTCACAATTTGGCTAGTGAGCGAAGCGAGCGAGCAAAAATTTGAGGATAATATGTATTTTGTGAAAGTGTTATTTATTAGCAAAATATACGAGAAAAGATATAACAAATTCATATTCGGGCAGCTCGCTGTTCCCCTCCCCCTCCCCCCCCCCCCCCCATTACGCGCGAAGCGCGGAAGTTTTGACCTTTCATTAATTGATATAAATTATTAGAGAAAGAAGACGATTTGTTGTACCATTCTCGACTCCTATTCCTTTTGTCTGAATTCAGTTTTCCCCCTCCCGCGCGAAGCATTGACCTTTCATAGTTTAATGAAATTATTAGAGAAAGAAGATAATTCGTTGTTCCATTCTCGACCCTCAATCTTTCTCTGAATTCAGATTCCCCCCTCCAGCGCAAAGCGCAGAAGCTTAACGTTTCATTAAATTATTAGAGAAAGAAGACGGATTCGTTGTACCGTTCTCGATTCTTAATCATTGTCTGAATTCAGTTTCCATACCCCCCCCCCCCCCCGCGCGAAGCGCGGAAGCTTTGACGTTTCATTAAATCATTAGAGAAGAGTACCGTTCTCGACTCTTAATCCTTGTCTGAATTGAGTTTCCCCCCCCCCCCTCCAGCGCGAAGCGCGGAAGCTTTGACGTTTCATTAAATTATTAGAGAAAGAAGACTATTCATTGTACCGTTCTCGATTCTTAATCATTGTCTGAATTCGGTTTCCATACCCCCTCCCGCGCGAAGCGCGGAAGCTTTAACGTTTCATTAAATCATTAGAGAAAGAGTACCGTTCTCGACTCTTAATCCTTGTCTGAATTGAGCTCCCCCCCCCCCCTCTCCCGCGCGAAGCGCGGAAGCTTTTACATTTAATTAAATTATTAGAGAAAGAAGACGATTCGTTGTACCGTTCTCGGTTGTTAATCATTGTCTGAATTCAGTTTTCCCCCTTCCGCGCTTCGAAGCTTTGACGTTTCATTGAATTATTAGCAGCGCTCAAAATGCACGGGGGCGATGGGCGATTCGCCCCCGTGAGCTCCATAATCGCCCCCGTCAGGTTGCCCACGGGGGCGATTGCAAAATAAAAAATCGCCCCCGTGGAATTATAAAAAAAAGATTATCTTTTCTTATATAACTTTTACACAATATTGAGTATCAATTTTCAAACCTTAAACCAATGAAATGGAACTTAGATGGCGCTTTCTCTCCCATCTCTATGAGTATTACCGATACAAACAACGGAAGCTCGCAGTGCACAGCTAATGCGGCCGTCATACTGCGCCGGTAGTACGTACCGGTGTGCACGCTGACGCCCAATATCTGCTGGAGCTGGAGACGATCGCGCAAGACTGAAACATGGAGAAGTTTTTCGTCGTGAAAAGTGTGAATCCTCTGAAATCTGGTTGTTCTAAAAGACCAGCAAATAATGTAACTCGACCAATAAATCAATATTGAGAAGAAGATCAGCATAGATGTTGCAGGGGTGGATCTATGCGGTTTAGGGGGTTTAATCCCCCGATCCCCCTTGGGCTGCCAAGTGAAAATGTGATGTGCATAGAAAAATGCTCTCATGTGTCCAGACCTACACAGTAGTAGTAGATTTCAGTAGATGCCAGGAAAACATCACTAACGGGGGTTCAAAATAGCACCAAAAAATCGCCTCGCCGCTTCGCGGCTCGTGGACGATGCTCCACATCGTATTTGGTTTACCCCCCCCCCCACCCTTAGCAAAAAGCTAGATCCGCCCCTGTGTTTTGGAAGGATATGGTAAAGACTAAAAGTAAAGAAGAATGTAAATACGGTTGCTCCGAATAATGAAGAGGACATTATGTGCAAAACGGGAAGAAATGGAGAGAATGTCATCACGGGCAGGCGCGGATCCAGGATTTCTTAGGGGGGGGGCAAATTTGAAATTATGTGAGCCAAATATTGGTACGTAATGGTGACCGGCATTGACGTAATGGGGGGGGGGGTGCAGGGGGGGCGATTTTCCCACTCCCTCCTCCGCAAAGCGCCGAAGCTTTGACGTTTCATTAAATCATTAGTGAAAGAAGGCGATTCGTTGCCCGTTCTCGAAAATAATCCTCGTCTGAATTGAGTTACCCCCCCCCCCCCTTGCACGAAGCGCGGAAGCTTTGACGTTTCATTACAGTATTAGATAAAGAAGACGATTCGTTGTACCGTTCTCGAAAATAATCCTCGTCTGAATTCAGTTTACCCCCCTGCCGCGCGAAGCGCGGAAGTTTTTTACGTTTCATTAAATCATTAGAGAAAGAAGGCGATTCGTTGCCCATTCTCGACTCATAAACTTCGTCTGAATTCAGTTTCCCCCTCGAGGGCGATATGCGAAGCTTTGACGTTCCATTGAATTATTAGAAAATAAGACGTTTCGTTGTACCGTTCTCGAAAATAAAACTCGTCCGAATTCATTTTACCCCCCCCCCCCCCCCGTCCGCGCAAAGCGCGGAAGCTTTGACATTTCATTAAATCATTAGAGAAAGAAGACGATTCGTTGTACCGTTCTCGACTCTTAATCCTTGTCTGAAGCCAGCCCCACCCCCTCCTCTTGCACGAAGCGCGGAAGCTTTGACGTTACATTAAAGTATTAGAGAAAGAAGACGATTCGTTGTACCATTCTCGATTCTTAATTCTTGTCTGAATTCGGTTCCACCCCCCCCCCCCCCTCCCGCTCGAAGCGAAAGCTTTGACGTTTCATTAAAATTATTAAAGAAAGAAGACGATTCGCTGTACCGTTCTCGACTCGGCTCAAGGGTTTTAGGCACTAAATTACGGACAGCTGGGTATCAAGAGGCCCGACTTAGGGCCCTCGGTTGGGTCCAGGCCAGAGCCCCGGAAGCTCAGGGATTTTAGGCGTTTAGTTTACGGTTAATACCTTATTTGTTGTGACACTGGCAGTTAACTATTTTTTCTTACTTGCTCTCTTTCTTTCCATTTCTCTTTATATACTATTTCAAAAAAAGTGGAGGGGGGGGGGAGGGACCTCAAGGCTCCCGATCCCCGCGGTTCCGCGGGCCCTGACGTGTAGGCCCCTAGGCATCTCAAGAAGCATATTTCTTGCCTGGCTGTAAATTAAGGAATGTGTCATTTTACACAAACGCATAAAAAGTATAATTTACTAAAAAATCTCGGAAAATTATGTCATTTCAGTATTATGTGTAAACCACCGTTATGGAATTAGAAATAAACCACGTTTGAATTTTATTTTCCCCGACCCCCTCC